CACCTTGCAAGGTGGATATGTGCGCTATATAAATATCCAATATTATTATTATTGTTAGCCAAAGAAAATATTCCTGGATGTGTTTTATAATGACCCGAGTCTGAAATGTCCAGAAGGAGGAAATGTAAGAAGAGATTTCACAGACACGTCTGTAGAATCCCACTGCTACTGGTGTCTGGTTCTAATTCTTGCTGGATCCTCAATCAGCAAAGCCCACATTTCCAGCCTTTTCACAATAAACATCTCCATCTTTTAAGGGATTCTTCTTTTCAAAGGAGTCTGCTATCTCCACGTTAGGGATAAGAAGAGATTGGTAGGGTGAATAAGTGTACCAGGGGTCCAGAGCAGTTGTTTATGTTCAGACATACTATATTTGTAGCATTGTTTTTTGGAGGGGAGAGGGGTCATGAGGATAGCACTTCATGTGTCAATATCATTTTATTTTAATCCTGAGGACTTCTAGAGCTTTCTAAAGCTACATGTACATGTAAGTTGTAGCTCTTTTCTTCCATGTTCTTCAATTACTGGTAACCTGTAAGTTACACAGGCTCATGTTTTAAAAACTCTATGGCCTGAATTCAAAAAGGAAGTTTGTCGACAAACCTCCTTTGTGAATTCGGGCCCTTGTGTAAAGTGGAGACAGCAATAAAAAGTAGACATAAACTTGTCTGTCATGAAAATGTAAGACATGCACTGTATCTACTTTAAAAGGCTAATGAGTAATGAATGATGCGGCCTACTGTACTGTACATATCTAGGGAGGTGTGTCTTGGCTGAGTATTTCTCTCCTAATTTGAGATGCTGCTCGATCAATGCCAATTATCCCTGCCTTGTCTGGCGAGAAGGGGCCACTTAGTTTTTGATGCGTAGGCAGGGTACATGGATATGTGTTTTGTCCAATTAACATACCTGAAAAAACATGAGCATGTATGACAATAACATTGTACTGTTTACATGACACATAAAACATCAAATGAGTTAATTTAACACTGACATCATGTGATCTCAAGTCCCATGAGCAGATGTGCTCATGTTATAGAGAGACAAGATAGATATTGTATTGAATGTGAAATTGTCCAATTAACATTCCATTGAGCATGATTTGTATCAGGTATCGCAATAACATTGTACTTGTTGACAATGGCATTTATATATGAGGCATAGAGGCACATGGATAAAGTTTATAATTTGCAGGTCTAGTCTATATATATGTAAATTATAAGGATGTAGTCTGATTTGTGGAGATCATCTTCAATCCCTAGAGCTATAGTGTTCATCATGTACAAACAATGTAGGGTGGTGTCAGGCTTAAATGTATATGTAGATATTGAGATGCCTAATCAACAGCCTTATAAACTAATTACAAGTGAAGTAACTTAAACATGTGCAAATTATCTCAATACATTTCTTGACATGACAATTTACATCAATGTCAAAGCATCGAGGTACCAACTCAATCATATCATGGATTATGAGAATATGATGCGATTTTGTGATTTTTGCACATAACCAGACCCCTTTATGCAGCAAAATATATTCATGGTGAAGATAACCTGCATGCAATGAATCTCCTTGTACATTTCTCACACCCAAAGCTCTGTGATGTACATATACAATGTATGATAACATTGTACTTATTTTCCAATAACCCATTAATTGATGAGACATTGGTGTACATGATTAGAGCTTACTCTTGGCCCAGTGAATTCTATGGAAATGAACTGGACATGAAAACAGACCTCCCCCTCAGTCCCCTTCCTGATTTTTGCCAGAAAGCTAGAATCACTGAAGCTGCAAAGTGTTTGAGAGAGGATGAGAAACCTCATCACATCTCCCTTCCCTGTGCATTTCTCGCATCCAAAGCTCCATCATGTACAGGGTGTATGTTTATTTATTGAACTCTCTTGGAGATCTGTCTCCTCTTGGGTTTCAGCTGATGGATGATCATGTTATATTCAATCCATACCTCCCCCCCCTTTCAGACCACCAAAATTCATTAAACATCTACACCCTGTATGAAAGGAGTACATGTATATACCGGTAGATAGCTGTACAATTTTAGAAAACATCATGCATGGAAATAGATGTTTGAGCATCGTTTTGAACAAAATCTAGATAAAAATCAGGGTCCACTTTTAATGTGAACATGGAATCGTACTAAACCTTGCGTATCGGGACGGGTTTATCGTGAGTGCGCACTGCTGATCAGCTAGCTTTCATCTAAGCTGAAGCTAACCCCCGGTGGGGTCACTTCCCTGCAAAGAGTGACACATATGACCGTTACCACCAATGCATTTAACCCCCTTTTGCAGTCAATGTCAAGGACATTTTGTGAAATTTAACCCCCTTTTTTATGTCAAAACAAGGACAAAATCGTACTTTGGAATACCCCTATTTATAAGATTGTAAGGACACTTTCGCAAATTTACCCCTATTTTACCATATTTCAAGGACAAGACTCAGCTCCGAGAATTTTTCTTCCCGGTTTTCTCTTTTCCCTTTTCCTGACCCCTATTTATCAATTTCGGGGACACCTGTGCACCCCTATTTTCTTTATTTCGAGGAATATTTTGTCCGCGGACAGTGCTTGAAATTGACCCCTTTTTCCGCGATTTTGGTAACGGTCATGCGGTCCGGAAGTCACATTGAGTGACCCAACTGGGAGCTAACCTCTGTAAACTAGTTTCTCTATGAGATACTTACTTTGACATTTGTATGCAACTATGCATGCCCCTTTCATTTTCTGAAGATTCTGTATACGATGTTTCTTTATGCAGAAAAAATCGTGAAAATCACTTATGGTGTGAACAGGTAATTGGGTTACAGCTAATGGATGATCGTGTTATACCTACATGTACATGTGTAATCTCTATTTACACTCCTCCTACATGAAGACCTACCATGTCAGGCAGGGTATTACAATACAGTATGGTCTGTACCAACACAAGCTCCCTGGCACATTTTCTCCACAATTGTATTCTAACCAAGTTCTTAAATCTTAATGTCAGGCTTGGACTAAACACTATAGATATCATAACCCTAAAATAACCCTTTAAAAAAAAAAAAATCATCTGTACTTGATTTACACGGTACACCCTTTATTTTGAATATCATACGCTGTGTATTTTACAATGTATACACCCCCCCCCCTCTTTTTATTTTGGTTGCAGAAAAACTTTTACAAAGCAATTTTTCATAATCAGCGGCAATTATCGACTTAAAAGGTCACATCATTATGCTCATTTTAATACACAGTTCCAAAAATATTTGATAAATTTCTGACGGTGTTTCGAAAACCACACTGCAGAGGTGGGTTTTTCATCATGTTTTACATGTAGTTGCCTAGCAACTTCTGACAAATTACCGGAAATTGAGAAAAATTTAATGCAGCTACATGTACATGTACTGTGAATTGGAGGGCTGCCAAAACATTCTAATCTGTCCATGATGCAAACTAATGTTGATTTTTTAATTTTCTATCCCTTTAATAATGATGGTTATTGTATTTCCATTTTGATGATAGACAAATATTTGTATTTTTGTATTGCTGTAGATTTTGGTACAGGTTGTTCGCTTGCAGAATAAGTAGTTGACCAATACTTCGTGCACAAGATCATACAAATCTAAGATTTACATGTACTTATTTTGTTGTTTGTTTGGTGTTTTTTTTAAAAGGTTTCTATGAACCCGGAAGCGAGATATTCAAATACCATAATTACATGTATATCAGTACAGGGCATACCGGTATTACAGGATTGCTGGAAGCTCTTTTACAATAGAAAGGAGAGAGGGAGAGAGAGAGAGAGAGCAAGCGAAAGAGAAAGAAAGAGAGAGAGAGAGAGAGAGAGATGGAGACAGAGTGACAGACAGTGACAGATTAAACAAAAATAGATAGAGACAGACTGATAGAGATTACAGGAAGAGACAGACACATACATTGAGGCAATAAAACAGAGTGAGACAGAGGGAGATAGAAACAAAAGAGCAAAGAGAGAGGGGGAGAGAGACAAATACTTTTTTTTGAAAGGGAAAGAGAACAAGAGAGAAAGACAGACTGAGGTCACTGCAGGTGCAGATTTGGCCATGCTTGAAATGCTTCTGTCAAAACAGCATTATGGTTCACAATCAAGTGTAAACTCTAAAAAATTACAGTAGAATGGGTGTATAAAGTCAAGTACAGGTGATGGTCAAAATATGACCGGTTCTACAAGTAAACACAATTATGTACAGGGTAGCTGGTATAATGATAGCAATATCAACTTATAATGCACACAATCATTGATATATTATTATATTGTGTGAATGTGAATTCTGTGTATTTCTCTCAATTTAGCAGTGAATGTTGAACAGAATATTTACACTAACACAGATACTATAGTTAATTGGGATACCAAACAAAAATGGTGTCCTTAATATGACATTTATATGTACATACTACCGGGTATGTCAATTGAACTCTATAATTCTCTTCTCAGTACTGCATTTGTATCCTAGATTTCTTTATTGCACATAACATCTACTTGACTTCAACTCCTCTCCTCCTCCCCCTCCTCCTCCCCCTCCTTCTCCCCCTCCTTCTCCCCCTCTCCTCCTCCCCCTCTCCTGCTCCCCCTCTCCTGCTCCCCCTCCTCCCCCTCCTCCCCCTCCTCCCCTCCTCTCCCTCCTCCCCTCCTCCCCTCCTCTCCCTCCTCCCCTCCTCTCCTTCTCAACCCTTATTGATCAAGCAGCTGATGTGCATTTGAAATGAAAGTATGCAGATCATGCAACCTACTTCATATCTATGTTCATGAGATCACAGGCATTGTTTCACAAAACTATCATAGGTATAAGTCTGCTGACACCCCATTCAAGTTTGATACATGTATTTCAACAGGATGTTGTACTTATGGCAGTTTTGTGAGACACTGCCTGGTGATTTCCAAAGAACTGACTGGCAGAAAAGAATGATATTTGATGTATTTCTTTGTTTTCTTCTATTTTACCTTTTTTTCCCCATTCAGATTCCTGGTCCTAATCAACCATGTGCTAAAACCCTGTACAACTACGATGGGCAGGAATCTGGGTAGGTTCAAATCTAGTTTGGATGAAATGGCAGAACTTACTGATTGTCGTGTGCTGTAATTTATCTTTCAATCTACTCCATCTACATGTATATTGTCAAAGACGCTATCCGATGCAAAAACAACTTTATATAAGTGGAAAATACAATATAATACATAGAATACAAATATAAAGGAATAACAAACATTTTCCCTTTCAGTATTGCACAAAAGCAAATTAAAACCTCATTTTCTGCACCCCTCCAAATTCCGGGTCAACAGGGGTCAAATTTGCCGAAGTTACAGTGACAGTGGACCTTATCGGCTCATCTATATAGCAGAGGCAATGAGCCGTGCTTGATTATTGCAAAGTCATTGTGAATTTGCGTATTCCACTTAAGATGATGTCATCAAGTCGATAGCAAGTTTTTAGGTAGACAACTTCAGATTTTCAAAGCTTAAGAATGTTAGTTTCCATAGAGCTGTTACTCCTCTGACAGACACTAAAATGGCATATAATTGATAGTATTTTAATCTATCAAGAAACAAATATGGATCTGCTAATTAACTTTTCTCTGCTAAAAAGAAGAAAGAAATAGAACAGATTTGGCTAGTCAATCTACACTATACATTGTAACAATCATTTTTATTACACTTTTCAAGACTACAGTGTATATTAAACTTTTGAAACTTATGAAACTTTTCAAAACAAAAGTTTTTTAACCTTCCAAAAAAATTCAAGACTAATCTTTGTATGTAATAATTTCATATGGATATTTAGAATGCTTATTATGAAGTTTGAGATTATTCATCCTTCATATATTTTCTTTTCTATTTTGGCCTCCCCAGCGATTTGTCTTTCAATAAAGGTGCTATCGTACTCCTTCTCAAGAGGATCGATGATAACTGGTATCACGGTGAACTAGACGGTAGCCGCGGCTTCTTTCCCGCAAGCTACGTTGAGGTGTTAACGCCTCTCCCGCCCGATCCGCCACAGTGTAAAGCCCTCTATGACTTTGATGTGAACGAACAGGAGGAGAAGGACTGTTTGACCTTCAATAAGGTTTGTTATATGTGGCAATGTATGCATTTTATGTATCAACTATAAAGTGTTTTGTTTTAATATTATTTCAAAGGGCAAACATTGAATGTACAATAACGTGTTTGAACATCTGGTTGTTTTTGTACCATTCCAATTTATTTTTAGAATAGAGGCGACATGATGGAACTCCAATCAGATCCAGTTTATTTTGTGTAAATATGCTGAAATTGAGAATCAAAACATGTCACTCAATCCAGAATATATTTACGTACATAAACTGTGTTGACAAAAGATTATTGAAAGGCAAGAAGGCAATGTAAACAAACGTGGGAATGTTTGTGAGGCGTCTTCTGCCACTCCCTTCTAGACAATTGAAAAGCTAAAATGAAATTTTGTTTTTCCGCTACCTTTTTCTGTGAACCTACATGTACACAGTCATACATGTACAGGGTAGGCCTACTGTGAGAAAAATATAGTTATATTTGACTTTGATAGAATTCATGTATCTTTGTGCAATGGAATAAATGCGTGTTTTAGGAGCACTTGAATAATATACACTTAACAACTAAATTATTCATACCAATACCAAGTTTTGTCATTCTTTCAGTACAGTATGTGAAAAGTTGATTTGTCCCCAGTTGCGTTTCTTGAGAATGTGACATATTACAGCTAATACATCTAAAAGTATTCAATAAAGCCCTAATTCAACAGTCCACCTTTCATTCTTGATTTATAGAAGAAAAAAAATGTTTTCAAGGGGTATGAATAATTTAGTTTTAACTGTACAGCATGCTTGACATACCTACACAAAATGAAGGGTATGCAAAAAATGTTCAGTACCAGTTTGTATATTAACTTTGATCTAGTAAAAATACAAAATTTGTTGATGAAGTAAAAATACAGACCTAAAAAAGTACAAATTTACATGGGTGTATCATGTTTGCAAATTTACAGGTATGCAAAGCTCTTCTAGTTGTTAACATGTCTATGTCAACACCAATTTGTGATTATGATTCAGATTTTTAATACATTCAGTATAATAGACAGAGAGAGAAAACAATAGAGAAGCATTACATTGATCAGGTTTCCACAATTCTCGTTTCAAATTTCTGCTATTTCATTTGTGTCCGTTTCCAAGTACCTCGTATCATACTGTACACTTAAATATGCATTATATGTTTGTGCAAAAATGGTAATGAGTTTCATTCAATCATACTTGTGTCTGTTCATCCGTTTATTGATTGAAGCTCAAGCATGTACATTGTATAGAGATGTCTACCTTGCACATTCATTAACATATGAATGCATATCTACATGTACCTACCCCCCCCCCTTTCTCCCTCCTCCTCTCTCTCTCTCTCTCTTTATCTCTATATCTTTCTCCCTCTCCCCTCTCTCTCTCTCTCTTTCCCTCACCCCCCCCCCTCTCTCTCTCTCTCTCTCTCTCTCTTTTCCTCACCCTCTCTCTCTCTTTTCCTCACCCTCTCTCTCTCTTTCCCTCACCCTCTCTCTCTCTTTCTCTCTCTCTTTCCCTCACCCCCCTCTCTCTCTATCTCTCTTTCCCTCACCCTCTCTCTCTTTCTCTCTCTCTTTCCCTCACCCCCCCCCCTCTCTCTCTCTCTCTCTCTCTCTCTCTCTCTCTTTCCCTCACCCTCTCTCTCTTTCTCTCTCTGAATTCATGTACCCATCTTTACTTCTATGTCTCTTCTATACAGGATGAAGTGCTGATGGTGATAAGAAGAGTGGATGATAATTGGATAGAGGGGCAGAGAGGTGATAAGATTGGAATATTCCCCATCTCATTTGTGGAGGTAAGACGATGAAATATACATTTAATAGCCATTTAGTTTGTCATGTGAGAGAAAAAGTAATCTCAAAATCAAAAAGTCGTTCTTTTGACTATGTGAGTTCCTTATAATATGTTGCATAAAATCTGGTACACATATTGATCGTTATAAGAAGAGAGTAAATCCTACTGATTCCATAGACAGATTGGAACATGCAAGTCCAAAAAGCTCTTCTCCCTTATAGCCCTCAATGATTGGCAGTGAGATTACACATGTTTGCCAAGAGTGTCAAACAACTGTAGATATTGCCTTGAGTTCACTGCCATGCTGTCCTACATTATGCTCTGTTCATTTCTACAAAAAAGTTATAATTGCTTTTCTCCATTAAATTCTATGCATGAGAAAGTCACACTATTACTCCACAAAAAACAAAATGTTCTATCTATGTGTTTCAGATTCTGCTGTGAATTGTGATTCTAAGCAAGTCATTAAAAAGGGATTTCTCCTTATTAAGCCAAGTAGGCAAGTTTTCATAATATAATCATATTTAATGCTTTTAAATCTTTGTCTTTCATCTGTTATGAATAATGTTATTATAGTGTTCAGAATGTGAATTGCATGTACATAGCATGTTGTTAGGTAGGACAAGCGGTAATGACTGTTTTTTTAGCGTTTTTAGCGTGGCACTTAAAATAGAATTATGCATTAAATTTGATTACATTACAAGCATTACATTACAAAAATGTTCTATTCAATGCTAAATCTCTATTTTCCTTTTTTTATAGTTGAACGATACAGCCAAGGGTCTGGTGGTTGTGAATGAAGGAGCTACAGGAGGAGATGGATCAGGTCATGAGTCTGGTTCCAGGTGAGATGACAGATAGTGTTATTTTTCTACATGGTGTAACATATAAAGTTGGATGTTATCACAAACAAATAGATAGAAAGTGGAACTTCTGTGTATCTTACTTTTGTACATATACTCTTTTAAACACATAAAATAGTAGAGTGTGGTTAAACTCAAGTGAAAAATGGAAAAGGAGAGAGAGTAATGGCAGGGGCTTCTTCTGCCTGTGAAATAATAGACAGGACTGAGGCAACTTGCCCTTGAAACTCTTGAAAAAAAGCCTTTGTAAATCCACTTTCTATCATTGCTATATAATGAATGATAAATATCATGGAAGAGAATGCTTTCTGATGTGCAGATGTGTCAATAATTCCCCTCTCATTTTATCCAGTAGCAAGAACAAATCATCGAACAAGCGTCATTCTTTCACTTCCATGCTTGGTGTCCAACTGCGCTCCAAGGACTCCCAAGATCGAGGGAGTGGCGGCACCAGTGGTGGTGGGGGGAGTGGAGGAGGTAATGGTACCAGTCCTAATAACCGTCACTCCATGGAGATCTCATCTCCTGTCCTCCTGAGGTCTAGTAATCCCACCGCTGCCACCCTTATAGAGGCTAAGGCAGCAGCAGCAGTAGCAGCAGCGGTAGCAACAGGTGGCCCTTCACCCGCATCATCTCCATCCCCATCATCATCTCCGCTTCCCGTTGCCACGGCATCAGGGAGCAGCACTCAGACTGCTTCTGGAGGAAGCAGAAAGAAGCCAGCTCCACTTACGCTGATCAATCAGGTTTTGATATTTTATCTGTTTTAAAGTTTACTTCCTTCAAAAAATGAATTTTAAAAAAATGTTAAAGAGATGAAGAAAAAAAAGAGGTGAAACTAATCGTAAAGACTTTGAGACAGATATACTCCTTTTCACAAAAGGATACAATAGTTTACAAAATCATTTCTGATTTACTCCACAGATGAATACCAACAATTCTTTTCAGAACTACACTCTTCATTTTTCACTCTTCAACTATTGAGATCTGCTCACAACCTTCTTAATCTCGATCACTCCGTCTTTCTCTTCCCGCTCCGCTCTCTCCATTTCACTTCATTTTTGGTGTTGACAACACCAAAAACAAAAAACAAAAATAGTTTTGTGTTAGTGTTTTAATAATCATTCCATTATCATCTCTTCCTGTCTTTCCCTTATACTTCATCCTCAATTCCTCTATTAAAACACCCCATAAGCGGGCTCTTTTGACGAAAAAATATATCAACAGCTTTCTCAGTATGGCTACCACCTGGTGCTACTAAAAGCATTAAATGTGTGAATACTGACTCACCATGGAAACCTACAAAAAACATCTTGTATACATTGACATCAAAACAAATTTGTAAATAAAGATTTCTACCGGTCAATAAATGCAGCAAGTGCTGAAAATTCTGGAGTGCTTGTGATTTGAAGTTTGTTGTACTTGCTTTCTTCTCCCAATGAAGCCTGCTGCTGGTGGACTACCACCCAACTCTCCTACCATGTTTGCATCAGGTGGACCAGCCACGCCCACTCATCTTGCAGCCCAGGATCCACCATCCTCTCCTAAACCAAAAGTGGAAGTGTAAGTTTTGAATTTACTTGTTTATATTTCTTTGTACAGCTGTATTTTGATTTGAAATTTCTTATATCCTAAAAACCTTGGTGCTTTTCTCACTATTCACCATGACAGGAAGCATGTTCTGTGATATTTGTTTGTTTTTCTTTGACCTGTTCTGACTTTCAAGAAGAAAGATTAATTTCTTCGTCCAAAAATGGTAGCTACAAGACCATTTCTTGAACCAGAGAGGAGTTGAGAACTTTCTGTACATGTACTGAAATTTGAATTGTACATTAAGGAATAAAATAATAGCAGTTTTACTATGTGGGTACATGTAGGTCTTGGTTTACTCCTCAGTTTTAGATGCATTTGAATGTGTTGCATAGTTGATGATTTTATTATTGATTTTTCTATATGTGTATACCGTTCAATGAAATATGTTCTGATTTTTTTCAATGATTGGACATCTTTTCTTGCATTAAAAAAATATCTGATTAGGAATGATAGTTATCAAAGGTATGTAGACATGTTTATCTACAAATTGTGCTACCTATTCTTGTTTTTAAAAGCTGTTTGAAACTGAAATCTTTATTACAGGTATGTAGCCATGTTCAACTACAAGCCCCTGAACCCTGATGAGATTGAGTTGCGGAAAGGCGAGTGTTACACGGTGACAGAAAAATGCAAGGATGGGTGGTTTAAGGGTTTATCCGTTTCAAGCGGCCAGATCGGTGTTTTTCCTGGCAACTACATGCAAGTGTACAGGTAAGATTAATTCAGGTCATGTTTGATATTTTTATGCCTCCGTTACGAAGTAGCCGGAGGCATTATGTTTTCGGGTTGTCCGTCCGTCCGTCTGTCCATCCGTACGTACGTACGTACGTCCTGTTCTCGTGATTGCGTTATCTGAAGAACCGATTGATGGATTCCTACCAAACTTTGGTCATGTTTGTATCTTGCAGAGCCGATGAACTGATTAGATTTTGGGGTCACAAGGTCAAAGGTCAAAGGTTACAGGGCTCATTATGTATGCAAAAACAGCTCGTGATCGCGATATCTGAAGAACCGATTGATGGATTCCTGCAAAACTTAGGTCATGTATGTATCTTGCAGAGCCGATGAAGTGATCAGATTTTGGGGGTCACGAGGTCAAAGGTCAAAGGTCACAGGGCTCATTATGTATGCAAAAACAGCTCGTGATCGCATTATCTGAAGAACCGATTGATGGATTCCTGCAAAACTTACGTCATGTATGTATCTTGCAGAGCCGATGAACTGATCAGATTTTGGGGTCACGAGGTCAAAGGTCAAAGGTCACAGGGCTCATTATGTATGCAAAAACAGCTCGTGATCGCATTCTCATTAGAACTGACAGATGGATTACTATTTAACTCAGGACTTCTTGCAGAGCCAATGAACTGAGTAGATTTTAGGGTCATGAGGTCAAAGATCAAAGGGTCATATATGTATATGAGAAATTGCTTGTAATCACGATATTCTGAGAACCTGTTAATGAATTTGAAAAATTTCTTCTGTTTTGGTTTGTAAAATTGCTCTATGATGGAGGCATCATTTTCGACTGCTCGCAGTCGAAGTTCCATCTAGTTAAGGGATTACTTTCATGTCCCATTGTGGGGGAGGGAAAGTGTAAGGTTTGGAAAATCAATGATGTACCTGATCATGCATTCTCAAAGTGTCTTATGTTGGTTTATGCGATTAACAAAATAATTAATTTTGTTTAATATCAGTAGTGTCAAATGATTGAAACAAATAACTGAAATTCATCTACTTATAATTCACATGTCAAGATCTGAAGTTGGGCATTCCAAGAATCTAGAAGGCATTTTTTTTTAATGACTGATTACAATCCATGTATTTCACTCATGATGTCGCATTTCAGGATTCAGTTTATTTTGTTATATTCAGGATATCACATTCAAAAGTTTAGAATAAAAGTTATTTAGGTATGGAAGAGGCTCAATATTTTCCTTAATTGTAAACTGATTAGAAGTCAACTAGTAGTAAATGTATTAATATGCACAGTTGTGTATTTTATTTTTGCTGTAATGTGAACTTGTTTGAAATTCAGAATTCCTTACTTATTGAATCTCTTTCTTTGTAGGCATGATAGACAAGAGAAGCAGAAGAAGGCTGCTGCATCATCATCAGCCTCTTCATCATCAACTTCATCATCATCGACCTTTGCCAGCTCATCTCTCTCCACACCATCATCAGCGTCAGCCCCGCGATCAGCCACAGCATCATCTCATACAACAGCACCCAACTCTGGAGTTGCCGGACAAAGTGCTAGCTCCGGGGCAGGAGAGAAGAAAGCGCATCACCATGATGGACAAAAGACTGTAGCACAGCTGCAGGGTGAACGGGCAGCACTGAGGATGCATTATCAGGGTGCAACTCAAGGGGCTGTTAGTAGGCCTATCCAGGCTCCTCCTCAGACAAGACTGAATGAAAGACACCCTCAAGGTAGCCCACCCACCGTGGGTGTGGAGACAGCTAGGCAGGGCGGGGTAGTAGGATCTCCTGCTATGGCAGGCAGCTGGCCAGGGAATGCCCCGCCCACTGGGGCCAGTGTAGGAAACAGGCAGGTTCACACTGCAGTTCAAACTACAAACGCTAATGCGCAGACTGTGCGTCCTAGGACAGTCAATCCCACCGCTGCCACCAGCACGTCTTACCCCAATGCATCTCAACCAGGTTCACCACCGGTCTCACACGGAATCAGAACTCATGGAGGAGTTCCTCCTGGTGCCACCGGGCTTGCAGATACCAGCAATGTACAGCCTGGTGTCCCTGTCAGACAAGCATGTAGCCAGATGGTGTTCCCTCACCAGGTAGTCAGGCAGTTCAGTCACCCTAGTGACCTCACTTTGAATGTTGCACCTGCTAAAACCAAACGTGTTCCTGTTCCTTCTTCCGCCCAAACGGGTGGGCCCATGCTCGCCATCAGGCATCCTGTCGATAAGCCCCGGCGGTTTAGCGAGAGCGACCAACTCTCGTCAGCCAGACCTACCTCAAGTAGCAGTAGTAGTAGTAGTACTAGTAGACAGGCTGCTGCTGCTAATCGTAACAATCTTGCACCAATAAACACCACCACCAGCACCTTTACCTCCTCTAAGTCTGGTTTGCATGCACATCCTCCACCAATCTCACCACTGCACGCTGGCACCTTTCTTTTCTCCAAGCATGTAGGTCTCTTGTCTGGTGACGGTGTGGGGCAGGCACAGGTAGGGGCCAATAGCGGGTGTAGAACTCCTCCACCGACACTCAACACCAGTCCACCTCAGGTCAGGGGTCATCGTAGGCGCAGTGGTAGTATGCCATCGCAATTCACCCTAGCTCACAAAGCAGATAAGGTAGAGTCCTGGCTCATGACATTCTTTGGTAGTGAATCAAGGGGGTACAGCATTCCTTCAGCGGATGTTACCACTGCTAAGATATAACAAGGTTTTTTTTCCATCCCAAAGTTTAAAGTGATTAAGGAACCCACTTCAGTGTAGGTTTAAGATTCTTGACATGATAGTTCTTGAAGTTAATGGATATAAAAGGAAGGAAAATTTAATTGCAAAACTTTTATATCTCTTGAAATGTAGTCTTCTCAAGAAGATGTGACATTAAAAATATAAAAAAGTAATGTTCAAAGAAAACAATAATGTAAAATATGGTCTATTATTCTCCAAAACTAATGTTTTATTATTGAAATATGCTCAAATGCATAGATTGACAATTTGAATTATACTCTTATCAAATGGGAAAGACATGTAAAGCACATATTTGTTTGCATAGCCTTGAATTTCTTGCTCAGTATAAGAATTTCAATCTAAGACCTAAGATGCTTGACAGTGGTAGCCACCCTATGGTAGGAATTTCCAATTAAATGGGGGATGGTGAGGCGAATGGAAAAATGCAGCAAACTGCAATTAAATGCTTTAAAACCATAATCCAGTTATCTGTATCATGCCTTTCTTAGAAATTAAAAACAAAAAAAAGCCACTAATATGCAATTGAAGATGCCATGTTGTATTATAGCGATTCACTAATCCAAGAAAAATAAGAATGGCATTGCTTGCCTATTCTGTGAAAAATGGGGTTTTCTATTTGCTTTGTGTAGAACCAAAAACATGGATGAAATCAAAATACTAGTAGGAAATGATAATCAAAATCTATAGGGTCACACCACAACCATGTACACATGTAAATTATGAAAACATTTCCTTTGCTAGCTGGAAAATTTGAAACATTTGAGAAGACTTGGGCTGTTAATACTCAGCAAAAAAAATTATTAAAATGTCATACTCTACCAGCTGCCTACTCATCCTGCGTCATTACATTCTTGGGGTTTTCATGAAACATCTGTTTTATTTTTTATTTTTGTCTCCTCTTCATGTTATCATCTGGGATAGCACTTCATTTGTTTTGATCACATTTGCAGGAATGTATATGTACATTTCATTTACTGTAGAAGCACACCATTCATTGCCCACTATTTAAAAAACAAATCAAATGGGGACACATTATGGAAACAATAGAAATATTGCATAATTTGTTCATTTTATTTATTTACATGTTTATTTATTCATTTATTAATTATTTTTTGATGTGCATAAGATTAGGTTTTTGAATTATAAAACTTCCTGGGTGGCTTTTTTTTAATGTTCTGCTATACTAGTTTGATACCTCTTTGACTTTTATGTTTGATTTTCCAATTCCCTTTGTGTGGCAGCTATGTCGAGCACTCACAAACTTGTATTCTCTAATTGTTTGCTGTGGCATTTTTTATATATATATAAAAAAAAAAATTTGCAAACATAATCTGTGTGATGTGTTACTGTCAGTTGATTTGTTCCATCTATTATTTTGCATATAGTGTGCATGTTATTTCTTGTATTTTGTGTTGTCTGAAGTTTACTTTATGCTCTTTAAGTATGAAGTGATCATTAGGTAATATAACCACACAAACCAAATCTGTGTAATAAATGATTTCAATATTGTAATGTTAGATCAAACATGTAGAAACTTTACACACCGCAGCTTAGAGGCTGCTAGATTTATCAATGTAATCTATAAACTTTCATCTTGCTACCTATTGCATTGATCTTACATATTATTAGTCAACAAGTCAAATAGGACCCTAGCCGTTTGAGTTGTTGAAAAACGCTATAACATTGTTTTGTCTCCATTGATAACTTTAAAGAATGACATTGCCTTCTGAGAGCAGAAATTATTCAAGAATTCCCCTTTTGTATTTATATTTCAACCTTTGCTTGCGGCCTCTGTGAAATATAACATTATTCTGGAAATTGTGAATTTGCTGTTTCGTATACTTTGTTACACTTAAAGCTGGAGCATGCAATATTTGTATAATAACAAACACCATAATAAGATTTGTAAGCTGCTAAATCCACTTAAAATCAAATGCTCAAGGTGCACTAATGCAAAAGATGAAATCACATAAAAGCACTAACAGAAAAAACTATATTAGTAGGATAGATAATTATAGACTAAAACAAAAATAGGAATCAGCATCCTTCTAGCCTTCAGTCCATACTTCGTACTTAAAAAAAATATTAATGATTTAATTCATCTTTCTCTACAGAAGGAGAAGAAGGAGAGGAAAAGCAAGAAGCCTTCCAACAAGCATGTTACATCCAACGAAGCTCCAGAGTTAGGAGGCACTCGAACCACCAGCCCTTCGCGCTCCGCCATCCGAACAACCACCTCCGCTACCCAGTCACCTAACTCCTCCAAGTCATCCTCCCCGGAGAATCAGCAGGGGGAGGCTCCAGCGGCAGAGACTCCTGCAGGAGCTGTGACAGGGGGAGGGGAAGGAGCCAGGGGCGGGACTGAGACAGGTGCTGCTGCTGCGGAACAAACCCCACCGAAAACAACTCCATTGCTGCGTGAAAGGTAAGCTCCAATGTGCAGACTGATTGTTCAAACAGGCAGAAAGTAATTTTAGACTTATTTGAATGTGTAGGAAATTGTAATACACTTGCCGACATTTACTTACTTACAAAAACACATGTCAATAACTTTACACTATATTGACTTGGTTAAATCAAAAAAACAAATGTGTAATTTTCTTCAAAGGAGTCATTCACTTTTAGTAAAAGACAACAAATTTTGTGTAATGTTCATGGGATTGTTTCATACAATACTCATTTATTTACCATTTCCTCATAAAATACTAGGTTATGTTTCTGAAAGCAATGAATGCGGTAAACATGTTATTTTTGTAATCATCAGACCAAGAAAATTTCTTATAATACTATGACAAGCTAGATTTGCTTGGAATAGATATTTGTATCGCTAGCATATAAAATGGTCTCTTAAAGATTTATTGTATACAGGCATAACATTTTATCTGTTACTATGCAATATATGTTCTCTTGTCTGCAGATATCGTGTGATTGTCCCATACCCACCGACGACAGACGCTGAGCTTGAGCTCAAGATTGGAGACTCTGTCTTTGTTCACAAGAAGCGAGATGACGGCTGGTTCAAAGGAACATTGCTCCGAACGGGCAAAACGGGACTCTTTCCTGGTAGTTTCGCTGAACCCTACTAAGCCTCGACCCTGATGCATACTTTTTTTACTGTGCAGATGACACTTTCTGTGGAGTCTTGATGTGATTTGATGCCTGTATGAACAAGTGTCATGGAATTTGTGAAACCTTTCAGATAATGTGCATGCCGATATTTGAATGCTGAACTGAATATTCTGTGAGGAAGGAACATGTAATATAATTCAATTCTCTGCTTGGTTGACAGTTGTTAAGTAATGCAGTGATGGTAAAAACAGATTTCCTTCTTTTTCAGAACTCTGGTTCTACCCATGTTAATTAATCTCAAAATAAAATTATTAAATAATTGGGAATTGAGAAGATGAGAACAAAAATGCAAGAGGGGGGGGGGGGGGCGTTGGGGATCTGTCGGTTGAACATAACTTTCAAGGTTATTTGAAGAATGATAATCATCTTGGTTGTGTTTTACCCCCTTCAAGATTCGCCAACAGAATCATTTATCGAATGGACCTTAACCAACACTGTGTTTTACCTCTGTAGGTAGTCCAGCTTGCATGGCGTCCGAGTGTCATACACTGGTTTGTGACAGGTTTCTCAATAATGATGACAACCTCTGTTGGAAACATTAATTTATACTGTAATAATAAGAGACATACACTCTAATTCACATAAATCAATGTTTGTAAAAACCGAAAATTATTTTGATAGCAGAAAATCTCAGTTCTGCCCCATTATTGCATATATCAATAGTAGGGTGGATTCACAATTGATAGTGCCCCCACAGGCAAGCCGCGACAGCCCAATTTTTCAGTTCGCAATCAGTGCAGTACAGCCAAAAAAAATTCCCTGGATCTCCTAGGGTATATAATATTGTCACAGCTGATATTTTTGTCAACTATTTCCCATAATGCATCGAGTGAAATTGACTAAATTTTGGTATCTCTAGATGGCGCTGTAGATTGTGAATCCACCATATTTTATATAATAAAGTGTGGAGATAAGTTTTGTGAAGGGGAAACTTCACAATTTAAATGGTACAGAATTAATTCAATTTTATTTCTTTGGATACTAAAGTGAGTTGTTGATTGATGATATGCAAAAGATTGTGCCTGATAGTAGTAGACCAAAGATCATGGGTTTAGATGAAAGTGAACGTCATTTAGCTATGTAAGTACACACACTGCATGCAAGCTAAAGCAAAACATATATTAAAGACTTGTCACAACTATTAATATATTGCTATTTCAGAAGATGACAATTGTGAGCTCGAAAAGGATCTTTTTTTCTCAACATAATGCAGGAATGGGCAGTAGAGCATAAGTACAAAGCAGACATTTTATGGAAATATGAAAAGTATACTATTTAAATGTTTGATGTTGTTGATTGTTTTACTTGACTGATAAGAAAGCGTGTTTATGCTTGTATTAGTAAGCTATCAGGGGACAGACGACTTTAAGTCCTCTCAAAGGGACTTGTGATGAGAATTGATGCTCTACCAAAGGGCATAAGCATATTGACTTGGTTTTGAACCCAGGATCTCCAGGTTATGAGACCACTGCTTTACAACTGAGCCATGGCAAATCTAACAGAAACTGAAGAGAATGACAGAGAATAGTTAGCTCTTGGGATGAAATTGATATATAAGGACAGTTTGAGCAACAGGAAGGTTTGGGTAACAATGGCCCAATAATTCAACAGCAGGCAAAACATATATCAGTTATAGAAAATGAAGGCACATAAGTGATGTCATCAAAGCTTATCTTGCTCTAAATAGCTGATGTAGTATTGTGTTAATATGGTAGCATGTCAGTAATACCTTATGCAATGCTACAGTAGCTAAATGTTCTGTGAAACCTTTCTTCCCAGTATGCATGAAGATTTGTCTACAAGTCTCCATGTAGGCTTGGTACATTTCACATCTGAAAGCCCTTAAATGATTAAGCAATTTATGAGGTAAAACAAAGCAAACTTTAAAAAGTATATGATTGTTTAATTTACTTTACCCCACAGGTAAATAATCATGTCATGATGTCAAATTTGTTTAAAAAACCATGGTTTATGATGTTAAACGTGCATGACTTTAAGTATAATATACATCTCTGTGTAACTTGACTGCATACTAATTATGATTACTTGGTAGGCAGTAAATATAGGGCTTGTTAAATATAGACCTTGCCACTCAAAATCAGAACTTAAATGAGAAGTTGTTATAATGCTTGTGCTTTCTTATTCCAATCATTGTTTTGAATTATATTATTTACGATAAGTACAGATTACTGTACGGTTCCATGTCATTTGTTCCTAGGGGCAGTATTCTGAAAACCTTTAAACTGTGTCAAAACTATGTCAGATTACAAAGACCTCTGTATTATGCTAAAAAATTAGAGCTGCATTACACGGCTAAATCATTTTGATAAGTGAAATTAGTTGCATTTTAGCAGCATGAGCAATCGTGTAAAGATGCATCTCCACAAAAATCTGTTGGATACGTTTGTGAACTTTGTGTAGTTCAGAGATCAATGTGTTGATTTCTTATTTTGTCTGTTTGGCGCCAGAAGGCCAGTAGCTCATATAATTTTATCACACAGAGATAAAGCCCTTTAGGCTCCAAACAGACAGTATACAATGTTATTATGGTTTTCAGATTACTATCTCAAAATTGCTTTTCACAGAAGACTTGCATAATATACTCCAATGTTCAATTTCTGTTCAATTTTTTATATATTTATGGTTATCACTGATACCAAAGAATCATTATTTAACCAGTGATATGTTTGTCATCTGTACCATGTCTCTAGCATTCAAGTATGGTCTGTACTTTTGAATAAGACTTCACATCATTACATTGAATTAATTCAGAAGTATTTGCATGAATGCTACCCTCCTAACTCTGTCAATGTAACAGTAATATTTTTTCGATGCCAACGAATGCTGTATAAGTATGAAGTTATTGTTGTCCATTAGTATACCAATTAAGGAGGCTATATAGTATATGGTGTTAGAGCAGTGTCATGATCGCACCACCTCAGTTTTATTTCGAAGAGGCACCAATATGATCAAACTGGAGGATCGGTATTCACATATAGGTATTAACTTTAATTCGGTTTGAACCCAGTGGGTGCTTCATAAATAAATGGACTAAGTTACAGTAAACCAGCTTTTACCTAGCCGCATTCGTGACTAGATGTAATTAATGAAAGTAGTTTGTTTAAAAAAGAGAATTCCAGAAATTTGTTCATGCAAGAAGAATAAGTCACAGGTCTATAATCCAGCTCAATGTTTGATTCAAACTCTCACTCAAAACCAAAGTCAAGTTCTAAGTTTATAGGTTGAAATCCAGATTTGGGCTGGTGTGAGACCATTTAGTGTCTCTTATAATATGTATACCGGTTAGCAAAGAGATCACTGCTTTGGTGACTTTTCAAACACTTCCCAACACTTTAATATGCAGACAGCATAGGGTTTGTTTTGTTTATGCAGCAAGTGTGTTTATTGTTGTATCTACATGTTATTTGTGAAAATGTATCTCTGGCATACACAATGCAGTATGGTACTGCGTGATATTGAAAATGTGAAATCCTAGTCCCTAGGTCTGAAGAAATTTTTGGTTTGGGAAGCCTACCATAGGTGCTTTAATATTTATGATCATAATCATGTTTGCTAGAAGCATTCCTGGCAAAAAAAAAACATTTTTGCATATTTAAAGATACTCAGCTTGGTGTAGACCTTTTGGTTGCGATAACTGATCAATTTGTTATACTTTATTTCTCACAAATCCTTGCAGTACTTACCCAATGCTCTGTCAATGGTGGGTCTATTTTCACATCGAAAATGGGTTCTGTTGAACAAATGCTCACTGTAACTTTTCTGTAATTGGTAGGTTCGTAACCTGCAGCAGTATGTAATGTATGTATGTATTGTGTTTGTGACTTGTTTTATGTGTATATGTGAAACTAATACGAGTGTCTTTTATTTTTTATGGTGCATGTAATCAATGTATATAGAATATTTTGTAGTATTTATAGCTTAGGCAGATTTTCTTAGACTTTCATGGACTATTTTATTTTCAGCTCTGTATTCAAGCAATATTCAATATCCTAGGATGTATTTGTTGGTTCCTATTTCAGAATAAGGATTCATAAGGATAAGGGTTTTTTTTCTCGCCAGTATTCAATTGAATTCAAACCTTGTATTCATACCAAGATTAATGTTTTAAAAGAATAAAGCAATTTCTCCTTTCATAAACCATCCTGCTATCATTACAGTTGAAATTGATGACAAATATGAAAGAAATACATAAGGAATTTTAGTTCACTATGTTTACTCTGTGACATGGAATTATGAAATTGGATTTCAACGACTGTCGCTAGGTCAGAAAAACCTTAAATAACAAGAGAAGAATTTCACATCGTGAGACTGCATACAGTATTCAAATTCATCTTTCAGAAAGAGCATTTGCAGACATACACTTGCATTTCTTGCCATGAGAAATCTCTGATTGTGTTTAATGTCTTCATTTCTGCTTATAAGTGATATTGTCTGTTTGGAGCCAGAAGGGCATTAACTCATAATTTGAACACAGAGTTAATGCCTTTCTGGCTCTGAACAGACAATATATTCCTGTGAGAGAACAAGATCAAATTATGTACGGACTTGCATATTAGACTACCTGAGATAGCACACTTCATGCCTCTATAATTGTATGTTACTTGTTGTACGTGTGTGAACAACATTTTATACCAATCCTGATTAGAATATTACTTGTCCAGTCTCTATCTCTTTTGCCAAGACAGATGGAACATTTTCATTTGGAAGAAGTTCATTATGACTTGTAGAAAATGACTGTAGCTGAGTCTTTTTAGACTAGAAAATGAGTGTTTGACTGGTTATCCCTTGATTGTAACCTTTGGTTGTCTAATATATTTAACTTAATATCATGTCTATTTCTAAGCTAAATAATATAGTTCATAAATAATAGTATTCTATAAATCATCATTTTATAACGGTAATCTATTCCAGAAATGAGTAGAAAATTATGTCGATTTCATATACATGTATATAATGTCAGATTTATAACCAGTGAAAGTGAATTGAAATAAGATTTGAAAGAGGAAATTGGTGAAATAATCACTGACCTGCGAATCAATCGATCAAGCCAAATTCTTTTCACCCCAAATGTTGTGTTTCATGCAAGTGTAACAACAGCAGTCACGGTACATTCAACAATCTTTTATGATGTTTTACTGAAACTTGAAGATTATATGCGGTGCTCCATAATTTTGAAAGTATTCCCTAATCTTAATCTTAAAACTGAAGAAAAAAAGTAAGTCAAAAGTGAATGATACATAATAGATACAGGGCTTTTCTCTTTCCCGATTCAGGGTTATATTACACAAAAATTACTAAATTTTTAGATGGCATTTTGGTTTCCTTTGAATTTACCTCAGAATTGGCTGATGTGAAGAGGAGTATTTTAGACAGGTATTATTTTGCTTTTTTGAGTAGTTTTTAAACAATAAGACATACTTTTACTCTGGCACATGTTGATGTTCTTTGTTATTGTTGATTTTTTTCTAAGAGTGCCTTCAGGAATTGATGAAGAAATATGTATATGTTCCAACTCCTTTTGATTATATTTTGTTAGGTATTCTGTTATTCACATGTAACCGTGTGAGTTTTGTTTATTTTTAAGTTTCTATTCCTTTTAACATGTGATTATGTGCAGGTTTTACCTGCTAGAAAACGAAAGCTTTTATTGTATCGTAGGATTTCTTTGGATTTTTCTTAAGAGGGACAGAGAGAGAGAGAGAGGGTGGGGGGGGGGGGGGGGGGGGGGGGGGGGGGGGGGGGGGGGGGGGGGGGGGACACATTTTCAAGGTATTGTATCAAGGTATTGTTCAAGGTGCATATTATGTTTCTTTTCATTCTTAATTTCTAATTTTAGAAAAAGAATTTATATAAAGGTACACAGAAATATTGTTTTGATTTTGTGAACGAAGGTACTTTTGTCTTGTGTTTATAATATTACATAAGATGTTATGTGTATATGTGCTTGCTGCATTGTGTGTCTTGTGCTGTCTTAAAGTGAAAATCACTTCAAAACATTTGTAAGTCAGTTTGATGGTATTCAGATTTGAGAGAGTATGGAGAATTCCTTATATGTGTCTCGAACATTTTTTATTTCTATCTAGATTTCTTTTTCTTCAAGTCACCCATTGACACTCTGGCATGAGAATGATAACAGCAAAAATTCATCAAATACATGTATGTACAGGCTAGAAATATCCCAATGTTTCACAGAATCATCCTCGGACAGACTGAAAAAGTAAAGAACTTCTCTAGTCAATCCTTCAAAGATGAAAATTCATGCATCAAGAATTAAATCTGATCAATATTATTTAATTCTGACAAATATCAGATTAAGTGGCACTGCTGTCACTGAATATAGATTTGCTTGTTCACACATGCCAGAAACTGCAGCATTTTGAATGTGTAAAATGAATAGCTGTGCAACAAACAGAAAGGTCATACACATACTCACCGTCTATCTATTATTGAGTACAGAAACATGAAGGGTATTACGCAAACGTCATCTTATTATTATTATGTTTTTAAATTGTTGCAGTTTACCTTGTGTGAACGTGCCTAAATGGAGTCTCTGCCTGTATGTATACAATGTAAGAAATTACATTTCATATCACACTTTACTTATTTCCCACATAGTCCTGTAGAAGATATTGTTAATTGTTAGATTGACCTGTAATGAATGGAAATTTGATATTTCATACTTTTTATGCCTCCGCCACCGAAGGTGGTGCCGGAGGCATCATGTTTTCGGGTTGTCCGTCCGTACGTCCGTACGTCTGTACGTCCGTCCGTACGTCCGTACGTCCGTCCGTACGTCCGTACGTCCGTCCCGTTTGACCGTTATCACAATATCTCAAGAACCATTTAAGATTTAAACTTAAGACTCGGGAATAGTATTTATCACCATAGGAAGACGATCTGATTAGATTTTGGAGTACGTAGGTCAAAGGTCACAGGTCACAGAGGTCAACTTATGAAATTCCTTGTATTGAGTTTGTTAGCGCGATATCTCAAGAACCATTTGAGATTTAAACTTCAAACTTAGGGATAGTATGTATCACCATAGGAAGACTATCTGATTAGATTTTGGAGCACGTATGTCAAAGGTCAAGGGTCACAGAGGTCAACTTATGAAATTCCATACATTGAGATTGTTATCATGATATCTCAAGAACCACTGGAGATTTAAACTTCAAACTTAGTGATAGTGTGTATCACTATAGGAAAACAATCTGATTACATTTTGGAGCACGTAGGTCAAAGGTCAAGGGTCATAGAGGTCAACTTATGAAATTCCATACATTGAGATTGTTATCATGATATCTCAAGAACCACTGGAGATGTAAAAACTTCAAACTTAAGGATAGTATGTATCACCATAGGAAGACGATCTAATTAGATTTTGGAGCACGTAGGTCAAAGGTCAAGGGTCACAGAGGTCAACTTATGAAATTCCATACATTGAGATTGTTATCATAATATCTCAAGAACCACTGGAGATTTAAACTTCAAACTTAATGATAGTGTGTATCACCATAGGAAGACAATCTGATTAGATTTTGGAGCACGTAGGTCAAAGGTCAAGGGTCACAGAGGTCAACTTATGAAATTCCATACATTGAGATCGTTATCGCGATATCTCAAGAACCACTGGAGAATTTTCACTTCAAACTTAATGATAGTATGTATCACCATATCATAATATCTCAAGAACCACTGGAGATTTAAACTTCAAACTTAATGATAGTGTGTATCACCATATCATAATATCTCAAGAACCACTGGAGATTTAAACTTCAAACTTAATGATAGTGTGTATCACCATAGGAAGACAATCTGATTAGATTTTGGAGCACGTAGGTCAAAGGTCAAGGGTCACAGAGGTCAACTTATGAAATTCCATACATTGAGATTGTTATCATGATATCTCAAGAACCACTGGAGATTTAAACTCCAAACTTGTTTAAATTGCTCTATGGCGGAGGCATCATTTTCGACTGCGCGCAGTCAAAATTCCATCTAGTTTTCATTGAATTGCTTTTTTAACAATTTTTTGTATTGAGCTGGCAAATGATGATTGATTGGAGTTTGTGTTAGGGTGAAACACAATGAACAAGAAGATATATATCCTTCTTTTTTGTAAACCGAACATTTGTAATCGAAAATGTATTATTTCATGTTTGTGATGAGTGATGAACATTGACAGATTTTCGTTGCGTATATTTTTTATTGAGTATGAAAAATTGCTATGTATTCTCATAATTATTGAATGTACTAATAATGATAATGAATGTATGCAAAATAAACATAATACATGTAAACAGAATTTTTGTATGATGTCTTTATTTTGTTAAAGCATTAGTCATTTTGTATGTTTTGCTGCAATTTTGATATACTTTAAACGTACATACAATGCCAATTCACTCATAGGACACTATACAATTTGACACTTCAACAGAATTCTAATTTCTTCTCATCAGCAAAGAGGTTGTTTTAATTCCATAAAGTTTTTCCAGTCATACTGTTTATCCATGAATACAAGGTGTACTGAGATAACAGTTGTATTTTATACTCTATTTATTGCATTTCATCAAAATCTATACATAGATATTTATTTACATTAACAGAAAATACCTTCATGATGTGTGTAATATTCATAATAAAGGCACTACTTTGCAGCTTTTAAAGCAGAGTTTCTCACTGAAGAAAAATTAAGATTCAAATACACCATGATAGTACTTACAGCATAATAAACTATATCATATAATGTAAGACCTTAATTCCTCATAAACGATACATAATTACACACATTTTGTATTGTATAAATGATTTGATTTTCCCCACAAAGGTAAATTTATGCAATAGAAAGAGATATCATTTGTTGTTTTTAGAAGGGGAATACTTTTCATTATGTTTAACTTTAAAATACAACAAATGCATATTGTAGCCTCTAATATCCTTACATGTATAAGATAACTTTCTTATTTAACTTCTTATATATCTTCAGAGTCATACTAAGAAATGCAATTGGATTAATTAAAAAAAATCAAATGTCTCATCTGCAAAATAATGATACAAACACATATATTTCCTTGTAACTAAAAAACTTAAGTTATGTAGAGTTTTTAGAAATGATTTCAACAATCTGTCCCGCAGATTTCAATTACAATTGGGCATTTTAAGGAATTAATTCCTACCAGGTACCAATTTACCTAAAGCCTCGGTCACAAATGCCATTACGAACGCCGTACGAACGATTTTTAGACAATGGAAATTCAGAAACACAATGGAAAAACAATGGAAAAACAATAGAAAAACAATGGAAAAACAATGGAAAAACTATGGAAAAACAATGGAAAAACTATGGAAAAACGGAGATTCGTACAAACCTTGGTGACCGTAGCATTGCATGAGTATGGCAAATTTAGATTCATGTCTTATCAAAGGTCGTGCTGTAGCAGGGAAAAGCAAGGCACACTACTCTTCCCTCATTCCATTTTGCCACGGTGGTTCTTCTTCTTCTGCAGTGACCACCTTGGGCCAAAGGGCAAGTGCATAGCGTCCCCGCTATATTATGACCGGTAAAAATTAGGGTGACATAGACTACCTAAAGTCCTCCAAGGCAACCTGAAGTCCTGCTTTTGTTGCCAATTTGGCAACTATAGAATGACAAGTTCATATCGTTTTAGGTGCATTTCAGCACTCTACTGTATTTGAATCCCAAAAGTTGAATCGGCTACATATTATTTGTCTGGGGTGCCTGGCTAGCAATCCAAATCAAGTGTGAAGAGAGAGAGAGAGAGACCTGTTTGATTATTAGCCTTTCCTTGATATATCCTTCTCAGGATAGTCTTTCATCTCATCCGAATCAGGGAGAGCCTTTGCTAGAGTCCCAGCTACAATGCCAGCAAAGATGATAAGTCCGAGACGCTTGTTAGAATGGAATTTATTCCAACAATCCTCAGGCTTGTTGATGTCAACTGTCCATATCTGGGTATGGGGAAATACAATAAAGCAAAGAATGCATTTTATTTCTAAACAGGTAGGACAAGCGTTCCTTTCGCCGCTGGTATTCATGAAAGGAATCCGCATTAACCACATGGGTTCCTATGTCAACTGCTCCGCAAGTTTTCTTAACTTCCACCCTGAACCCAACACTTTATCTGGCCCTAATCCCAATCCTAAGCTTAACCTAAAACCTGATTAAAAAAACCCACAAAATTATTCCTATACCTTTCAAAAGAGAAACCAAGAGCATAATTATGTTGCCTGGGTGAATGTCAGATCACCAGGAAATAAGCACATATATGAATTGCACTTGATACTGTCAATGGCTAAACTTTATGGGCATTTTTTTGTATGTTTGTTTATTTTACCCCACTGCTAAGAAAGCATGTGTAAGCAACCAGATTCTAGATATAGATATATATCCATAAAAGATATAACAACTAGATATCCCTAACAAATCATTAATGACATGGGCCAACTAAAAGCATGATCTAAACACAATTCTCAAAGCAAGGTTTGTGTATTGGTGCTGAATTATCCTTAGGATTTATTATCAATAAGTCAATAATTGTTGCTGCTGAGAGAGAGTAGCAGCATTATATTTGACTGACCTGGTTTGCCAGTTGTGCTCCAGCCAGTGATATAGCTAGGTAGTATGGTATAGTCTGCTCTGCATTGTACCCTGATAGAACCAAGCCACCAATCATCAAGCTTCCGAAGCCACTCAGCCACTGCTTCGTCCTGTCTCCCATGAAGATTGAGGTGGATTTCAGCCCTAGCAGCATGTCATCGTTCTTGTCCTGCAGAAAAGATTGGAATGCACTTTATTTCAATGATGTCGGGTCAATCAGAGGACATCAGACCCGAAATTCCACCTGCTAAAATATTCTCCCTCTCATATTGTTAAGCTTTTTTTTTAGGTCAGCGTTTATGCCAGTGCAATACATTTGGCGCTTATAGCAAGTCTAGGGTACTTTAGAAAACAATATCGTAATCAATCATAAATCCTTTGTAACTTCTGTATCCAACAAGCATAATACACCTCTGAATATGACAATGTACATGTTCAACCTGCAAAATGTATTTGCCCGTTTCATACATGCAGGCTAATTTACAGTTGAATACACTCCCTCCCTCGGATAGGACGTTAAATGGAGGATGCAAGTCATTTTCATCATTCCGTGGAGAGGAGAGTCACCAGCTTTGTATGCTAAAAACCCACTGCACGATTCATGTTAGAGTAGGTAAAAACCGGGTGTAGTGGTCAACCAGCACATCCCCAACCCGTTATGCCAGGAGATGGACCCAAGGGTTACAGTGATTCGATTTACTTTTTGCCTCCCAGGCACATGTGATGCCAAATAATTGCTAATAATTGCTTTATCTCGTACCTGATGGCCGTAGATGGTGTCGTACACCAACGTCCAGGAGATACCAGCTACGTAGAGAGGGAGGACAACACTCCAGTCACACGAGCCATGGATTGCTGCCCAACCCAATATAGCTCCCCAGTTGAAGGCCATACCTAGATCAGAATGATGACAAGACAAGATTATTATTATTATTGTTACTATTTATTTGGCATTTCAAACATACAATAGAAGGTACAATAGAATGGCACATAGGATATAAAGTATGAAAGACTAAAATTGGCTTCCCATGCTGTGCCTCTCGAAGTTGCCTGGAAGAAAAAAGGAATGTGAAATTTCTATAACCCGTCAGTCTTTTCTTCCAAAACTTGAGAGCAGATGCACAAAGTGTTGATACAAGCCCCAGCAAAGTAAGCATTTCCCTCAGAAATAGAGTTTCACTATAAGAATTGCTTTCTGCATCCAGGAGTACAAGTGGATGCCCAGTAGGATGTTATAGTGACTGTGCTAGATTAGCATGTGCACACCAGTAAAGAGGAATTAACTGAAAAGTTAAGCTTCCCAGAGGAATGACGATTATTCACTGCAAATACGGAATTGTAAATAAATTTAGTGACCAGTGAAATAATACAATGTAAAATACTGTGATAAGTTCAGTATATTTAATTGGGAAAGTGCTACATGTATATACAAAAAATTACTTTTATAATCATTGAAAAATAGTATACAACTCTTACTACAAAGATATACCTATAATCTGATGGCATATCGGTCAAGAAAAATCATGGAGAGAAATACTGACAAATATAGAAAGGGAAAGAGAGGGAGACAGACAGACAAAGAGGTAGATGAGAAAGGAGGACATAAATAAAAACTGAGAAAGGGTCGAGGCAAAAAAACAGAAAGAGATATGAAGAGAGAGGAAGTATGAACGAGAGAGAAATAGAGAGAGAGAGAGAGAGAGAGACAAAGGGACAGAGAGAGAAAGAGAGAGAGACAGACAGACAGATATAGAAATAGAGAAAGAGAGAGACAGAGAGAGAGAAATAAAGAGAGACAGAGAGAGAGAAATAAAGAGAAACAGAGAGAGAGAAATAAAGAGATAGAGAGAGAGAGAGGCATAGAGAGAGAGAGAGAGATAGAGAGAGAGAGAGAGAGAGAGAGAGAGAGGCATAGAGAGAGAGAGACAGAGAGATAGAGAAAGAGAAAGATAGAGAAACAGAGAGAGAGAGCGACAGAGACAGAGAGCAATAAAGAGAGAGAATACAAGTGAAGATGATGTCTGACATACCTAACACAGCTTGAGGCCAGTATGTTATCCTCTTCATCAGTGGATAGCTGACAACAAGAAGCATTGATGATGCACCTAGTGCTACACTGTATACACCATGAAGAAGAGATAAAACAATATAATCTCAATTCATCACCATCATACAGAGTGTAGGCTGTGATGTATTTGCATAAATTAAAAGCATGCAGTAATCTTACAATAACAAATATCCATCAAATTTTCTCATTCTCTGGTTTGTAATAAATTGAAAACCTTAAATATGTAATGCTATACCATACATGGATCTATTTTCATACAAAATTTAAGAATTTTTGTCTTTAGTTAGATTTTTATTATGTTACGTATAGTACCCGCATTTGAAGAAATATGCACAATGTCTACATACCACTAAGTAATGTCATGTGCTTTTTCTTGGAAAACTTTGTTAGAACTGAAAGTGTGTTCAAACATAACTGAAACAATAGAGTATAAGAATGATTTGATATGTAAGTAACATAAGAAATATGAATGACAGCTGATATTTTCTCACTAGATAGTCCTGGAGAAATGGTTTTAGAGGCATAACCTGGAGAGACAGAAAGAGATCATTCTAAAATATGTTTTATATGATAGCAAATTGAAGATATATATTAAATGCCTTAAAGGAACTTGGTAACTTTGTTCAGATGAGAGAAAATGTTGCTAAGGTAGTGACTTCAATGCTAGATGTGCAATTCAGGATAATCTGAAAGTTTGAGTGAAAACAGACCGTTATTAATGATAAAAATTTGGAAAAACTGATCCGATCGATTCCTTAATTATCCCAACTACAGTTGTATAATATCATAACTTAATTAAATTTTAGGTGGATGTAAATCATCACAAAGCAATGAATTGGCTCTATATACCATTCCAAACATTTAAGTGTGGAAAGAAAATTTACTGTTAGAGGGTGATGCACAGTGGCGCTTTCAAAGAAAACCATAAATATCTTTGTGGTTTGAGAAATTTTCGGGAGTTTTGCATGTTAGAGGGTTAGTACAGTAGAAGGAATATAATAAGTAACATTTCAATCATACAAACATTACACAGTTTTTTCATCAACCTTCCCCAATGTTACCGAGTTACTTTAAAAGGTATGTTAACTAGGTGCTTTAGAGTGCTCAAGACATACCTGTACCAATTGAATGAGAGGAGAATGGCTAGAGATGCTGAGAGTTGACACGCCAGGAAGCACAGTGCTTGGAACTGAGTGATCTCACCTGCAGCCAACGGCCGAACTTTAGTCCTTTCAACCTAAGTAAATCAGACAGAGAGATAGAGAGAGAGAGAGAGAGAGACAGGAACCGAGAGAGAGAGAGGGAGACAGGAACCGAGAGAGAGAGAGAGAGAGAGAGAGAGACCTTTCAGACCAGTAGTGCTTTATGGGAAATGCATATTCATGAATAAGTCGTCTCTGATTGGACAGTGGGTTCCTTACTTCGCATCTGGCCAGCTGCGATACGCTCCATTGTGTAGTACCGTACTATTTTTTCCTTTCTGTTCTCATTCATTTGCTTGGCACCACAATTGCGGGGTTAGCCCTGCTGTTTTGCAGGGTCAGCTAACCCCATAGGTGGGGCTAGCACACTTTGGTAAATACGAGTCTGAACAGAAAGTGGAATAAGCTTAACCCGGACTATATGTGGGGCTAAGACCCCCCCCCCCCCTTAACCCCACCTATAGTACGGGGTTAAGCAAAATTTTGCCAGTGTGAAAACAGTATATGACTTTTTAATATCTACTCTTTTTTATCACCCTCTTGCTTGTTTTATTTTCTAGGAGTTTTCCTATTGCTGCCTTTCCTGATGACTCTTTGGCACATCAATATTGTTGGATGACCAAAAGATATCACATTTTTCTTCCAACGACAAAACTCAGTCATCCGACGACCTTTGTTTCTACTAGGGACGTTACTTACTGATTTATCAAAATCCTTGTCCCACATGTCATTAATGGTACAGCCTGCTCCTCTCATCAGCAATGCTCCTAGACCAAAGATACCCAGCATGTAGACATCAGGAAAGTGACCTGGTGAAGCGGCCATTGCAATACTCCATGTGCAGGGTAGGTACAATAGCCAAGTGCCTGAAGTGCCCAATCGAAAAAGAAGAAAAATAGGTTGTAGAAAGACTATAAATTCTGGGTAAAATGCCAACAGTCGAAAAGAATGAACACATTTGTAAGAGAATTCTATTTCATAATTGTTCTTACTAGCAACTCTCTGAGATATCAATGAAAGCAGATTGAAGCTTGACTATCAAATTTTACTTGAAATACCATGTATCTCTCTCTCTCTCTCTCTCTCACTCTCTCTGTCTGTGAATGTACAGGCAACAAATCAGCAGTTTTATTGCTAGTAGAAACAAAGGATATGGCAGCAATTTATCTACTTTGAAAGCTATTATTGTTGATAACATTCAATTTGCTCTTCTAACTATGAGGCAAGATGCTCTAATTTGTCTATTTGCAATAGAACTGAATAGTGCATCCTTTGAAATAATATACATAGTATGATTAAGTTACCTATTGGTTTGTCCAGCCTGATGAGACGAAGATAAGGCTGCATCTTGGATGGGGCAGCATTGACGATAACAGCTGGACTAAGGCTTAGATGTCGCTTTGGTTCTATTAGACCAGGTCTAGAATGTTTATGATCCAACTGATGTGATCCAGTGCAATGTAACCATCTCCTACCGTGTAGTAGGTCAAAGTTTGACGACTGAGTAGTCCTACAAGCACATGCCATCGCCTTCAGATCCAACTGTTGCGGACCATGGCATCTTGTAAAACTGTGACAGTGCAATGCTTGAGATGGATTTGCAGCAAAGGCATTGTGATGATGGTTCATTGAGTCTGCTGATGCATTACAAGATGGCCGACAGTGATGATGCAAAGTTTGCAATGCTGTTGGATGCCTTGCAATACAGCTTTGTGAAGCCCCACTGTATCTTTGTAGAAAGTTTAATCTTGTTATACCTCTGTGCCTTTCATACACTTGAAGGCTATGATTTAGGCTGGATCCATGTATCATCTGACAATGTGCATGATGTCTAGCTTGAGTCAATGAAGCGCTCCTTGATCCGTTGAAGTACAAGAATGCCCTACAGGACAACCTCCACTTGCAGCTAGATACAGTAGAGACAGCTGCCATTTCCACACCTCCTGACAAACAAAATGAAGGACTTGTTATGCATTTACATATTCTTCTTTAATAATTAATACTATGGACAGGCTTTTAAGGAGAGTAACTTTTTACTCTTAAAATTAGTTGACTTGACTTCCAACTTTAGCTTGGCTGTGATACATATATTTTTTAGAATGATTGAAAGGCAAATCAATGTCATTCTCAGTGCTTCCAATTTATTTTTCGTCGTCCATCATTATTTGGGCCATAATTTTGTTGATATTTTTTACACTTAATGCCAATTACATTGTAATTTTCATAGCCCGATCAGCATTTGATCTTGAGTTTTATTAGTGTAATTAGGCATGCGCAGGGATTACACTAAATTTAACGTACAACACGCATGCACCTTAGTACACTTGAAGAAGTGCTTAAAGAAACGCAGAAAGTTGCCTTTTTCGTGTACACCGCTATATCTGTATTTCTGGCAGAAATAACATAGCAAACTCTTGTGAGAGGTCAAAGTTTTTGTAAAGTAAATTGCCATTAGCTCATTATCATCAGGAACATGTGGCAGGTTAACAAATTGCCATCACTGACTCGGATATACAGATTTTGAATTTTTTTTGTTAGATTCTTGATCAATTTCAAAGTGCTTGGTATGAGAAGAAAGAAGGACCAACTAGGCTAGGGAACTAAGAAGCCAGTGTGCAAGGTTCGTTGGGGCGATTTTATGCAAGTTAGGATTTGTTTATATCACTCTCTAAGTTTAAGCAGGGGTATGGTGCCAATTAAGGCTAGGTTATATTAATATCATATTTCATATTACCACCTAGCCCTTAACTTAGGCTATTTCGACCACAAGTTTTAACTGGTTTCGTAGAAACTAGAATTTAAAATAGAACGAAAATACAATTGGTGATTTACAATACAAATTACAACATCATTATGTAAAATAGACAACAATTTGAATGTTCCCATGCCATGGCATCGTTAAGACCAGTATTGGAAACGCCCCAATTTCAAAAAATGAAATGGAAGCTCTCATTACCAATCATGTGAAAGAAAATGTTTTGACTAATACATGATGATAAAAAATTTGCCGGGAAACCGCCTACTAATTCATATATTTGGTAAAATTTGTTTCTCTCATGGTCTGTGAGAGATATAGGGTAGTCCCATATACATCTTTCTGTGTATAGTGCTTGTAACTTTACGAAGAATGGGCCAAATTTCTTATCATTTTGATGATTCCAGAACCTTACATATGCTAGATGCTAGATGATCAACCTTTTCTGATCGATTCCACAACGTTTCTTTCACAATGCAATCGCATGACCATAACTAGGCAAATTCATGCAAAAAAATATATTCAAAAAATTGACTTGAAAACACATCACACAATTAGTCTGAACTGAGTCAGGAGCAAATTTGAAGAAATTATATTTTTAAATGTTGTAAAACCAAAGATATAAGAAGAAAACTGACCAAGTATCTGTACTAAAAATCGTACATGTAAAATTGGTCGTAGATATTCGACAGCTGAATATGACGCGCACAGTTGCATTACGTGCGTTCTCGAATCCAAAATCGTACCTCACACACACAATCTCGCCATACCGCGAATGGTCCGTCTTGGGGAGCTAGCCGGCTGAGAGTTTGCAGCGATACCAACGCAGCTTCGGAGCTCCGCAGCGCGCCATTTTAGCGGGACTCGGAAAGGTTTGCGATGGGAAGGCAGCGGCCTAGCTTTTTGCCCAAACAACGCTAGATCGGCTGCTGGCAAAATGAAAATAACTACGATCGAGAACATCGTCGGTTTCTTAACTTTTCAGTGAGATAATTCTGAATTCTAATTGAGACTATATAATAAATTAAATCGACAAAGAAACCTCGATAGAACTCTTATAACTCTATACAAAAGCTTGTTTATTTCTTCATTTGACATTTTGTTTTCGACCATTTTTTCGTGCGCGAGTCAATGTAAACTATGTATTACCAAACTTTCAACACGCAAGGAACGGGGAACACTCGCGGACCTCGCAACAAATTCGTTGCAAAAAAAAATTTCAAGGGTGATTTTGAAGCAGTGAAGAACATTGGCGCTGCAATGCGCAGAAATATACTTGAAAGAAACTTAAAAAATAATACCTGAATTTTCAGAAAATCGTATTTGTATTAGTGTACCTAGATGTGACTTGTTTATAAATCAGATTTTATGAAGATTTGTCGGGAAAAAATGTCAATTTTTTCCGTTTGGTGGTCATTTCTAGGCTAATATTTTAAAAGTTGCATCAGTAATGGGCCCGATGTTTCTCTTATCGTACTCGCATGTTATTCTACATAGATTAAACATAGGATGGTTAAGGGTAAGACCAGATAACATTATAAAAAAGATATATCCTCCCACCCTCCCATATCCAAGTTTTGGGCTGATTATTGCCGACCCACCGCAGCAAGGCCATTCACGTACGCGCGCAAAGCGCCCTCTACTGCCCCATGAATGTGCCTACCATAACTGGTCTTTATCTTTGATTATAATTATATCAATCAATTTGTCCATAATTCATACTCATGCTGGTGTTTTAGGTCTCACTTCAATTGGCCTCCTACTAGTCGGTGTAAAACACTGTCATTGAACAGCATGTCCACAGCAGCTCAGCACAGCACAGGTGCGGGCAGGGACTACATAAATTCTACCACGCTCTGAAAAAATCAGCACGCAAGAGTTATGGCGGAGAGCGAGATCATTTTCTGCTGATTGTTAGCGGGAGCTATTAATTATTAATGCTCCCTAGACTAGCTATTGTAAGAAGGCTAGTTTAATCAAAATAATCATCAGTATGTTCACGATAAAGAAAATATAAGAAATAAGCTTACAATTAATGACAGGATACAGCTGGAAGCTCGTTTGAACAGCTCTGGGTAAATCGGAACAGCTGATTCGAGCTCGAAACATTGATTACGCAATGATACAACATGTGTATATTTTACGGAATCGTGGAGAAAACCATCCTCGCCCAATCATCAAAGGAACTTCCGTCGACTTGACATGAGTACGGGTCCGAAACAGTGCTTGCTATATGCGACATAGTATGCGGGTGTCAAAAATAGATGAGATTCGAGAAGTGCGATAATAAAAGTCAAGCTTATAATTATATGTAATTATCAAAATAAGTATCCTTTATTACTTTTGATGTAATTGCCCCTTGAACCCACTTGACCTATATTTTCCCAATGTCGCTTTTTTTCTTCAAGAAAGTGCCCTTTTTGTTCCAACCCCCCCCCCCCCCCCCCCCCCCCACTTTCAAAAGATACACAAGAGATTAAAGTTTCTAGAGAAGTAATTATGTGTCAAATGCATCCATCATGCAGTATAAGAGAGAGAGAGAGAGAGAGAGAGAGAGGTAGGATCGAGGAGAGAGAAGGAGCGAGAGAGATGGGAGGAGAGAGAGAGAGGGAGAGAAGGAGAGAGAGAGAGAGAGAGAGAGAAGAGAGACGGCCGGTGCGTGTGATAATTATTCTATTGCCAATATGATTTAGATCGGTTTATATTCGGAGATTAGAGAATGAAACAAATATGCAGACTTTTGCAGATGGGGTATATAATTTATATAGTCCCGAATTGAGACTGGCGGGGATAGGGTGTGTGTGTGGGGGGGGGGGGGGGGAGGAGGTTAGGGTATATGCTATATTGGCCTCCTATAATACCGGTATCTAGCTGTCATCAGAACGAGCCATGTTCATATATATCCTGAAGCCGTTTCCTTGAAGTCCAGAGGATTATAACATCAAAACGAAAAAAATGGGATGAAAGTGGAACTACATAAAACTAATTTTACCGAAACTTTACCTCAGAAAAAACACCACAGCAGATTTGATATGAGTATCATGCTATAATTTATCAAATAAAATGATTGAATTCATATCTGAAAAGATGACACGCTAACGAAAAGTATTGGCAATGATGCATCGTCATTTTCTTGAAAAACAGAAAGCCTAAAAGATGATTAAACCGTGGTTATTACTCACAAAGCTGGGGAAATAGTTGATTAACCCTTACTGTACTGGGGGGGGGGGCCTGGGAGGCCCCCCTCGACATTTTCGGAGATTGCGCCGCAACCGCTTGAAATTTTGAATTGTCGTTTCATACTTTTTTCCCTCAAATCTTACGCACGTTTTGATACCATTTTCGTCGCAATCGGATATACCTGTGAGGTGTTACATAACAATTAGTATGCGCATGTCATCAAAAATATGCTATAATTGCATATATTCATGTACAAGCAGAAATGTGAATACAGGTTTAGATTCCTTCCTAAGTGGGTGATATGAATTGATATCGAATTGCTTTTATATGTTTCTCAAAGTAACTTGATGTATTCCAGAACAAAAGAATACATAAGAAATAAAAACAATAGATATAATAAGAAATAAAAAAACAATAAAGTACATAAGAAAATAAATATTTAAAAATCGCATTAAATTTGCATAAATTATCATTATTAATTACATCAAAATAAATATTTTGTGTTAGAAAAGAAGTTTCATATGAATAATGAGTTTCAACATTCAAAGTGGAGTTTGACACATTTTCTGTAAAATGCATAAAATTAGCATTTTGCATAATTAATTAGGCTATAACGACAAAAATTTGCATATTCGCAAAAAAACTAATTACACCATCTTGTTCGTTACGTAAATATCTACAAACATGCAAATTTTCGTGTTCATCGGACATCCGACGGCCGAGTGATCATAGGGGGGGGGGCCTCCAGGCCCCCCCCCCCCCCCCCCCAGTCAGGAGGTGCTCGAAATAGCCCAGTACAGTAAGGGTTAAGACAATGACGTTTTTGGCCTTTTTTTATGGCCATAAACATGATAGAGAGAGTATTATGATGAAGTTTTACATTAGTATATTACTAAAGGGATTTTTTATATGTCGAATATATTAACACCATTTCTCTGCGCGGTCACAAAATAAAGGCATATATAGTTTGATGAGGAATTTTAATTCTTCACTGAATAATTTCAATTACATCGAGAAAAATGTAAATGGCTTGTAGGCCTATATTGATCAAGGCGGCAGCAAATTCAAGCACCTATATAGCCGAGCCCTTGCAGGTTCTCATGATGTCAAGCCCGAAAGTAAAATAAGGCTACATTCATTACTTTCTCTGCATTGTGAAATATTGACTCTTGCTCTAAATTCAGAATTATTCAGAAGTCAGATCCAGTTTCCATCATTTAGTCCACTGAACTTGGCAAAATGTGGAAATGTACTAATAAAAGGGTGAGGGACACTGGCCTTGCCCAATCCAGTCATTTAAAAAAAAAAAGTTAACTCCAACAAACTATAGCTGATAACCTCTTGGATAATTCTGAGCCAGTTACAAATGTCTTGAAATTACTCTTATCATTACTTAGTACGGGAAACTATCTGGCCAAAGTTTATGGTTTCCTCAGTGCTAGCCATTCTCCCACGAAATTCGCATTTTTGTTGTTGGTTAAACTTGACGTGATGTCAAACTATTACACATGAGATAGGCTACCCACTGTCCCACTGACCTGTATTTTTAGTAGCAATGTACAGGCGCGGATCCAGGATTTTCCAATAGGGGGGGGGGGGCCAGAAATTTGAAAATTGCGCAGACAGTTTTTCAACTCAACATACCAATACTGACAAGGTCATATTAGAAGCACCATACCGGTAATTGTTTTTTTGACATTTTCATCGGGGGGGGGGGGGGGGGCTGAAGCCTCTTGCCCGAAAAAGTAATTTTCTGGTTTCACAATTCGGCTTGTGAGCGAAGCGAGCGAGCAAAAATTTGAGGATAATATGTATTTTGTGAAAGTGTTATTTATCACCAAAATACACGAGAAAAGATATAACAAATTCATATTCATATTCGGGCAGCTCGCCCCCCCCCCCCCCCCCCCCCCCCACAACGCGCGAAGCGCAGAAGCTTTAATGTTCATGAAATTATTAGAGAAAGAAGAGGATTCGTTGTTCCGTTCTTGGTTCTTAATCATTGTCTGAATTCAGTTTCCACTCCCCCTCCCGCGCGAAGCGCGGAAGCTTTGACGTTTCATTAAATTATTATAGAGAAAGAAGAGGATTCGTTGTACCGTTCTCGGTTGTTAATCATTGTCTGAATTCAGTTTCCATACCCCTCCCGCGCGATCGAAGCGCGGAAGCTTTGACGTTTCATTAAATCATTAGAGAAAGAGTACCGTTCTCGACTCTTAATCCTTGTATGAATTGAGTCCCCCCCCCCCTTTCCCTCTCCCGCGCGAAGCGCGGAAGCTTTGACGTTTCATTAAATTATGAGAGAAAGAAGACGATTCGTTGTACCGTTCTCAGTTGTTAATCATTGTCTGAATTCAGTTTCCATACCCCCTCCCGCGCGAAGCGCGGAAGCTTTGACGTTTCATTAAATCATTAAAGAAGAGTACCGTTCTCGACTCTTAATCCTTGTCTGAATTGAGTTCCCCCCCCCTCTCCCGCGTGAAGCGCAAAAGCTTAACGTTTCATTAAATTATTAGAGAAAGAAGACGATTCGTTGTACCGTTCTCTGAATTCAGTTTCCATACCCACTCCCGCGCAAAGCGCGGAAGCTTTGACGTTTCATTAAATCATTAGAGAAAGAGTACCGTTCTCGACTCTTAATCCTTGTCTGAATTGAGTTCCCACCCTCTCTCTCTCTCTCTCTCTCTCTCTCGCGCGAAGCGCAGAAGCTTTGACGTTTCATTAAATTATTAGAGAAAGAAGACGATTCGTTGTTCCGTTCTTGGTTCTTAATCATTGTCTGAATTCAGTTTCCCCCTCCTTTTCCTTTTCATTGAATTATTAGAGAAAGAAGATGATTTGTTGTACCATTCTCGACTCTTATTCCTTGTCTGAATTCAGTTTTCCCCCTCCCGCGCAAAGCGCGGAAGCTTTGACCTTTCATAGTTTAATGAAATTATTAGAGAAAGAAGATAATTCGTTGTTCCATTCTCGACCCTCAATCCTTCTCTGAATTCAGATTACCCCCTCCAGCGCAAAGCGCAGAAGCTTAACGTTACATTAAATTATTAGAGAAAGAAGACGATTCGTTGTACCGTTCTCGATTCTTAATCATTGTCTGAATTCAGTTTCCATACCCCCTCCCGCGCGAAGCGCGGAAGCTTTGACGTTTCATTAAATCATTAGAGAAAGAGTACCGTTCTCGACTCTTAATCCTTGTCTAAATTGAGTTCCCCCCCCCCTCTCCCGCGCGAAGCGCGGAAGCTTTGACGTTTCATTGAATTATTAGAGAAAGAAGATGATTCGTTGTTTCATTCTCGACTCTAAATCCTTGTCTGAATTCAGTTTTCCTCCTCCCGCGCGTATAGCGCGTAAGCTTCTGACGCTTCATTAAATTATGAGAGAAAGAAGATGAATCTTTGTCTCATTCTCGATTCTCAATCCTTGTTTGAATTCATTTTCCACCTTCCGCGCGAGGCGCGGAAGCTCTGACCTTTCATAGTTTAATGAAATTATTAGAGAAAGAAGATAATTCGTTGTTCCATTCCCGACTCTTAATCCTTCTCTGAATTCAGTTTTCCCCTCCAGCGCAAAGCGCAGAAGCTTAACGTTTCATTAAATTATTCATTAAATTTATTCATTAAATATGAAGAAGATTTGTTGTCCCGTTTTAGACTTGTCAAAAATGTTTCTTTGTCTGCTCCTTTTTTCGTCCTATGTCCTCTTACTGCCCCTACCGCCCCTAGCTATGCATGCTTTAAAGGGAAAATGAAACAATCATGATTGTGATAGCATACAATTAGGTCAGTAGAAATGAAAGGGGAAAAAAGATCTATGTATACACCAACCATGAAATAATCGCGACCGGGAGCGTCATATATCTTAGTTTTGTGTTACCGGGCGAGGGCCGGAGCGGAGCGACCAAGCGAGATTTTGCAATGTAGAATGCTGAAATTATGCATTCTAGAAAATCCTTTAGTCCAATATGTACGTTCTTTCCGTTACATGTATATTTCTTTCTAGCTATTCTTTCTATCGGGCCCAGGATCGCCGCCGCTGTTCATTATCACTACCTACATGTTGGTATGAGCTGAATCCAAATGAAGGGCAAAATAAGAATTACGAAGCGGCCCTACCGTTAATTTGAAATTTGACTGTGAAGTATATAGCTTCTATTTGAAAGACATCCAAAACATTGTGCCCTTTTCAATTTTTTTTTCAAAAAGCAGGGGCTGTTTGTAACGTTTAACTTTGAATCCGTGGCTCGAGATTTTATGCGGCCGGCCCGGCCCCCTCTATTCAATAATGTTTCCCAAGCCTTCTTGAATGACCCCAAATCTCCCGATTACAGTTTTTCCCTTATTCGTCGTTACTGTCACTTAGCGCCATTTCCTTGTCTTTCCCCCTTTCTCACCCGACTTTTCTCTTCCCCTTCCCACCCCCCCCCCCCCACCCACTCAGTGTTATCTAGGGTATGCGCATGTATGTTCCCTCTCTTAGTTTGAAAGCACCCCTTTATCTTCGGTGTGTAGAGTCAGTGCGGGCCGGATTTGTGTGTATTACGGGCCGGACTTTGTTGCGTGAAAAGTAACCCTTCATCGGAAATTTTGGGAACACAAAATCGGTCCCTCCGACCCCGAAGTGGGAGTGAGGTGGGGGGGGGGGGGGGGGGGGAGGATCTTCTTCTTTTTTTTCTCTCTCTCTCTCTCTTCTTTCTTTTCTCTTCTCTTTTCTTTTCTCTTCTCCTTTCTTTTCTCTTCTCCTTTTTTTCTTCTCTTCTCCTTTCTTTTTTTTCTCTTTTTTTTGCGCCGCCTATAGGGGGGGGGGGGCCGCGGCCGTTTCGGCCCCCCCCCTGGATCCGCCACTGATGTACAGGACAAGAGTTGACTTGTGTTTAGAAATATTTGGTATGCATATTATAAGTAATTGTTCAAGCTCCACCAAGTATTCAAAAGAGTGACAAAGATGTACATAGTTATATAAAACAGGAGTAACATTGATTGCACCCCGTCCAAACCAAATCTGATTTCTCCCCCCCCCCCCGCGTGGGGCGAGGGGGGGGGGGGGATTGTGTACATACCGTAGTCCTTAGCAGCGTGTACTATCTATCTTATGCAGGTCAATGTACTTGTTCTACTCTGACATCAGTTTTTTAATAAAATAGCAGCTCCCATGCTCCCATGAGAGAATGACCAGCAAGGAAACTGCAAACATATTGGAGCCGGTTTTTTCCTTGGTATAATAATTTAAAGATATTTCAACTGGCCGAACTTGAAGTTTTAAATATATAAGATTATCAGCTAATGTTTGTTGGGTGCCACTTTCCTTCAAAGTTTATTCGTACTATTTGGACATTGTCCGATTTCCTAGATCAAATATCCAGGCAGGCCGATGCCATTGTGTTAGTAGTATATATCTCTATGGCCGATGCAGAGTTTGATGTTTGGGGGGCACATAGCCTACATGTAATCGATCGAGGTAAAAAAAAAGGGGTCTAAAAAAGCCTCAACCGATCTTGGAATTTTTTTGGAGGCACGTGCCCCCCCCCCGTGCCCCCCATGGTTACGTGCCTCCCAATATCCACCAATGAATATAAAAATACATAACATAATAGGAAGAAGAAAAAAAAAAAAATTGGAATTCGATTGCGAACCTCATATGTTTCTGTTGGCCGATTTTACATGGGGCGAAATGAAATAGACAAGACTGCAAGCAAAAGGATTTAGGGAGGATTTAACATTAATGACAATTTTTATTTGTTAAACTATTATTACTTGTTAAAATATTATAATCTATTAAAATTTGTATTATTTATATAAGTATGTATATTCTTTATCTTCAATATTATTTTAAAATGAGCGCAAGATCAGAACAGTGCATGTGCCAGTGCAGTCCACAAGTCAACATGTTATTGATCGAGCCTAAAAAAGTTCCCATAACAACAGAAACGCGAATGTACCAAAATCCAGCGAAGCAATTTTATTTCTCTTATTTTTGCCGTATTCCCGTCAAGTTTTTATTTTGCAGAGATTGTGGTACTTTTCAGGAAGAATCATTATGTAGGCTAGACTGTTTTATAAAGGTAAATATGGGCCTTTATATACTAAATTGGGCCACATTCTTCCGTCAAATTTGATGACGTCGACTTGAGACTGAATATTCGTGTGCGAGGTCACCGAGTCGAAGACTGTGAAGTGGGGGCCGCGGCCTGGTGCGGCTGCCAGTGCAGTCGTGATCGTGTCGGCTGGTTTGACTCCGAGACTGGATTGTGAATGATAGTGTTTAGATCTATAATATAAGTGGCGTTAGTTCAGAAGAACTAGCGCCATAGCTGTTGATGTAGAGGTGACAGAAATAATTATCTGCGAGGGAGTGGCGCGGTCTGGTGTGTTGGGGGGGGGGGGGGGGGATTAGTCCATATTTGATTCTGAGTGGAAGAGTGAAGTTCTGTCTGAACTCTGACTGAGACTGAAGTCTGATGATGACGTGAATGTAATGAATTGAATGAAGAATTGAAATTTGATTTTAAAATTATTTGTTGAAACTTGAATGAATTGCATTGATTGATTGAATCACGATTGTGACTGAGTTTTGTGACATTGATCATTTGATGGAGTGTATTGTCTACTGATAAAAATTTATATTTTGGTTTTGATTTTTGTTCGTAAGTTTAATCGATGTCTATGATCATATTAAAAGATCAATATATTTTTCCTCTATAATTACTATTAATATTTAGTCCAACCTTTTAATTTTCTCTTCCCAGCATACCGGTATTGTTCACTTACTTCCCCGACCCGTGACAAAGAGAGCATCATGATGGCTGCCCCTCTACCAGCCATCCACAACACAAGGGGGCACTCACCTATCATTGACCCAGTCATGCAGCACAGGATCCCTAGTCCACCCAATAAGATGAGGCCATCGGAGCAGTACACAAAGCCAAAGTACAGAATGCAAGGCAGAAGGGACAGGCAGCACTCGTTAAAAAATGGATCGGGCAGAAACAAAAGTCCACAGATGAGCAAAATTGAGGCCCAAAAGTGAGTATTTGAGTGTCCACTACAATTCCTAAATACTCGAAAACCAGAAGCTTGCACATGCCTGAAATGTCCACATTTGAAAAAGTGTCTTGCCACATTAATGGACATCATTTACAATTCACAGAAGTGTCTGGGTTAAGAGTATAAGTATGATAATGTCCTTGAAATTTCCCTTTATAAAGTTATCCAAGGCCTGCATTGTTACATAATATTTTCAACAATTAAGATTGAAGTTAAGGTATTGTCATTGAAAAAAGACTTTTAAAGCTTTCAAATGTTGTTAATATCTAAATGTATTGAACTTAAAAGTTGTCTTGACTTTATTTGTTGAAATGTGAGAACATTACTCCCCCCTAAGATTAAATGATCTAAAAGATCTGCCATGTTAAACAATTTTTATTTCATTTTACAGAAAAGATAATTGTTTTAATGTTCTTTACTTTTTATAGGTGGGTATATATATTGCTTGCAAATACTGTATAATGATACGATTCATTTGTTCTCTGTCTTACAGATATCGCAATACATTCTTTCACAACCTGTGCTTAGAGGTGCTTCAGCAGGGTTTCCATCGCTCCTTCTCAGAAATCTTCTACCTTATCAAGCACCAGCAGAAGATTGTGGAGGATGCAGGAGCTGACTCTTTGCTCCAGGATCGTTCTATCCTGGCCGACCAACATGAGAAGCTCAGGCAAATGAAACACCATCTCACCGAGTCTGAACTTGCCTTAAGACAAGGTAAGGCCTCATTCACACTTGGCGTTACAAACTGCCCCCTCCACCACCCCATGAAATTTGGCCTTTTCTTTTTATCTCTGGAAAAAAATAAATCACTAAAATGAATTATAAATGATTACTACCTACCCCTTCCTTGGAGAATCTTGAAGATGAAGTCTTGTTGCAAAAGTAAGGAAGATATATTAAAAGATTTGTTTGTTTACATCTAAAGAATTTGGCTTTTATTTCCAATGTGATCTACGAATTTGTAGTGTCAAAGAACATGTTGGACCTTCCTGATTTGTTTTTGTTTTATCATAAGATTAATTTCTATAATAGTCATTTACAAATGAAATGTAGAGTCTCATAAGACTTGAAGTCCATGGAATAATTCATTATGATTGAAATTCGATGATATACATGTAATATTGACATAACTTGCTAACAATTATTTTCCCTCCTCTCATCATCTTGCAGATAATATGTCCAAAGTCTTTGAAGAGAGGGAAAAATTAGCGAAGTATTTCTTGGATGAGAACGACCTGTGGCTAGCAGATCATTTCTTTCAATCTTGTCTCGAGACTGCCACAAGGGTTGTCGAGGGTGGAGATAGAAAAGAGGCAGAGGCACACTGTAACATAGGTCTAGGCTTCGAAAGGAGGAGTAAGTTTGGTTGCAAAGAACAGTGTTTTTTATCATATTTTTAATCCAGTAATATATAGTTATAACTCTGTATAAGTTGAATCTGTTTGAACCACAAAAATGTTGGACTTATTAAATACAAAATTTGACTTAGAAAGTGTAAATTACCTATATCAATACATAATTTGGTCCCAAAAAAATATTCGACATAGGGAAAATTTGACTTGTGCAACTTCAAGTTATGCAGAGTTATCCGTAGTTCATGTAGAGATGTACGTTTGAACTGATGACTGATGATATTTTCTGAGAGAGATTTTTCATTATTTATTTAGTTATAAGGATGACAAATCTCTTCCTATACTTTAAAGTTCATTGACATGAGAATTCAAATTCAGATTCAGATATTTTACAAATTTGCATTTTATTGAACCATTCCTCAATATTCTTTAGTAAAAAAATAAAAAATAAAACAAATATCACAGTTGCAACTTTGTTGGTTGTTCTAGAGTGTGAAAATAGATAAGATCATAGATGAGAAAGTACCTGTATTCTATATATCAAGTAAATTCTTAGTTCATCCAGTTGCTTTATAAGGCATGTACATTGTGCACTTATTGTAGGGTTATTCCTAGAAATGCACTGCACTGCAAACTGTCGCCAGAAATAATACTTTTCCATTGTTCTATGGATGCGCATAGGGATATTATGTTGTAATCTGATATGCTCTGAACAAGAATGGAATGTTATTATCTTGTCTCGTGATGTGTTTCAGGAGAGTTCTCGACAGCTGCTGATCATTTTGAGGATTTCTACGCATTGACTTCATCCAAGGATTGGATGACCAAGGAGAACCAACTGCTTCACTCGGAGGCCTGTGAACATCTGCGACGCCTCTACACAGCCACGGCAGAGAGCTTCCAGAGCGAATACAATACTGACAACAAAGAAGCCATCAACTATCTATTGAAGGCCTATGAAATGGCCAAAGAAAGTAAGAAATACTTTAAGGGGGAGTCTAGTCTAATCAAATGTTGCTTTTGTTAATATCTGGAAGCTAGGAAGGAACAAAAACCGAAAGCTTTCAGAGAAAGTTTGTGAAAAATTGACGTAACGTTTGTTTTAATGTCACCGAGATTATGTTTTTTGTGAGACTAGTTGGCCTCTTGTTCATGTGACTCTGATTTCATAGTCTCACTAACAAATTGTGTTAATTTGGAATCTTAAAATACCTAGTTTAAGAATTTAAAGAGAGAACAAATAATAGGTAGATAAGCGTCGTTAACTGTGTAAATGAAGTAGAACTTATTACCTGGTATCTGAAATGCCCACATACATGTGGCATGGTATTAAACTCATTTTAGGTATTTTAGGAATACACAGTGATAGGTCAACTTCATTGTAATATCTAAAATCCCCAATCAATTCATTGACAAGGAATGTGCAATTCATTAGTGAGGTAAAAACTTGCTATTATTCTATTATGTATCAGACAGAAAGGCATAAACACAAGATTTTGTCTTTTTTCTTCTGTTTTGTGATAAAAGGATGGAGAAAAAATCTATCATCTCGTACCAACATGAGGTGGATTTTATCCCAAATAGCTAAATCTATAAATGCTGCTATCTCTTTTTTTCCAGGTAAAGATGGGCGGAAAGAGGGAGAGGCTAGCTACAGGTTAGGACAAGCATATGAGACGTCAGGTGACAGTGAGACTGCTTTGATGGTAAATATATAAGGATCTCTTGATAAATATTGAACTGTTTTAACCACGCCCCCAAAGATCCACTTTTATAGAATAAAGAAAAACTCTATATTATAGTACAGTTACTCGTTCTGTCCACCATAATGAAGACAATTTGTCCATTCAGAATGATGTAATTTTTGGTAGGTCTATTCCCTGTCTGGTGTCAGTCTTGTTGCAGTGATGCCAGTTTTCAGGCAATATTGAATTCAGGTCCTGGTAATTATTTTCATACCATATAGTTGAGGATTTTTTGTGTACAAACTAGCTCATTCTAGGTGATTTTCAGGCCCTCTGATCAATTCTAACTGGCATCCCTGTTCTTGGGTTTGAGTAGGGTATGAATAGTGTTGAATCTAAATTAATGAATATCTTGATCTATGCAGATATATGAGGTAAATGAATTGAAATGGATATCATATATGGAGAAACACAACATTTAATGTTAGATTGATAAAATAATTGCATATTTATTGTTTAAATGATAATATTATTTGAATTCAATCAGCAAGGACATGACAAAATGCAAAACTTGTGAAATATCTTCTTTCATATGCTTCAGGGATTGTAGATTATGGCATATACATTCTTCATATTAGACGGGTGGTCAACATATATATATATATATATATATATATATATATATTGTGTTTTTGTTTTGATGTATGAATGAGACAAAAGAGACATGTTTTGTAATATTTTATTCTCTTTGTAGTACTTACAAGGCTTCATGGACATCTGCAAGAGATTTAATGACCAACCTGGAATGGGAAAAGCATGTGAGGCTATTGCTAAATCATATGAGAGGTAAGTCAATCCAGTCAGCCTAAACCCAGTCTCAAATATTAATTTAATTAAGTAAAAAAATCCTCTTTCTGGGTATCGGTTCTAATGACAGATCAGTGTTGTATTATTGAAATAATTATTGATTTAAAAAACCCTTTGTTCTGGTGAAAAAAGTTTTAATTATTGTCATTAAGAATAAGTTTTATTTCCATGGATTATGCTTGGATATTGTTTGTTTTGATGCTTCTTTAAATGATGTATGCTCCAATGACAATTGCTCTGCTGCCAATCTTAGTTGTTTAATTCCTAACTTCATCCCTGGATGAAACACTATATTAAACTTTCCTTGAACCTATCTTAGAATCTAACCACCCAAGCTCTATTTCTTTATATTTGATCAAATACAGCCCAGAGTAAATATTGTCTGGGAAAACGTTGAATCATTGCCTTGATATTTTAAAATGGCATATTTGAAAAAAGCCTCTTTCTGATTATTGGTTGTCATGACAGATCTGTATTATACAAATAATTATAAACAAATTTTAGTGAAATAACTACTTGTGATTTATCTTGTTTTGACAGACAAGGAAAGCGGGATGAGGCAGTGACATATCTAGAGATGTTTGTGGAGATTGCTGAGAAGAATAATGAGGAGAAGGCTCTAAGTCAAGCTTGTAGCTGTCTAGGTGCCATCTATAACTCACTGGTAAGACATTCCTTTGTTTTCTGAGGGTCATTGAGTAACATTCTAATAATGTAGTGCATTTATTTTTTGTAAAGGCTATAAATTATGTAGGTGAGATGTTCAAGAGATTTCATCTAATTTGGTTCTTGTTTGCATAAATGTATAAACTGATATATTTCAGAATAAAAAGCTGAATTTCAAAGGTCATGGAATGTTGTAAGAACCCAAGCATTGTCAAATTTCTTAAGTAGATCCATAACTTGAAATTGATAGGATTTCAATAAATAGTGTCCCAAGGAAACCTCAGTGAACCCATTAAACTTTGCTAAAGCTTATTAAAAAAAATACAAACAGAGATTGTATTGTTTGGAGGTACTCATTTAAGTTGTTTTATTGTAATAAGGCAGAAGCCTTGGTTAACATTTTTCAAGTTACTCATTTATGTTTACATGACAGTGTTCCAAATTACAGCTTCTAAAATCATCTCTATGTCTTTCTTCTTGCTGCCTACCAGGGTGAATACGAGAAAGCATCTCATTACTTTGGGAAAGCCTATACTATGGCCCGTAGCCTGGGTGATCCTGAAACGGTGGAAGAAGCAAGAACCCAGTTTGGGATTTCCAGCGCGCACAAAGCATTGACATCCTTTGTATCCGTGGTTGAGAATCCTTCCAGGAAGATCATGGCTCAGCTGATGAATTGGAAGGACGTGAGGAATGATGCCTTCGTTGTTGCCCTTGCTTCATCAGAAGAAGGTTAGTCGAAAAAAATTTCAGGAATCCCATGACTTTTACAAGCCTGTCTGATTATCAAGATATTTATGATTGGAAATCAAAATTTTTTTGTTTTCCTAATGTTTTTTCTAACAATATTGGGGAAAATGAGTATTGCAAAACTGGTCACTCAAAGATTTTTACTTTTTTGAGGCACTTCATGATCATTTTGAAGCACAATTTTTGTAGGGCTTCAATATTACACCATATCACAGACACTCCTGACACGTAGGGCCAGATATCTCAGATTTAACATTGTAAAAACAATGCCTTTAAATATGTTTGAAGGGGATGCTGAAGACCGGAAGGCTTGGAGAAAAAGGTTGAATATTTATAGTTGTTACCTTTTACAAATCTTTAATATTTTTTAGACCCCAAATCATTATGTAGTCGACTAGTCAACAGTGTATGTTGTTTTAGATGAGGTATATTGAATAGAATGCAGGCATTGTTTTTATTATATCCCCAGCATTCATTTTTTTCAACTCTTGTCTATATTCTCTTATTTCAGATGATGCACACTGACAGTAACTAATGCTCAAATGAAGCTAGTAGAATCTCTGCTTTCCTTCAGTGAATCATCATACAAGTGCCAGACTGGAAGACATGCTTTCACAGGGGATCTGCCGTCCATGTATACATAACAGGTGTAAATAAAGAATATTGTAAATACAGTTGGAATATTTTTTACTATTTCAATGTCTATACAGGACACCATTCACTTGGAACAAATTCAAGATACCTGCAACAAGACTGTTTGAAAAGGAAAAGTGAATTAAGACATGTTTAAAATGAGAATGAAAGAAGGTATATATTTGGAAGTGTGACATAAAATGAGTTTCCTTTGATAAAATACTCCCTCTGAAGAGGTAAATTCACTGTTTTTTATGTCAGATATTTTCTTTCCTTTTTTCCCAGGGAGAGATCTTGGGTACAAATTATTAATCATTTAATTGGAAAAAATTCTTTAATCAGGACTTTCTGCATTTTGAAAATGCAAAAATAAAAACAAACAAACACTAACAGGCACATGAATGCCAAAACTTTATACATTTGAATCAGCGAGGGATGTGGCAAACAGACCCCCCCCCCCCCCCGTCTTATTATTAATATGTTGTTATTGTGGTATCGCCATCAGCATATTACTTAATTTAGTACCAAATTAAGTCCATATGATTACATTTTGAAAAAACGTAACATGCTTTTGAAGTAAAAGAATTGGGGAGGTTTGGTCACATGTACTGCCACTGTAACCTTTCTGAATGGGAACAACACATACTGTAAGTTGTACATTTTTCACATTTATCAATGTGAATTGCAAAATGTTAAACGTAAATGTACATTGGGTGTTGAAGGCAGAGGTAGGTGGAATGTTACTGTGTCAGGCGTACATCTAATTGTTTTCTGAGGCTATATCACATTTTGATGTTTTCCCTTTTGTAGAATTTGTATGATTCCATTCAAAACTTCTTGAAGATTAACAACATCCAAAATCCAACAAGCAGTTGATTAAAAGTTGTGCTTCTATCACAAAACAGACTTTTGTAGCCAAATGGCCTTTCTTTACATATTTTCAGTGCATATTTTCTCTAGAGAAGAAAGAAAACTATGTCCACTGTTGACATGTAGCCTTTACATATAGGGGTGTTATTCTGAAAATTAGTTGAATATTTATTGTAGGAATATATATTGTCGTACCAAATCAAATAATGAACTTTTGCATACAGTTGGCTTTGTATGTGGAAGCTAGTTTCATGAATGCCAGTGAAAATACACAAGATTAATTAAGATTTGAATAAACCTTTTTAGTGAAATAAAAAGATAAATTATTTTATTTCATATTACCACCCCAGTTGACAGCTATATATGCTCGACTTTATTTCAATTTGAATTTCAGTAGTATGACAAAAATTGTAATTGTCTTAATTATTGTAAAATCTAATCTAAAAGATATTTTCAGGGTCGAGTGGAGAATGTGCATACATTGTGTGCAGGTAAGCCTGAATCTGATGACCGGGGTAATAATATATATATTTCTGTAAAGCGCTTTGAGAGGGCCTTTGGTCCTGAAAAGCGCTATATAAAAACTAGCTATTATTATTCATTCCAAAACACTAAATTCATGCTGAAAAAAAATATGTAAAACATAACTTCAAATGTGAGAAATTATTTCAAATAATATATGTATTTGTATATATTTTATAAATGTGAATAAACTCTGAAAGAAACATGTAAGAAATTTGCGTTGTATTGTGTATTACCTAAGCATGTATTTTTGTTCCCTTATGGTGTAAGTAGTTTAATTTGCAAGTTTTATATTATAAGTTGTTGAGATTAATTATGCAGCTGGCAATTACTCTGTTCTGGCTTTTTCTTTCTTCATTGTTTATCCACTCATTCTCTCTTTTTCTTTCCTTTCTCTCTCTCTCTCTCTCTCTCTTTCTCATTCCTTTACACCAACTTTTCATTATATTTGCTCTTCCTGTTTTTCCTCTCATCTGGCTTCTATCTGTTAATCCCCTAATTTTTCTTCTGTCATCTTTCCTTCCTTCAGCTCTATATTTATCTCTCTGCCCAACCCTTTCTCTCCTATTCCTGGCAAATACACTCTCTAGCTTCATCTTTTTCTAAACGCCTCCTTATTTACGAATCAAATTCTGGAAACACTGCTTCACAACATAAATACTCAAAATCAGAAATTGGTATTGATTTTACACAAGACATAGGTATTTATTGCAGGACAAGTCGACTTTAAAATTGTAATATCTTTATGAAATGAATGCATTTGGTATCTTTTATAAAATGTATCTGTAAATTACGAGATGGTAATTAATTCTAACTGTACCAGCTATAGCATGTGATGAAGAAACTATGCACTTAACATAGAAATTAGTAAAGTAACCACTAAAAAGTTATTTTCATAGTTGTATCTACCATGTAGGTTAAAATGTTGGTCATTATGATACCACAAGCTTTTTATTTCTGCATGATTTATACATATATGAATTCATTAAAATAAAGTTAGTGCAGTACAATTAGCCCTCTAAGAATGGTAGATACAGGAATTGTCTTTACACAAGTGTATATACCAATCGTGCAAGAAAACAAAGTTTCACACAAAAATATATATAACTGGGGTCAAAGGATATATACGCATACAAACACCATGAGCACTTATTCTAGAAGAATACATGCCAACATTTGAAAGCAATAACACATGCCGCGTAGTGTGTATACAATATGCATGCGCACATTAATACACTTCAATTTACCCTCCTCATTCGATAATAATCATCAAATTAACTTGTAATAAAGTTTGGTTGTCACTGAACTTATTTTTCTATATGCCTGTTCTTCTTACAATTAATGAAAGTGATAAATTCATGGACTAACTTGACATAGATAGGAGATTACACATCTCAAGAAATATGGAATGGGGGGGGGGGGGGATGAAGAAATCATTATGAAAAGGGGCCTGGAGAAATGGCCCAAGGGGGTATTACAAATGTTGGCATGCATGCTACGACAAAGCCCAGACCAGCTAAGGCATTGTCAAGAAAGAGGGCTGTTTCAGATCATCAAAAAAGTTATGCATTTGTTCCAATCTTCACCTCTATTCCAGTGGTTATTTCAATATATCTCAGATTACGAGAGTATGGTGAGAGATGGAACAGAGATATCTGTATATACTCGTAGCATTGCTTTGACGTGAAGTTTACACTTTTTACCAACTTCAGTTGTGGATGGAAAACTTATACAGTGGGTGGCAAATCCCACCCTTTGAATTTAATTCCCCCTGAAACAAAAATGGTAGCCTTTGGTGAACTTAAGTGCCATTGATTACATTCTTAGAAAAAAAATTACAGTGAAATATCCAACATTTCAGAATTCGAACATCTGAAGAATTTCACAAATGAGAATTGTTTAAAACCCTGTAGACACAGGACAGGTTAAAGTTTATATTATCTTTGATCGTGTAACACTTCACTGGCCTTCATAAAAGATGGTGTATTCCACTGATCTGATATATCACTGTCATAAAAATATAAGTTACTTTGAATAGAATTATTGTATAAAATCTGCTTGAATATCAAAGATAAAGAGGAATTTATATTGCAACAAATGTATAACTTTAATTGATATCACAAATATTTATATATATATCATACCATACACATTAAGCATATATGACCTGTTCCTTCAAAAGCAATAGCACTTCACAAATTGTATCATCTTTGATGAGACTTTGGGCCTAAAAAACCCTGTTATCCAAAAATGTTCACAAAAAAGGAAACTTAAATTATCTTTATCAGAATACTAAATTGACTAATGAAGCAATCGAACAGAAGTATTAATTTTACATTATGTTAAACTCTTTTTCTTAATTTCTTGGTTCCAGAAAAATAATCAAACACTTGATTTCCAAAATGTGAATAAACTTCAAATGAGATCTGATGGCTGATAATAAATTGGAGAGGCCTTCCATAATAGTTTAATGTGTACCTAGATGTATCACTTCAAACCGACTTTAGTTAGAAATGTTGTGATATAAGGGGTAATTGGGGGGGGGGGGAGATTTGCAAAAATATAACTATTCTTGCAATTGAAAATACTTTCTTTATTTTATTTGGATTGGATATGAAAAAGGGCAAATTTTATTAAATAGTAAGAAATTTCATGATAAAGGGGTCATAAATATTTTCACAATATTTGCAAAGGAGGAATGTGTACATATATTTTGCAATAATATGACACTTTCTAACCAGTGTGAACTTGATAAGCCAAACAATTATGTTATATTCAAAGCTATCTTGTACACGATTTCATGCAGAAAGTGGTCATATTTTGTAGAAAATGTTCTTGAAAGTGTGAAACATCGGGGGTCTTTTTAAAGGATCATTTTTGTGCTATATACACCTTTGAATATGAATTGATACGGCCTAGAATATACATCAGTATTGGGAGCTATAAAGAGATCTCGAAGAAACAGGTCAAAGATATACAGGACTAAACATTTTTAAGCCGACTACATTAATGGTACAATCAACTCTTTCTGGAGGAGCTAGCAACCGCTTTACTTGGAGTTGCCACTGAACGACGGCTGGTTGCCGATCTTGATGGCATCGAGGACACGGACAATGTCACCACCCTTGGCATCCAGGAGACTGGTCAGCCAACCGCCCTCGTTGTCGAAACCCATGGCTCCCATCTGATTCAGAGCAGTCTGGTACTGGTAGGATGGATCTGAAGAAAGAGAGACAGAAACAAATAATCACTAAGCATTCATCTCTCAACCTGAGCGATATACAAATAAAAATATTGCAAAATTATTTACTATACTTGTATCAAAGGGAACTGTTGCTAAGCTAGCGCCAGTAGCGTCCCTGGACGGTGTGTGCGCTCTATAAGTTTACACTATTATTATCATTATAACCTTTGATGAAACATTAAATGGAGATTCTTTCACCGATGAGTCACTATGAATTATTACACCATGTGATATGATGTTACTCTGTTGACCTACCCATGATCCTGTTATACAAAACTGGTAGATAAGACATAGCTATGACAAGTACCGTACATGCTTGCACCCTTATTCATCAATGGTCAATTCATGATGCAAAGAAAATTTCTCTCTATATAGAGATTGAATGTGGGAGTGGAACTATTTGGGGCTCCACAAACAGACCTGAGAGCTATTACAACTATTTTTCCTCTACTAGCTATGCTATGATCTCAAGAACTCCCTCTCCCTTCAGAATCAATTAATCAGAGCAAAGTAATCACCTTACGGTACCCAACATTTTCAGAATAATAAAACTGCATGCAGTTCTAATTAGTCTATCTAGTACTTGCCCTTCAGATTCTTACTTCTGTAACAACATACTTATTATGATTTGTCTGGTATTTGATCAAACATCGAAAGGGCCTATACTCCTAGTCCTGCAAACCAAGCTTTTAACATACCTTCCTGGGGATTCTGCGAGGGTGCGCTAGGTTTTCCTCCTGCATTCTCCAGCAAGGTCCAGTCAGCATCATCGCTCCCAGATGGACTTTGATTGGGCGCTGCGGCTGATCCATCTTTCACAGTTGTCTCCTTTATATCATGAAGAGAGGAAATATATTAGACAGATGCATTCACGATGAGTTCCATGCATGATACCCATGCAAAACATAAAGGTTTGTATGAATATTCTTTATATCGAACACATATTGTCATGAATTCACAAAGGAGGTTTATTTCAATCGTGGTCTTAATGGTTTGAACCTCCACTCTGGACTAATATAAGCATAAATATGGGCAAATATTCATAAGCATCTTATTGGCCATTAGACAGGAGGACATGGGTATACTATGGATTAGGATAAAGCTCCTTCGAGCTCCTGCATGCATTCAAGGCGATGTATCAAGACAATGTCAGTAATCCACATTGCCTGTTTTATAAAGTGATATACTGACATTTCTCTGTCTACAACACTTTTAAGGCATATATTATTCTTTATATTTTTAAAAGTGGAAGTGTTATTCACATTTTATTTATACTCATATGCATCCACACCCCTTGAAAAGATTTAATCATTTAAATTAAATTATCACATTAATTTAATTTTCCTAAGAAATCATATAAGTAAACTCTGGAGGTAATAAAAACTGTATTGCATCCGTCCAGATTTTGATTGGAGTGTGTATTTATTATCAAGTGTAACTACTGTGAATGTTTTGAATACATATTCAAGGTAACTATTCAAGTCTTTCCAACTAAACTCTTAAAAAGAGACAAAAAATTGGAAACAAACACCCACCATTGGCTCTGCAGTTCCTTCTGGTTGTTTCTGAGTGGCATCTTGCTCTTTGTTCTGTGTGTTTCCTCCAGCCTCTCCACTCTTCTCCTGGCTCCTTGCGGCTCCTGATGGAGCTGGCTCCGCCTCCTGGCCTACATCCATGGATGATCCCTGCTCACATCCAGCCCACGTCTTGCGGCATCCACGATGACCTTTGCCCCCATGACGACGGCCGTGTTTGCCACGTCCATGTCCGTTGCCGCCACCGCCACAGAAGTTTGGTTCGCCGGCGCAATGTGTACGATTGCCCTGGTTGTCAATGTCGATGTCAACATCAATACCTAAAATAAAAGCATAAAGTCAAGTCAGTTTTATATCAAACATACCCAACTTTCTAGATTAGTTTCAAATAACAACATTTTGTGTGTTTGGTGCCAGAAGGGCATTAATTCATATACATTAACACAGAGTCAACACTCTTCTGGCACAGATGATATGAATTTGCGACATAAAAGTACAAGAGAACCTTGGTGACTTTAGGCTGAGATATATATTGTATAATGCTTACATGTAAGTAGAATTACATAAAGAAGTATAAAATCTTGAAAAATAATATATAGAGAGAGCCAGAAGGGCAGGATCCCAAAGTGTTAAATAATATAGTCAAAACAAATAATTTAATGAAAAGAAAAGAAAAATCCTATATTTAATTCTGAAGCAAAATAAAATGAATCCAACTTTGCAAAGTATAGTTAACCCCAGGAGTAGAAATATGAAATCTTACCAAGAGGATCAAGCATCTGTGCCACAGTCTGTCCGATGTCCCTCAGGAACTCATGGGGTGGGGGTGGCATGTTAGGCCCGTGTGGGGGTGGGGGTGGCATGTGAGGCCCGTGTGGGGGTGGGGGAGGGCCGCCGAAGAGACCTGGCCCCATGGTGCAGCCTACGTTTATCTGAGGACCCTGGGTTCCCTGGGTCTGCTCATTTTGGGTAGTTGACGCATCACCACCTTGCTGCTGCTGCTGCTGGTGACGCCACCAGTGACGCCAACCGGGATGACCAAATGGACGGAACATCCCTGGTCTGTTGAAGAATCCCTGTGTTGCATTAAGAAAATAACGTTATTAACACTGTCTCACTACAAAAGGGTAAGATAGTTCATTATTATTAGGTACCGGTATGAACATTGAACTGTGCTTTAGAAATAATAAGATGCCTGATTTTATTTTTTTGAAGAGAAGAATCAATTGTATTAATTGTCTGCTTGTTGACACAAACTAGGGCATTAACTCTAACTCTGCGTAAAATATATGAGTAAATTCCTGTCTAGCTCCAAACAGATAGAGAGTTTCCTAAAAAGCAGTAAATACAATAACATATGTTTACATCATTATTTTACGATTTATCATATTGGCAAAGATCCCTATTAAACTTACACCATGGTGGCTACGTCCAACTTGGGGCTTGCGGAACTTGACGAAGCTGTGCTCAGGGTGGATACCTCTAGACTCACACTGCTTACACAGGTCATAGTCGGGGCATGTGATGCACTTGAAGCGTGGGCCACGGATGCGACTCTCGCAGCCATCACAGATCACACCTGGATGATATGCTTGCTCCTCTTGACCAGCTCCATCATCGGTAGAAGTACCAGGAGATGGAGCGTCACGGTTCTCACGGCGACACCTCTTCTTCTCTGTTTCATCAAGAAAGAACAAATGATGTAATTATTTATATATGAAGATGTGATATCATGTTAATCCATCTCCTCTCCAGTGGTAGAAGTGTGAAAGCATGTATGTTCATACTTTAATTTATCTTGGAAATCAATCAACAGAATATTGATCAATTTTGATCAAACACAATGCTAATTATGTAAGCTGTGACAGAGAAGGGACAAAAACCTGAAAATCTCATCTCTGACAAGGGTTCAAGTAATCTGGTATCAAAACTTTCAAGTTTGCCACAATTTCCTTTTGTGTAGATATAAGCAACTTGGGTTTCAAAAAAGGGTGCAGGCTCATTGTGCCCCCCCCCCCATATCAGACAGTGGCTATATGCCTTCATCGATGTCTGTTTCCTATAAACTGATGTTGAACTGCTATTCTAAAGACAGGAGAGACGCGCAAATATCGGAGGATATGGAAACAAGTAGACTGATTCATACATGGCCCATACATGGGTCTTGGAACAAGAGACCAGAGAAAAGAACAACCATAAATCATGCGGCAAAACCATTGTACATAACACTTATGTTTCATACATGCTACCTTTTAGCACTTTGGGTTCTTATTTTGTATTATCGTAAGAGCTATGGACTATCAACTGACCTTTGACATAGATGCGGAAGGTGTCATCATTGATCTGACCAAGAGCCTCTACCAACTCATCGTCACTGGAGAATGTGATGTTGTCCCCCTCAGAATCTAAAATTTGAAAACAATGAAAGAGTTATATTTCATATAGTAATATTGCTTTTTAGTATTTAGTTTTCTAAGCTTAAAAAAGGTGTGTCTGATAAAAAGTTTTTATCATTGCATTGTCTTTGCTACAGTTTATTTTCATTGAATTTTTCAATGTTATGTGATGACAAATAATTTGAGATAAAAAGTTTCAAAGTAATAAAATAAATAAAAAATAATCTCTGTGAGGGTTGCAATCATTGCAGTGGTAAAGCATGATCCTTAGCAGAGTACAAAAATAGCCCCTTTTTGCCTTTTGGGGGAATTTCAGTCACAGGTTCCTCTTAAATATTTATGTCTGAAAGAATTTTACTCTGACAAGTTTATGTGCATGGTGGCAGCAGTGGGATTTAAAAAATAAAAAAAACTTTAAAAAAATATTTTTTTTGGTTTATATTCTAGTTAGAATAAAGTTGTATACAATATTTCTCATATCCTTTGTGTATTATATACAGCCCTATATATATATATATATATATATATAATTACATTCAGAGTCAGTATAAATGTATAAGCTTTGCTACATACATCATACAAATAAGCACCACATACATATAAATTTCTAATATTATTATTATTATAAATTGTAATCCTACCTTTCCATGAGAGACTGAAGTAGTCAGGATCACCCAGTGATGGGAATACTTGGGCTACCTTCTTAGAAAGGTACTCGTAGTTTGAAGATACGGCAACGTCGATAACAAAACGACGGATCTCTGCGTTGGCATTCTCTCCACGCTTCAGGTATGCTTTCACGGTCATAGACATCTTGGCTATTTATTATGTATCTAGTGAGGGAAAAAAAGACAAAATACACACGTTAATTTAAGTTACCGAGAATACGAAAGACCTTAATAGTTCCTGAGAATATGGGCATTATGGCTCAAGGCATGGGCACACAGAAGATTTTTTATGTTGGGGACCGGGGTAGAATGCAATAAATTATTGAAAATTTATTGCATTTTCTGTTTTTTTTTAAATTTATGGAAACTGCCCCCTACCATAGCCCCCGCTGCGTACAGTCATGGTTCAGTGACAAAGCAATGGCCTCGTAACTGTGAGGCCCCAGGATCAACACCGTGTCGATGTGCTATATTAGTGCCCTTTTGTGAGGCATTAATCCTCATTACTGTCCTTTATGACTTAAGGGCATAGGTCCCCTAGTTAATAAACATAGTAGCATAATATACATGCTTTAGCAGTCACGCAAAACACATATTGGCAAATTATTATTCAATAAAATCTGAGACTGTATACTATTATCTAGATCTAGTATTTTTAAATTATTTTTAAAATAATTCCATAAATTGGGATAAAAAAAAATATTCCACCGTTATGAGCAACAGTGTATGTCAGGCTTAGATTTTTTGAGACACAAGTCATATAATTATTGGAATATGCTAATTTAAATCATGATAACTGTAAAACATGTAGAGCATCATTTCCTCTGTGGTAATCTCTGTAGGGGGGGGGGGGCACGGGCGACGTGGGAAAATCCCCCCTTCTGTCTCTGTCCTAGCTGCATGAAATTACCTCAATGTGACCTATCACAACCCCCTAAATTTAGGGTACTGCATGAGTTAATGTTATAAGCAATATCATGCCAAATGAATTAGGGCCATGACCATGCAGCCCCCCCCCCCCCCAAAAAAAAAAAAAAAAAAAAATTATATTGAAGAGCCTCGATCTGAGGGACAAAGAAATTATTAGTTCCTGATCTTTGATCAAAAAGTAATACCACATTAGGGGAAAATTGCATCGACAAGCACTATAGCCCTCGATATCCCCCTGCATGATTGGGTTTGCAGCGTACCAGGGAGGAATATAACCAGATTTGTGAAAAAGAATAATAAAGAAACATGTCAAGCCTCACCAATTAATGCCATGCACTATTACTAGCTGCATGAGTAAGAGATTGATCGAAGCCTGAAGGCTGCCTGGCTTTTAATTGCAAGACATAATTAAGTTCCTTGGATTTAAATAAAATCTGTCTCAGCTACTAATTGCCCTCCCCTCCACAAAACTTGAAACATCCAAACCAAAACTCATGAACCTCTCCGGATCACTAGGCTCCAGCTGGCCCCAATATCATACCCCCATAATCTCTGCAATATCATGTCTTTTTTTCCCCTGCCCCCTCCGAACCCTATTCCTATATAACAAAAGTATACTATATAAACAGTTAAGAAAAGAAGGCAGCTGGAGTGGATGTTCAACTTGCGATAGACAAATGCAGAACAAATGCATAATATTACATTTTAAAAGAATATATTCACCCTTTGCGAATTGCAGCAAGCTAGCTGATTTTTTTCAGTATCGCGTATCGTAGATTCTGGATTCTGGTGCAGGGTGCTCGTTGAAACTGGTTGTCAAAGCTGTATGCGAAACCAAAAGCAATGATGGCTACCTAAGGGAGTGGCTGGTTTATATACCCGAGTGCAAGACGTTTCTGGAACGCACAAAACCGGACTTACTCAGCGAAATTGAACGGCGACATTACGTATTCCAGAACGGTTCGCTAGCGAGCGTGTGCAAATTGTTTCACAACAACAGGCACCCGCAAGGTTTGTTTACGATCTGCGTCTAAAATAGCACATTACATCATCGTCGTGAGCTAAAAGAGGCGATGACGTATCAATGCCTGGTGTTCCGAGATAGATTTTGCACACGGTTCACAAAATAATCCGTTCTGGAACGTTTCATCTGCTATCAAAAACGCTGACTCAGTGTACCTGTAGAATTGCATATAATATTAAGTATTATGCAATTTCCATTATGATTCATTCCGAGAATCGGTTTAGTAAAATAGATCAGAATAAATATACTGGGTTGATATGTTACATAATTTGTCCCATATTGATTTGGATAGACAATAAAAGTTGTCAAAAAATACTTTCAGAGGCGAAGAATGAATACTTTGGCGTGTGACAATTTTTTAATAATAAAAATAATAATACATGAGATTTATATAGCGCCATTATCCATTTTAATTAAATGCTCAAGGCGCTTCAAAATATTAGGGAACACATTATCAGAATCGTGTACATTTGTATAGGAAAGAAAATGCAAAAATGAATGAATGTCTGTTTTCCCCCTTCTCATATACCTATAGACCTATAGACCTATAGCAACCTGCCCCCACCTAATTAAATACGAATTGATCAATAACAGATACATCTAGTAATAGAAAATTAATTGAAAAAGTCGAAAATCTATAGATCTGGCCTTACTAGACATTATACTGTATAATGAAATTCAAACGAATTGTGGCCCAAATCTTGCTAGGCCGGTAGCTATTTGCTTGCTTGCAAATTAATTGAACACAGTTTTTACAAATCAAAATAAAAAGACGAATGTGCGTAATTAAATGAGCTATGTGATCATTCTAATTGTTATTCTATTGTTATACTTTTATTATCCTTCGTTATAAATTAATTTGATTTTCGTTATATATATATATATATATATATATATATAAACAGATATAGAATGATCATACTTTTTGATTTTGTATATGTGCATATCATTCTATTTTATAGGCCTAATATATCTGTTTTGTATACTTGTTGTTAACAATAAAATGCCAATTAGAAGATTGTAATTAAAAGTATTATGAGGATTGTACCGGTACCTAATTATCATCATCGCTGTATTATATTTCTGATGAGGAATATTGGGGGTATATATTAATCTGTCTTTGCGATCTGTTATTGTTTAAATAGGGTGTTTTTTTGTTGTTGTTATGTATTCTTTTAAAAGAAAAATGAGAATAATTCTACACGTTTGGATTATAATCAATAAATTTGAATTTGAATGTGATTGTAAATGTGAATTTGCTGAGATATTTGGAAGTGTTTTGTCCCCTAGAGCTGTATTTTATAGTTTCACCCTCACGTATCGCAAGCTTGTGTTTCATCACTACGAGTGGATAAGAATAGTTTCAATTGTCAGACTCAAATAACTTTCTAATATTTTCATCATGTATTTTTCTACAAAAAAAAGGATAGATAAATTGACATTGATGATAAAGGTTACAAAAAAAAATTTAAACTCAATTTATTATTGATTGAATCTTGATATATGAAATACATTTTTGCATATTTGTTGATGATTGATTTTATTATGCTCGGAAAAAGACTACGAAAAGCATGGCACGATGTATTTCCGACCAATCACAGTTCACTTTATCATCACAAGATACATCGGATCCTATAGCGAAATACGTGCAATATATATTGCGAGTTTTGCAAAGAGAATTTACGTGTAATTGTGGACGAAAACACGAAATGAAATCAAAATGGGTGATCAATCACATTGGTTATTTTCACCGGATTCGGTAATGAATTCGGATCCACATCTAAATTCTGTGAAAAAAGAGGAGGATGAAGATGCTTTTCTTGATGACCTTGATCTGCAAGATGGTAAGTTTCCAATAATATTAACAGCGAAAAATGTTGAAAATATGACTTCAGTCCCATATGATATTAACTGTGTTGGTATACTGCAACGTTTTTTTTTCTTTTTCCGTTGTCACCACTTTTCTTCAACAAATGACGTTTGATGTAGTAGAAATTCTGTAGAGTGTTTTCAAGATGCTCTTTGATATTTGTAGATATGTCATCTTAAAGGAAATTATAGTTTTAGACTGTAAATAGTAAAGAAATGATTTTTTCTCTTGCATTGCACATCATCAGTCTTGTCGGTCAAAATGCAAATGAGTCTGAGACTGAGAGTGTGAGAGCGAAAGTGACCAGGAGGTTGTTTCTCAGAACCTTTACAACTACAAGATCGACGACATCTCAACGCTGTCACTCGACTTATCGATTAATCAGTAGGGGCACTTGTCCGAGAATAAGATCGTCCGCATTTTTCACTGACGATTCTGATTTCCGATCCGCGCATTGGCGATGCAAAAAACAGATTACGCATTAATTTTCTTGATATATTTTACACTGACTTTGTGCAGAGACTTCCACGTTGAGCGATAAATCCTCAGAAAGACTGACAACCCATAAAAGTAGACGATGAACTGGTGCTATTTTATAACGCGTAATCCATTTTCGCATCGCGAGCGCGAGCGCGCGGATCGGGAACCAGAAACGCACAGACTGCTGGAAAAAAAAACATCCGCGAGAAAGTGGACGATTCTTTTTTTGTTAAGGACTTATTTCGTCCTCTTATACAAGGATATCCTTGTTTATGCGGACGATCCTTATTCTCGGACCAGTGCCCCTACTGCTAAGTCAAGTGTTTTACAAAACTTTCTGCCAAGAATAAGATGAGCGACAACTTCCGTGATGGCTTCCGCAACAATTTTTGCGGCCGAATATTTGAGTACAAGTAATCGTACTCGAGTAGTTGTCAACCGTGCAGGTACTCGAGCATTCGACTATTCTTTGCAGCTCCAAACCAGTCATATCTTTTTTAGAATGCAACAAGGCAACTTTAAGTTAGTCTGCAAAAATGAACATTACATGTATAAAAATGCTAACCTCGTAGTCTTAGGAGATTCAACTAAAGTTTGTGATGTTAGTTCTGCCTGAAATGCAAAGCTAAAATCAGAATATTCCAGTCAACCCAAATAGGAATCTGGCCTGAAATTGTAGCTGCTGTAGGGGAAATAAAATGGGGGAGGGATGGAAAAAAGATAATATCTGTCATCTTGGAAAGAAAGTCATTTCATTTGTGATGTTTATTTTTCTTTGCAGAGGACATGAGTTTCTCTGACTTATCATTCAACATGAACATGACGGAGTACTCGGACGTCTCGGAAGAGCGCCTCCTAGGGATGAGTGAGGAAGAGTTGACCGGCATGTTCGGAAATCAAGATATGCCGCAGCTAGTCCAACCACAAGCGCAACAAACCCTGCAACTCAAGGTACTACAGCAACAACAACAGCAGCAGGCGCAACAGTTACTGCAAGCGCAACAACAGCAGCAGCTCTTGCAACAGCAGCAGCAGCAGCAGCAACAGACTCTGCAGCAAGTACCCGATTTGCACATTGTTCAGCAGGAGCAACCGCAACAGGTTATTGTGGCACCCAAGTCAATGGAAACAGTCAACACTGGTAGTGTGAATGTGTCTTCCGAGCTGACCAATCTGGTTGCCTTACTTCTCAACAACCAACAACAACAACAACAACAGGTAAGCTCATATAAAAAACAAACGATGACAATAAAAAATCAATCTATAAGCCCTAATTAAATTATATGTACTGCTCTTGATATGAAATTATAAATTATAATTTGATTGTACCTGTAGACTTATGCTAATACATTTTACAATAGAGACTAAAAATAAACGATTGAGCAAGATTGGTTATTCATAGCTAAGTACCTTCTGTACCATGCGTACCCTTTTTCAACATTTTCGTGAATTGCACAGACGGAATCTAGACTGGTATTTAAAACACTTTAACCACTTTAATAAAAACGATTACATAATGTGGGTCATTTCAGGGTGTGAAAGTTAAGACTAACAGATGTGCATGTTTACATACAAAATATGTTGCATGTTCAGTGGTGCGTGTGCACATGCTTCTTGGCTTAGTGTGGTGCATAAGAAACAATATGAAGGGCCTCTGTAAGTTATGGGTTGGTTCATCTGGGATCTCACATGTGAATCACATGACTGCTTAGGGGCAGTCCCATGGTTGTTTCCTTTCCTGTCAGCGTCACACTCATTGGCCCGAATTCACAAAGGAGGTTTGTCAACCATGGTTTGTCGACAAACCTCCTTTTGTTTTTTACAAACCAAGGTTTGTAAAAACGCGTCAAAACGCGTCGTATGACGAACATAAACCTTGGTTTGTCGACAAACCTCCTTTGTGAATTCGGGCCAATGGGAATGCATGAAATATCACAAGAGTCTAGGTCTGGTACCTGGGCTAGTTAGATCATTTGGTCTTTGCTAGCTGGTCGAACAAGGCTACACCAGTCTGTGTGGAAGGAATGGTTCAGTTCGGTTTGTTCACTCTTTACGTCTCCATATAATCCTGTAAGTTTGGGCTTTGATCAGTATCAGATTTTTTTATTGCTGAAAATTTTCAAGTTTCAGGCTATATGAAATAAAAAGAGAATCCAGAAACCTACTTCTGGGATTTTTTTGGAACTAAAATAGAAATTTGATATTTTTACAGCACACATTTTCTACCCGCACACAAGGTGCTCCAATATTATCCCGACTCTTTTAGGCTTCAGATTTCAGTGCTCACAGCATACAATGATTTACTTTCTACAGGTAAGCCTACCCATTTACCACCTTGGTGGAGAGTGGCAAATGTAGATTAATGTCTCGCCCAAGGACATTATTGCTGCATCAGGACTAAATGACAAAGTTCCTAGTTAAAGAATCTGATGATGGCATCATGACAGTGACTTGTTCTTTTACAAATTTGTTATTTTTGTTATTTTGTGGCAGACTACTGTCAACACTGTTGCGACTCCGGCTCCAGCCCAAGTTTCGGTCCCTCAGCTGGTCAGTGCACCAGTCACAGTGGCCTCAGCGGCCACCACTGTCCGGCCAGCTACGGCCAGTGAGGTCATTCAACAGCTGGTCCAGAAGGAACAACAGAAACAGATGCAGAACAAGACCATTGCTCAGCTGGCACTCATCTTACAGTTGCAGCAACAACAGCAGCAGCAGCAGCAGCAGGTTCAGCAGCAGCCTCTGTTGATGTCAACTCTTCAGGTACTTTTTCATTCATCAGCCTTAAGAAAGATCTCATAAGTAACATTGCAACCTGATTGAATGAAAGACCTGATCTATCGGTTAAACCATGAATGATATATTGTAGAAGAGACTAGTGAAATATGAAAGATACATTTTGTTTCCATGAAAAAAAGGGGAAAAAAAAGAAAGACAAAACCCTTTGATTTTCAACAGAGAATGTGATTGTACTATTTGTTCTTTCAAGTGAGTTTGAGTGATGTGCGAAACTCCAAATTATCAAGTTAAACAGTTTGTTAAAATCAGCAAATATTCATTTGAATAAACTTTTGCCATTATGAAATTATACCCTTTTATGTCATGTCTAATGCAGGCCACAGCACAACCACAGATCACAACCCAACTGCAACCACAGAAGGTCACAACTGTGCAACAGCAGCAACAACCTGTGCAGCAGAAGGTCATTCCACTGTCAGTTCAGAAGACTTCTCTCCCACGTGTCCAGGTCATCAAGCAAGAGACTTCTAAACCAGTTGTCACTACAGTCCCACAGGTAAGGAAATATGTCAGATGCGTCAACACCCAAGAATGAAAATACATGTTAACACTATGATTATAATACATGGGAGAATGGTCATAACAGTTCTCAAGTTGGTTCTTTAAAAATTAGTAAGTGATTTTACACTGGTGTATGCTGTACATGTACCTCTATGTTATACAGAATAAATTCATCCCCCTTAACAGCTCCTCTTTCTTAATTTTTTTTCTTCAGCTGGTGATCCAGTCTTCTCAAAATGGCAACGTGGCAATCGTTGGATCCACCATGGCAACCGTCTCCAGTCCCATGGTGAAATCCCCTGTGTCTACTACCACCACCTCCTCCATGTCCAAGATAGCTATACCACCCCTCTCCTCTTCTCCCAACGGGGTCGGCATGCACATGGGCAAGAAGCCAGAGAAACGCAAATCCCACAATGCCATTGAGCAACGCTACCGGAAGAGCATCAACGGCAGGATCGAAGACCTCAAGATCATGCTCTTCAAAGAGAACAAAAAGGTGAGACAACTGTAGTAACAAACCAGATATAATGGGTATTGAATTTCAACATTAAGTACAAGAGTTTGTAGTATGTAGATTTTGTATCAGATTAGTTAGGAGTATGTAGAGTTGTTGTGGTCAAGTGGGTACGTCATCGGACTGTGGATCATAAGGTCCGTGGTTCGAGTCCCGCTGCGGCACTTATGTCCTTTGGCAAGATATTTGCCACACTCAACCCAGGTGATGTAAATGGGTACCTGGTAGGATTTAATTCCTTGAAATGCTAGAGCCCCCTACGGAAGCCATGCTAAAGCCAGGTTAATAATCGGGAGCACCAGGAGTGTCAAGTCTGACAGATATGAGCGCTATGCAAGCGCCCAATATTATTATTATTATTATTATTATTAACAAGAAAATAAAGTGACATATCACTTTCTAATTAAGATGATAATCATAGTTTGAAAACTGGTACAAAACGAAATGATGCAGGATATTACAAATTTTTTTTTTCTTCAATTACTGCTTCATTTGAATTTGAAACAAAGCTATTTGATTTTGCAAAAGGTCCTATCTTTGGCATCATATATTATCTGTTAAAAACTAGAAAAGCATTAACTCTATGATGTCTGTGTTAAAGGATATACATTAAAAGCCCTCTGACTCTCATTAGTCCATATGTTAAAGATAATGCAATCTGACCAGTTTTGCATTTCTCATTGACATGACTTGTGTCTTTCTGCTCTTAGGTATCTAAGTCTCATACACTGCAGAAGTGCATAGATCATCTGGTTGGTCTGAGGAAGATGTGTCAAACTCTCAAGCAGGAGAACCTCGGTCTTAAAGCTGAGCTCGACAAGTACAAAGGAACTACAACAGGTAACACAAAGATTTCCAATTTGTACACAAAATAATGAATATAAATTTTACACCACATTGCCAATTTAGAGACTGTAGTGATTAACTGCAATGGGTTAAAAGGGTTGTTTTAAAAGACCAAAGCAACAGCACCCATTTATTATAAAACTAGAACTAAATATTTGGATTGTTTGAGTAGAAAATGATAATTCTTTTGGTGAGAAATTACAATAAGAATGTCTCTGTCTGGTAACTCAAACTGTGGACATTAGAAATATTACAGTATGAAGCATTTTGTGTGCAGAAACAACGAATATTCTTTTTGGTAATTGATTAACCTTGGTAATCAGTAAGAGAAGTGAATGTAGCAAAATGTGTTGCAGAGAAAAAGGACATGTTTCAGAGTGAAATGAGATGAGTTCAGTCTGTTCAGAATAACCTTAAGTCCTGTATTTGTAACTCAAATTATATGTTATCTTTCTATCTCTCTAAATCTCTCATTGTCATCTTAAAACGAGCAGTACCTGATGTGAAAGACCCTATGACACCGCCCTCTTCCTTCACCGGCTCCCCTGACCGCTGCTACGAACTAGGCAGTGAGCCAGACTCTCCATACTCCGGTCCTGATTCCTGCCCAGACTCTCCCCTGGACGACGACATGGAGATGTCAGCACCACCCAGCCCAGTCCGGACCAATGCTGGTCTATCCGGGGGTCTACTTGATAGGACCAGACTGGTCCTGTGTGTCTTCATGTTCTCTATCCTGGCCTTCAATCCGTTTGGGTTCCTCATCAATAAGGGCTTTGAGAGCTTTATGGTGGGCTCAGGGACTGGATTCAGCGGTGACTCGGAGACCATGAGTGCTGGAGGCAGGAAGCTCATGGGAGGTACGATCATTTATCCCTCTTTAATTGATATCAGTGTAATATGAAATATGTACATTAAGACACTTTATATGCATTCTAATCATTAATAAATAACATTTTCAATCTGCTGTACAACAAGTTACACTTCAAAGAATGTTGATTCAATTATAACTCTTTTATTAGGCTGACATATAGCGTAGCAAGGCCAGTTAAAAAATCTTTTACTTTTCTAATTGATGAATACCCCATGACCGACATGAAGGCATGGAAGTGACCACTTGTCTTTTCATCCCACCTCTTATATTTTCTGTAGAGCTGGTTAAAATTTGCAGTCCAATTTTCATCGTTGGCACCATATTGACCCTTTTTAAACTACTTATAAACTCCCTTCCATCATCCTACCTAACAATTGCTTTGACCTTTGATGTTTGCAGAAGTAGGAGGAGAAGGAGGCATGGAGACGACGGTCCTTTCACTGATTTGGCAGGTCATACCAACCCTCCTTGTCTGGTTGATGAATGGAACCATCATAGCTACGGTCCTGGTGACGATGCTGTATGGAGACAAGACAGGAAAGAGTTCCGCCATCAATGTGACGGCCTACTGGCGTTACAGGACTCAGGCTGAGCAGGAGATCATGAAGGTAGGAATCGAGCGTAGGACTTTGGCCTCTCCTTGATGGAGCCACAATGACTAGCTCAATTCAGAGGAGACTAAGATTGAGATTAGATGCTACTTATAAGTATCGGTTTGCATGGTGATGTAGATATACAGTAAGCTTACGGTTGCACCGAGAAAGAAAGTTTACAGACAGTCCCTTTTAGGACTCCCCAATCCTCCCCCTCTCTCTCTCACATGGTACAACCATTAGAAAATTGTATAGGATTGAGGTTGTTATGGAGAGATGGGTGTTGTTTGTTTAGAGGGGAAACAACTGAACAAGGCACTGCATAATGTAGCTTATGGTGTAGCAGCCGAAGTGTTGATACAGTCACCTACCGACTTCAACAGTGCACATTATGAGGATAGGTCATATAATCCCAGATAGTCTTTAAAAGAAATCTAAAAAGAAAAACACAACCAGATACATGGTTCCACTACTACACAGCTGGATCTGAATTCAAATTCTTCTTCAGGTCGATAACAGCGTATGATATTATTTTTGAGAAATGAGTCATTTCAGATGTTTACTTTGTTTTGACCTCAGGGTAACATTGCTCAGGCCCTCAATCAGCTGTTCCATTGCTTCGCTGCTCTCGGTCGCAACCATCCTCTGGGTAACCTGGAATACTATGCCTCCTTCTTCTGGAACCTCTTCTGCCTCCCCCTCAACGTCTTCTTCAAGGGGCGTGGCATAGGAGCGTGGCTATCCCGACCCAAAGGGGACAAGCAGAAGGATGGCAAGTACCCCGTTGCTCAGACCACTGCAAGGGATATCGCCAAGACCTATCACCACATTGTGCAGCTCTTCTTGACAGGTGTGTATGAACCCCTGTGATGATGTAAGCATTGGCATCCTCAAAAGGCCAACTCAGCCAGTGGAAAGCAGTCCTCTCTTACTCTTCTTAAAGTCATTCAACCTTGGAACATGTTTTCCTATTATCAAATCAAATAAGTGAGCTCGTAAATAGCTCTGGAACGCATGACCCCAAAATATCCACAGGTCGTAGACACGATGGATACTTCCCACGTCTGCATTTTAGAATAATCACTTTAATAATAACTTTCAGGAGCACGATCCGAGTATTTGTCTCCATGGTTTTACAATTTGGGTACGAATGACCTTGATTTTCTTTAAAAGATTGTCATTTTCTCCCCATATGCAGCCAATTTCTCTCTTGGTGTACCGCGAGCCTTCTACATGGGTATATGCAGCATCAACCACGCTGAGAGAGCTAGAGACGCCATGAGTCCAACTGAACGAGCAGAGATCTACGCGACTGTAGGGGTACTCATCAGGACTAGGTTCTCAAAATCACTCCAGTGGCTTGCGGTAGGTGTCCCAAACCTTCATTCCCATTGGTCATTTAGTTTTATGTTTCAGATCATTCGTTTGTGTCTCCTTAGATCTTCAGAGTAGTTGCTACAACCGGCCGTGTCAGACACATTGCCCCGGGGTGCGAGATAGGACTCTTGTAGCGTGGCCCTGATAACATGTATTCACCTTTTTATGTGTGTACTAGGTTTATTTTATTTATGTACATATTCATAATTTTATTAAAGATTCTGTTGCCTCAGTCTAAAAAAGAAAGTGGATGGACACATCCAGAGTATCCAAGTAAATGTACCATTGCACTAGGTTGAGGCAGAAATCCTCAAGAGAATTCAAACCATAGGACCCATGTTTCCATGTTGGAACAGCATTTATTTGGCTTTGAAGTGTACTTGGACAACAAATGCCAAAGCCTATAAAAATAAAAGGTGTTTCTGATTGAGCTAAGTATGCAAACAGAAAGAGTGATAAGGAATTTGACCCCAGATATTGCAACTTAATCCAGATTCAGTATCAGAAAGCAGTTCAAAGTTTATGAGTTGTTAGCAGTGAGGCGTAAAAAAAGAAAGATGTTGTATTGCCCTTTGCGACCGACCCCAAAATCTTGAAATCTACGGTGGGCTTTTTAAAAAGCATTCAGAACTGAGACATATCAGCCCAAAGAAAGAAGGAAAAAAAGAAGATTTCTGACCGACCGACCCATGTTTTAGCACCTAAAGGCAAAGATGCCAACCGTTACGTTTTTGCTGTATTTGTTACGGTTTTAATGCTCTTATTACGGCGTTACGGTAAACAATCAAAAGGTTACGGGTAAACAATAAATAAGAGTACATTATAGCGAATGCCGCCTTATATTATCACATAGCCTCCGTACACAGCGCTGCATGTCGCACGCATTTACTCATAAGTTCACTGAATTTGACTACACTGGATAGGCACTTTCACGCACATGGTCCGTCCGCCGCTATCTTGTTTAATTCCGAAACAACATGGCCGCCGTCATTACTGTTTTGATACTAGTATACTACGTGCGGTCGTGCATTTTGGAGGGAGCATGGTGGTGAATGATCGTGCGCGCAATACCCATTCAAAGTATAGTAGGGAAGACTTTGGTGATTCAGCGGGCGCATTGCAAGTGCGGTATACGGTGTGTTGTTGTTCATGAACGCCGGGCCTAGCGGCCTGGGCTGGTGTGTCTGTGGTACTGGTGAGTGTACATGTACATGTGCGTGTGTAGGATACGAGTTCTGCAATTTGAGTGTGGATTCGAATTTGCCGTTCGACGCTTGAACAAGGTGTTTTCTTCCTGAATATTATCATGGATTCCCTCAAAAGAGCGAGTACCAGAGGTGGAGATCCTTTGACTGCAAACAGATTTTTAAAAGCGTTTTTATGCACATCTTTATTTTGGACTTAAAAATGGTAGGTTCGAAATGCAGTAAGAGTGATTGGGTGTTTGTGTACGTTTTGCGCGAAAATTATGCTGCGGTGTCTTGCGTTACGGAAAGACCCCCATTTGTTACGGACAAATGTGGTAAATGTTACTGACAGCCATCCTATAGGGTTAGCATCTCTGTAAAGGGCATTCAAACATCTTTTTTTTTAGGCCTGACAGTAATAATATTGAGTAAGATATTATAGATACAAAAAGGTCCACTCTGCACTTATGGACATTATTAATTCTGACAATTACCAATTTTATTTAATAATCAGTAAGTTCATCAATGTATTCCACACTCTTTCTTACCGTGACAGAGCCTGGTGTTCTATCGAGTGAGGTACATCCTGAACCGATCCAAGAGTCCCACACCTCCTATTCTGAGTTGGACGCTGGCTGCCTTCTCTCACTACTTCAGGCAGAATGACATCGTCCCCACCTCCTGGCAGGGACCAAGCTATTTCACCTCCATCACAGAGAAACGTAAGAGAATTCAGACATAACCACAAGAAATATAAACAAATGAACAAGTGAACCAGAGGCGGAAAAACTCGTAATGTAGAAAAAATGTGCTTGCCTATCTACCAGTCACCTTAATTCTGTATATAGGGCAGAATTTGTAAATTGACATATAAACAGTTAAGTGAGATTTTTTTTTTTTTTAATGTATCATCAGTGAGAGCAAGAAAGGAATAAATTCATTCTATTTAACTCAAGCGGGTTGACGGCTTTCAGAAGAAGCTATTTCATAAATTGTGTAAGTACATATACACCATATTTTTGGTTTTAATGTTCCCTTATCTTCTTTTTTTCAGTTTTCAATAATGTATTACTCTATTTTTATGCCTCCGTTACGAAGTAGCCGGAGGCATTATGTTTTCGGGTTGTCCGTCCGTCCGTACGTCCCGTTCTCGTGATCGCGTTATCTGAAGAACCGATTGATGGATTCCTGCCAAACTTTGGTCATGTATGTATCTTGCAGAGCCGATGAACTGATTAGATTTTGGGGTCACGAGGTCAAAGGTCAAAGGTCACAGGGCTCATTATGTATGCAAAAACAGCTCGTGATCGCGTTATCTGAAGAACCGATTGATGGATTCCTGCCAAACTTAGGTCATGTATGTATCTTGCAGAGACGATGAACTGATTAGATTTTGGGGTCACGAGGTCAAAGGTCAAAGGTCACAGGGCTCATTATGTATGCTGAAACAGCTCGTGATCGCGTTATCTCAAGAACCGATTGATGGATTCCTGCCAAACTTAGGTCATGTATGTTACTTGCAGAGCCGATGAACTGATTAAATTTTGGGGTCATGAGGTCAAGGTCAAAGGTCATGCGGCTCATTATGCATGCAAAAATAGCTTGTGATCGCATTATCATTAGAACAGATTGATGGATTCCTCCCAAACTTAGATCATGTATGTATCTTGCAGAGCCAATGAACTGAGTAGATTCTTGGGTCATGAGGTCAAAGGTCGAAGGTCATAGGTCATGGGCTCATTATGTATGCAAAAATAGCTTGTGAACGCATTCTCATTAGAACTGACAGATGGATTACTATTTAACTCGGGACATCTTGCAGAGCCAATGAACTGAGTAGATGTTAGGGTCATGTGGTCAAAGATCAAAGGGTCATATATGTATATGAGAAATTACTTGTAATCACGATATTCTGAGAACCTGTTAATGGATTACAATTGAACTTGAATTTGAACAATTTCTTCTGTTTTGGTTTGTAAAATTGCTCTATGACGGAGGCATCATTTCGACTGCGCGCAGTCGAAGTTCCATCTAGTTTTAAACCAAATTTTATGCCGCTCTATATCTTGTTTTAATGTGATATGAATATTGATGGCATTTCCATTTGTAAAAGTGCATTATTAAAGCCAATATTTGTCCTTCCTCCAGGCAACCCATTGGTGGTAGTATCCCAGCATCTGAGAGAGCATATGATCCACAACGTCCTCAAAGGTATCCTGACCCTACGACCAGATGATAACCAGGACTCACAGAAGAGCAAGAGAAGGTATGTTCATCAGACCTGCCAACCAGTATTAATTAGTCGTATTTCGTATGATTTTTAGAAGCAAATACGACAGTATGATTTTTCTCAAGAAAATACAATTTCCAATACGATTTTTAAATATATATGATATTTTGTGTGTGTTATTGTCATTTTCAATAGTAAAATGGCAATTCTGTCCTGTAAAGTATCCTACAAGCATCTCACATAGGCAATTTGGGGATGTTCATTAGTTCATCGGACACACCACTCATGACGAAATCATGCATATGCAACCAATGATCGTTAAAAAATTTCACGGACTTATAGCGCGAAATCCGCGAAGATTACCACGTTTACAGCAATTTATATCACCAGATGGGTAAGACATCAACCTAATAACCTTTTGTTTTGTTGACAGTGTGGATCAAGATTTCATGATGCAGCTCAATGGACTGAGCATCTCTCTGGATGAAGCATCTACCTTCTATCAGCAAAATATGGATGTCACTTCAAACTTCCAAGCCAGGAATGGTAAGTATATACTGTTGCCAAGGTTTTTGTGAATGCAGACAACTTGAAAGTAGTAATTTGCAAGATAGTGAACAGGTTATAATCATCAGCCATGGTTTTGAAATGTCATTTCCCGTTTTGTACATGAATGGTATGTACACTAACACAGGGATCTAGCAGTATTTCTTTAGTGTTCGTCCCCTCCCAAATGTGTATGTTAGTGTGATGATTGGGGGGCATTTTGAAGACTTCTTCTGCTTCATTCAAGATATGCTGCACTTCTTTGTGTTAGCATAACACATGAAAACATCTGGCAATCTCTCTCTCCTGAAATATGGCAGTGAAGAGCTCTTCAAGAAATACAAAATTAGGAAGAGCTGTTGGAAAAGATGAATATTTTTGATGTTGCAAACTACAAGCATTTGGAGTCTTCACTGTATTCGTCTTCATCTCCCTTTAACAGAGTATGATCCTGTTGCACTTTGGTGGGTCAATCTTCTCTTTGTGGCTGCATACTGGCAGATTGGAGAGGAAGAGAAGGCTGAGGCATACATCAGCTGCATTGATTCATTGCCAGCTGAGCTCCAGAAAGAAAGGTAAATACTTGTTGCAAGATCCTTGTTTAGTTTTTCTAGGAAAAAAACATCATTTGTAATATCACTGCTTAAATTAGAATGAAATAAGCTGAAAATACATTCCACTTATTTTTCTAATTATTCCTTTAGAGTTCTTATTTCGATCTGATTTTCACTTTACAGTGACAATTCGGAATAGAAAAATAAAAATTGACAAGTACAATTCTGAGCAACATGATTTTAAAAGATAATTCAACTATACAAATATCTGTAATTGTGTTAACAATGTTATATACCAAGGGATTTTGCAATTTGAAATAAGTGGAAACTTTTAAATGTTTAGAATGTGGTGTACAAAATCAGTAGCCTTCTGAATATTTGTTTGGTAAAACTTGTGTTTTCATGAGAATGTTTTGTGGTTGTGTCATACAGCTTCCCTCTAGCAGCCCTCCAAGCCTGCAAGGCCCGGCTTGCCCTTCTGTCAGCTGCTCAGAATGACATCCCGGATGATTGCCTCAGGATGTCTGACCTAGCAAGCAACAATCTGGTGCGCAGTATGGAAGCCGGCTACTCTGGGGAAAACTCTATCATGGTAAGAATCATTCAATCACAAATGGGAATTTTTTTTTTCTGGTTGATCCAGGATATCACATTTTCAACAATAGTGGTTGATTTTCTTTAAACAGAAAGTTAAAGGTAAAGACCAGTATTGGAAACGCCCCAATTTCAAAAAATGAAATGGAAGCTCTCATTACCAATCATGTGAAAGAATATGTTTTGACTAATACATGATAAAAAATTTGCCGGGAAACCGCCTACTAATTTATATGTTTGGTAAATTTGTTTCTCTCATGGTCTGTGAGAGATATAGGGTAGTCCCATATACATCTTTCTGTGTATAGTGCTTGTAACTTTACAAAGAATGGGCCAAATTTCTTATCATTTTGATGATTCCAAAATCTTGCAGATGCTAGATGCTAGATGATCAACCTTTTCTGATCAATTCCACAACGTTTCTTTCACAATGCAATCGCATGACCATAACTGGTCTTTACCTTTAACACTAATGCATGGGGTAGACAGGACAGATTCAAAATAATGTTGTTAATATTTATTTACACTAACCAATCAGGATTTTACTTCTTTTTAAAAGGGTCAACAGTGTGCATTGTGAATTCCACATGACCAAGTGTATTCTAATTATGATCTGGGAAATTTAAACTCTATTAGAATAGGAATATGAATAGTTAGGATAAGGATTAAAATTAGGAGTAGTGTTAAAATTAGGATACAGATTAGGTTTGGATTAGGATTAGGTTTAAGGTCAGGGTTAGGGAGTCATCAAGAGAGCCTTGATTCGTCAATAAGCCACCATGAAGGCTCCAAGGCAAATGACTGGACGAGGATCTCTTTCTTTTAGCCACGGTTAGGATTAGTATTGTGGTTAGGGTTAGGATTAAGAGAAAGGTTAGGATTAGGGAGTCATCCAGTGGAGGCAACCCCCTGAACAAGGATCTCTTTCTTGTAGCCATGGTGCATTGTCGTTGCATTGCATGTGTCTCTATACCCCTATGTAGTGCAAGAACAGTGCAATATGGAGGCAAGATAAGCAGCGCCTGAAGTGAAATGATTGCATCAACAATAGCGACCCTGCAACAATAATGACAAGCTCGCTGCTCTTTTTCCCCCTTTATACATCATATAAAATTTGTAGGAAAGGCAGTTTTACGACATGTTTTAAAGCCACACTGTCCTACTTGTAGCTACTTGCTCCCTCTGTATAGAAAACTTCCCCAATCAGTGCCTGTTGTTCCCCATGATCCTCTTTTTCTTATGTTAATTGAGAGCTGAGTTAATGAGATAGCCACCTGTCAGTGACCTCGCTGTGTGGTCTAATCCCTTCTGGCTGAACTAAGACAGCCGGCCTTTAAGGTTCTAAATCAGCCTTCTGAAATACTCTTGAAAGCTTGGATTTAAAAAAAAAATCTCTCTTTGAATGTAAGAAAAGATAGATGTATAATCAAGTCGTTTGAACAAAAAGGAAAGAAATCGTAGATAAAAAAACAAACCTGGAGCAGTTATCTCCAAGAATTTCCAAGTATTTAGCTTTAATTACATTTTTGATGGTATGTGTAACAAAGCTCTTGAATCTCTCTCCTATGTAGCTTGTCCAGCTCCTGGTTGTTGATTGGCTCTTGTCGACCCGCTCAGCCGTCTGGCAGCGCCGTCAACAGGGTTCCCCATCCACCGTACCAGCTACCAAGAACGAACTCTCTGCCTTCCATCAGGATCTCACCACCCTCAGAAAGCTGGCCAGTGAGCTTCCCCATGTCGGGTCAAAGGTCACGCTCTACGAGGCCGTGGGTCGTCTGATGGCCGGTGCGAACCCCGTCCGAACGCAGGTCCTCCTGGATCGTAACCTCAGAAAGAGAAACGCTGATCCCAAACAAAAAGGTGAGAAAAACTGACTTGTTGGCTTGGTAAAGTTTCCTGTACTAGTCTAAATTTTAAAAAATTGATTGATTGATTCCAATTCCCATTTTCTATGTTGTGTTCTTCAATGAAATGTCGCAAATGTGAAATCCAAATTTATATGATTCTGGTTATTGCCCAAAAGCAAAACAGTGTTCGAGAAGGCTTTTTAGCCCAATAGGAAAAGTTATAGGGTACTTAATGTTTGTAAAGTCCCAATTTATTACATTTGTACTAGGAGAAAATAGACGAAGATTTTCTGTTATTTTTTTGTGTCCGCTAATAAACAATTTATAAATGTAAAAATGTATGAATCAAAAATAAATGTATGAGGCTTTCCTATTTTGCATCTCACCTCTGAGCTGAAGTCAACCTTTCTTTGATCTTATCGTTTTCCCCCCTTTCTTTCCAGATTCCGAGATTGAGAGCAGCACCGCGGAGCATGACCGCGCCCAGTCCCTTCTCGTGAAGAGCTGCTACCTCTACTCCACCATGCCCTCTGATACGCTTGAGCGTAAGAACCTCCTCAACGATGCGGTCCGCTCGCTGGAGAAGGTGGGCGATCGTCGCGGCATGCAGAGCTGTCAACAGATGCTGCAGTCATTACAGAAGTCCGGATCAACGCAGTCCACCAACACTACCGTCACAACAGCATGTTGTTAGTTTAAGGAGGAGGAGGAGGGTGTATTGACATATACAGTCAAACTTGTCTATGTCTACTCAAAGGAAACGGAATAGTGATCACTGTAGAGAAGTGGTCTTTCTAAACAAGTTCTTCATTTCACACATCAGAGAGAGAGAGAGAGAGAGAGAAAGAGAGAAGCAGAAAAGAATAGAGAGGGAGAGAGAGGAGAAAGAGAGGGGGGGGGGGGGGGGTAATACAGGGGACTTTTATAGACAGATGGCCTTTCTAGACAGGTTCTATCTCACACATTTCTTCCCATCAGGAAGAAAACATGGTTGACCACTGTAGTAGACAGGTGGTCTTTAGACAGAGATACTTCAGCACACATTTCTTCATTTAGGAAGACAATTTAAGTGACCACTGTAGACAGGTTTGACTGGTTACTTTGTACATATATTTCTTCCGGTAGGGGTGGTGCGCTATCGTACAAAAATTATCTCTCAGCAATGATTGATGTAGATATTTATTGATCAAGTAAAGTTAATCCGTTTCAATTTTTTTGGAGGGGTCAGATGTTTCTCTAAATCCTCAAAAATGATTGATGTACATATTTATTGATAAAGTAGATTTAATCTGTTTCAATTTTTGGGGAGGGGTCAAATGTTCCTCTAAATCGTCACCTAATGGTTTGAATGATCATGAGATTAATTACATGGGGAGGAGATTGCAAGGCAACCCTAAATGTGAGATCATGAGACATTCAAAGATAAATGGTTTAATCTGGAATGACGAGCATGCTTTTAATATGCTTTGATTGGAAATAAAGCATAATTTGACCAAAAAATGGATACATGAAGTTCGTAGAGTGATTTATTTTGTGACATTCAACGTCAAGTGATTTCCTGGAGTTGTTATGGTATTCATTAGTCAGTATGTTTATCCACCAAAATATGAAATGTGACATTTTCATTAAGAAAGCCTAATGTACAATATTTAATTGTAAATAGTAGATTTTATTTCTTTAAGTCTAATTTGACTTATATACTCATCTGAAATTTAAAAATGTTCACAAGTTACGGTTTGACTGATAACATTATTTTTTCTTCTTTTTGGAAGAGCATCAAGAAGTTCATTTGCCTTAAACAATGTGCATTTCTTGTGGCTAAATTGAAATGTTTATGTAAGCAATTAGACATGACAGAAAGAGAAGAAGTGTATTTTCACTTTAAAAGAAAATGAATCTTGCCAATGAAAAGTGATGCAAGATTCTGGGTAGGAGAATGTAAATAGATACATATTCAGGAGCAAGGAAGATAACCTTATAATAAATAGTAGGCCCATGTACACCGTGGTGTGGGGGGTCACATTCTACCGTTGTCGCAATGTTACAATTGAAGTTGCTTCACAGTTACATTCTTTTCAGCTGTATATTCATAAAGCATTCATGTTCATGGTCCAGAATGAGATTCAGATAAACCACATAGGAGAAGGTGTCCTTCATATAGGAGTTCATATTTTGTCATTGCTGTGTAAAAAGTGATTTGTATTATTTAATCAAGTTCTATTTGGGTGAATGTCTCCCATAACTATGATTTTCTTCTTATGAATAAAATAATCTGTAAAAAGATGAAAATCAATAAACGTCTCTCTTTCATGTCTTTACAATTTCCAGATTTTTCTAGGGGAAGTTAATCCCGCACTTCTATTCTCTCATCGATGTCCATTTCTCATAACCTATTCTCTCTCTCTCTCTCTCTCTCTCTCTCTCTCTCTCTCTCTCTCTCTCTCTCGATCTCGAATCAGTGTATTTTCTTATTTCCCTTTTACTGTCAAATACTTTTCTTTCTTCTATCTTCATCTTGCACTATTTTCCCCCACATCTCTTCATTTTTCTCAAGTTTAAGGCAGCAAGTAAAATTACATGTGAATCAAACCTCAACTCAGCTTAGTTTTACAGACAAAAATTTGATTTATTTTCACAATCAGCAAGAATTTGTGAAGTGAAAGACTTCAAGAATCTCGGTCAATAATGATTTTTTTTTTTGCTAGTAATTTCTGTATCTTTGAATTTCATTTAGAAGGCTTGTTAGATAATAATTCCATCAACATAATATCTACATGTAACACTGCAATAGCATTTACAATACATTTTCTTTTTTTACAACTATACACTTGAAAAATAATACAAAACTTGTCGCTACAATAAAGCTCAATAACTTAAGTACATTCAGTAGTACTTTGTTGAACAGTTAATAACTGCGAAAATCACCAATATCTCATTCAAAACGAAGATCCTTGAAAGAAAAATAACATTGATCCAGACATTGCTATCAAAGTGACTAAAATGCTCAACGTTGAGAAAAGCTGTGTATAAATAGAGATCTATATTTCATCAAATAAAGGACGGTTGCATACACATTTATGTCACATCAATGGAAAATAAATAGCTTTTGCTTTCGGGCTTTTGACATGTAGTTATTGAAACAAATAAGAGCAATGCTCACATATAACAGAAGTTAATTGGCTACATAACATCTGTAGCAAAACGCACATAATAGGCTCAGATATCTCTCCTGAGTGGAGAGAGGCAATACCAATGAATGCCCCACCACATAATATTGTTGTGATGACTTTGGTGTAGAGGGGCAACAATTGAATCAAACATTGGTGTTATATCTGTGTAAGTGGCAGGTGAATCAGCTATATCTTGAGTAAAACCAATTAATATTAATTAGAATAATAATCCTGTTTCTTCTTTTATACAACATACCACCAATAAGCCCTTGTGACTTCTCATATATTTCACTGTGAATACAAAATGAGTGTAACATGAATACAAGATGTGCACTTCAAAGTTCAGCTGCTAACATTACTTTGGAAATACATGTGTTTGTACATTCTTTACACAAGTTACTATTCATTTAAAAAATAACACAGATAAAATTACTTGTACCTAAGAAAGCAAAAGTTTGGTCAAACATGTTTACCTAAAATGAAATCCGTCGTGGGTATTTACTATTTGAGTACATGTACATGACTAAAAAACTTAAGGTAGGGTATTTTACTGACACGACTTCAGATTTACATATACTTCCATTATCTGTTAACAATGTCCATATGCATTGACAGTCATGTCCCACAATGCATCACCAACTGATTACATATGAATGGTAATACCTGGGTACATGTATGCCTTCATAGAAAGATGGCGCAATTGAAAATATAAGACGGGAGTGGTAGCAATGTTGATAAAATACCCTGCCTTTTAGTGAGCAAGTACCTCCAACACATGTAATGATGCAAATATATAACAAGAATTAAGGGAGAAAAAAGATGATCCAAAGTGATATTATTTGCTTTGCAGTTGCAACTTCTTGATGAACCCAAGATATCAAAATATAAGACCATAGATGACCTTTAATATCATAATTGCATTATGTATCACCTTTACATCAGAAATATGAAAGCCACAATTACTAATGTTAAAGAGTTGCTGAATATCATCACATGTATTCCATACCAAAATTAAATAAATTACGTTTCAGCAACTGCATTTAAGTAAATGAATGAGATGAGCTAGTGTCATAAAGTTTGGAATATCTGGAAAGGAGGATGAAATCAGGTTTATTGAGTCACAAATATCTCAAAGCTAATATTTAGACGTCTGCTCATAACTGCAAATCTTTGAGTACCTCTATCACAGTTGTGGACTGGAGTGGTTATTATCTGTATCTGATATAGCTGCATGTCCAATTTCTACCTTAGATGCAGTGAAAACTATTTTCCAAACAAGCTTTGTTTTGATACACAAACTCAGGAGCTAAAGTCTGTCATGTACAATATTTTCAAAGTTCAAACCTGTCAATGTTTTACATCCACACATTGCGAATGATCGGGGGTACACCCAGAACTGGACAAGGGGCTCAGAGAAGCAAGCAAGCCAACCCACAGCTTCAGATAAGCCTTTCATAGCCATGTGCACCCCAGACAACAGGTACCGTTTACAAAAATGCAGTATTAAAAAGTTTGTGCATTTAGTCAAGGTTTGCCATTCTCAGAACCAACTTTCTTTCGTTATTTTCTCCTGTCCACTTAAGTGGGTATCATCGATATGTATTCTCCTCTCCTAGGTCTATTCAAGAACAGGAGGGAGAGGGGGAGGGGGAGGGAGGGATCTACTTTATATTAACCCCATTGCAGCCACGCAAGGCTGTATCATTCTGTATTTGCTATCTAGTTTGGGGAGAACACTCATGTTGGAATCAATAAAGCATTGCATGCTCATCATAAGTCACTGTTCTTTCATAAAATCTGGACATATCCATACCCCAACCTTCCACAGTCAAACTAAGAATCTCTCAAGGTAACATTAAGAATACAATGCATTTTGTATGCTTTCACACAGTTCTCAGACAATAAGAGGAATCTAGGATTCATAACAGGAGTTTGAAGGCCCCGAAATGAAAAACCATTCCTCCGAAACAGGAATGGTTGGCAGCTATATCCACATTCACTTTTCTGTCACTTTGAGAAATCTCTTTAATGGAGGTTTTTCATTAAAGCCCCACTGCACTAGTTTGGCCAGGAGGGATTAGACCTCCCTGCATGGTCACTGACAGATTTATCTCATCAAATCAGCTCTCAATTAACATTTTTTTAAAGAGGATCATGAGGGACCAATGGTCACCGATTAGGCATTGTGTGCTATATAGAGGACGCAAGTAGATACAGGTTTATAAGTGGTGCAGTGGGGCTTTAACAAAATTAAAATTAATACAAACTATCCACTACATGAATAGGTATGAGATACTGCAGTGTTGAGTATGTATGGGAGATGCTAGCTCTCAACCATGTGAGATAGTTGGTCTCTTCTTGTGATCCGACTAGCTAGGTTCACTTCATTCCTCTCCCTGAGCCTGAAGATACGACGAGGGATCACTAATCTTGGTTACCTGACCCGCTTTGATGTTCTCTGAACACATCGGACATGTGTCTTCTGATTCCAAGAAGCTGTGAATAAAGGAACAGGTTTAGAGGTCAATCTGTGGAGTACCTCAACTAGGAGGTCCTGGATTCAAAACAAAGTTCATGTGCTAGTCTCTTTATTTAGGCATTAATTTTCTGTTATCAAGTCCTTCAGATAGGGGTCAATTGGTTGGTCATCTACAAATACATACTTGCTGTCTGAGCAGACATTTCAAATAAATCACAAATAATTCAAAGGAGGCATGTGATCCCAAATCAGCTTTATATCTTCAGATTTCTCCCTTCATCAAATTTTTAAATCCTTACCACTTTCCTGAAGCTAACAAAATCGCTTCACTAATGTTGCTATGTGGACAAGGGTTACCATTACTATCTCAATTTCATACAAAGTCAATGGGGTGACAATTACTCACAGGTGTCTCTCATGTTAACTCAAAACAGAGAAATTTCAGAATCAGAATTTGATAATCGAGTGCAATATATGTATGTGGATGAAATGATAAACGTAAAGACCAGTATTGGAAATGCCCCAATTTCAAAAAATGAAATGGAAGCTCTTTATTACCAATCATGTGAAAGAATATGTTTCGAGTAATACATGATGATAACAATTTTGCCGGGAAACCGCCTACTAATTGATATATTTGGTAAATTAGTTTATCTATTGGACTGTTAGAGATAAACGCACGTGTCGCACACGTGTGCGTAGTCCCATACATCTTTCTTTGTACAGTGCTTTTAACTTTACGAAGACTGGGCCAAATTTCTTATCATTTTGATGATTCCAGAACCTTGCAGTACACACAAATACTTATATGCTAGATGATTAACTTTTTCTGATCCATTCCACAACGTTTCTTTCACAATGCAATCGCATGACCAGAACTGGTCTTTATCTTGAATGAAATCATATTACATTTCGAATCAATGACACTAGATTAAAAATCATCTTGGTGAAAATCCTACATTTCCATGAGCATGTTTAACTGTTATCATGGTAGCTATGAAACAAACATTTGACATACCTTGTAAGCTCTGAATACAAGGCTGGGAAATCACACTTAGGACAGACTGCCCAATCCTGACGTACCATGTGACGGCCCTGGAGAAAATATGGAAGACAAAATATCAAATGAAAATATGCAAACGGTAAAGACTGGATTCAAACATTACACATGGTTGATACATAAAAGGTGTATTGAGTTTATCTGGATTAAAAGGCAAGTATAGTTTTATTTTAACTTGAGTGACAATTTGATAAGGTAAGTAGGCTCAGTCTGTAAAGCGTCTGCCTGTCAAACTTAAGATCGTGGCCTCGAATCCGACCCAGATGGATGACTTAAGCCCGAGTTGTGTGTTAATGTGCCCCTCCTATCCCTTTTTTAATATACGCAGACTATGTTAAGTGGAAAACATAGTCTGCGTATATTAAAAAAGGGATAGGGCTTGGATAGGGCGTTAAATGGAGGCCCTGTGTAGAGGAGAGTCACCACCTTTGCATATTAAGAACCCACTGCACTATTGTATATTATTATTATTATTATTTATTTGACCAATCGGAAAACATACAGAGAGTATAACAATCAGATAACACATAAAAATTTCATAATACATGCAAACATTTTAGGAAAGTGGAGAGGAGAGAGAGAAGGATACAATCTGCTGGTCAGGGGTGACAAAAGCAATTGAAACTGCTATTACTCGAAAGCATGTCACCCCCCTGATATCCTACCATGTATCCATTTAACACCTTGCTAAGAGTAGGGGGAAACCCCAGTGTAGTGTTTCACCTGCACCCCCCCCCCCCCATCATTTATACCGGGAGATGAGACCATCAGTCATCAGTCAAAGCAAGCTAGTCATGATATGTGCACAGTAGAAGTCTTACTGTAATAATGCAGTATGGGGTGGTGTTTTTACAGTCTGGGCAGGACAGCTCCGTCTCCTCCAGCTCGTATTTACAGTTAGGACAAGGTTTAGTCGGCTCGTCCTCCTCCGTCTTATCAGGTTTCCTGTAAGAGATGAATAGAATAGAAATAATGATGATGATTTTCTGCTTTCCTTCCACCAAGTCTCAAGTAACTGATCCAAGTGCTTTGCAGTAAAGTGAAACCTGTCTATAAAGAGCATCCAAGTGAGACAAGAAAAGTGGTCTTCATAGGCAGGTGGTCTTTATGTACAAGTTCCTTTAGTACATGTTTCAATGAGAAACCCCTTTCAAGGGAAACAAAAAATGTGGTCTTTGTAGACAGGTGGTCTTTCTATACAGGCAGTCATCTTTGTGGTTTGAGAATTTTTTCAGGATTTTTTGCATGTCAGAGGGTTAGTACAGTAAAAAGAATATAGTAAGTAACATTATATACAAAAATTAAGCAATTTTTTTTCATCAACCTTCAACAATGTTACCAAGTCACTTTAAAGCAGGTTTCGACTATATATCATTACCCTTGTCACAGGATCCAGTTATGATTCTACACTTTGCTATGCACACTCTACAATCCACTAGGGGACATTCCAGCCAGTCACTATTTTATGGGCTGATACATCCTCTTTCATGCATACCATATCACATCCTACCCTGTATCCATGGTACATAGTGACTAGCTGGGATGTTCCCTAGTGGACTGAAGAGTGTGCATAGCAAGGTGCAGAATCATAACTGAATCCAGAGAAAACCGATGATGATGGCATAACCTAGCTTAAAGACATACGTTTAATTTAATCTATCATCACTATTTTTCAATCAAATAGATGCCTTTTCAACACTATAAATCTGCCTGGTCATGATGTAATAAGCCTTGATGGAAATCATAGCCCTGGGAGGTGTTTCATAAAGTTACGCATAACCTTACGTTTTAACAAAGTGTGACTATATTTCCAATAACCTCAATTAAATTATGGCAAAAAATATACTTTGCATTAAAAATTGTTTGTTATAATAAGAATGTTACTCTACATCTGCACAGTTCAATGTTAGTTGATGCAGTTAAAAATGATTGAGCATCCCATTTGGCTTTTCATATTTAAGTCGTTCGTAAAGTCATGCGTAAGTGTACGAACAGCTTTGTGAAACACCCCCCTGGTCTGATTAATAGGGTCAGGTGAAAACATTCTGTATTTGATTCACATATACTTGGGGGAGGGAGGGCTGACTTCTATTTTATTCATTTACTTGAATTATAATAATGAAAATGCTGGCTTCAATATATAAAAGACATGTCCGTCATGCCGTGAATACCACATATAGAAATGAAGCAAACCTTTTTGAATTGGCATTCAAAAACTCACCTGACTATGGCCTCAATCTTCTTCTTATACTTGAGATCGATCGAGTTCCTATACTCTGGTCTCATGAGCATGGCAGCATAGCTGAAGGACGAGTTCTTTAGACCTGACCGATGGCACTCGATGACAGTCGATGTCAAGATAGGTACAACATCTAAACATTGAGAAGAAGAGAGACAAAGAGAGAGATAGAGATCAGTTCTTTCATGAATCAGAAATTCCAGTTGTTCATCGGAATCTATTAGCACAATAATAATAACAATATGAAAAATTTATATAGCGCTTGTGAAATTAAATTTTCAAAGCAATGTACACAAATCAAGAATACTACAAGAAAAACCAATATTACAAATGGAATTAACATCACATAAATTACCAAGAAAATAAAATATTACTAACATAACTGAACAGATTAACATTACTTAAATTACCAAGAAAACATTACTAAATAAATTAACACAACATGTAAATTTCTGGGAAATTTAACATACTAATGATAGCAACAATTTAACAAAAGACATAATGTAGGCATCATTGTAATACAAATTCACACTTATTTTGTTATAGTTATTGGGGTTGATTTTGGAATAGCTCATCATATACTATAGCTCATCATTACTAATTATAATGATTACTACCATAACTGTTTTTTGTCCCTTCAATATAGGACCTTTCCTGAAGTTAATTGATCAAACCACTGGACTCCTGTATACCCATTTATCCAACAACACAGTTTACCTTTGGGAAATACATGTCTACACAATACGTGTAGTATACAACTACTTCCATGGTGATAGCAGTAAATTTGGACAATTATTTGGGCTGTCTACAAGTTGCAATGAAAAGCAAGAAATACTTACGAGCTGGGAATTTGCTGATGTTGTTAGCCACCCTGATGAGCATCCGAGCGCCTTTCTTATGATCACCTTTCTTCACATGAATCTGTAAACATACAAATGAAGACAAATGTTAAATATCAGTGGAAACGGGAGGACGCAACTGACCTGTGAAGTTAGTTCTTTTCAGATATGTCATACAAAACTTACATGTTGATTGACTTTATTGAGTATGCTTTTTGATAGACAAAAGTCTTTATATTCAAGAACATTCTCCAATAACTTCCTTGTGCTTAAATTCAGCGGGTGGTCTCGTCCGATCTGAGGTCGAGATTGGTGAAGAAAAAAAACCCGAAGGTGTTAACATGGCATACCATGTTTATTGCTTCTTTATTGCTTGCATACCATGTTAACATGGCATACAGCGGTGTTCTTTCTTGATTTTTTTGCTTGCAGCGAGGAGCCATTGCGGTCCTTCAACTCGGTGATTGCTGTAGCAACCATCTCGGCAGCTTGGTAGCGATATACTTCTTTATTGCTTGCAGCGAGGAGCCATTGCGGTCCTTCAACTCGGTGATTCATAATATATGAGATGAATTAATGATTTTAATTAAGTCTATCTGAGCAGATTTGGCTTGAAATCGCTTCCCCTGAATCTTAAAGCACAGTGATCTTTTAGTATTATTTTGTTCATATGAGACTTGAGGTACTTTGACTCGGATGCACAGCTAAATGAGGTAACTTATCTTTCTATCTCTCTACCTATTTGCCACATATGCTGCCAATTCTTGCCAAGGACAGGTTGCTTGCCCCACACTCAAAACGTCAATATGACACCTTTCAAGGAATGTCCTCAAGAAGCTGATAGACCTTGAAGAGGCGTGATAGCTCAGTCGGTAGAGCAATGGTCTCGTAATCCGGTGACCCGGGTTCGAAACCAAGTCAATGCGCTAGTGCCCTTTGGTAAGGCATTAATCCTCACTACCAGGTCCCTCGGAGAGGACCTAAAGCCGTCAGCCGTCTGGTTGCTTACTTACAAGCATTTATGCTTTCTTAGCAGTCAGGTAAAATAACCACCATTCATTCATACCTAGCATCGCCTCTTACCTTGACCAGGATATAGCTATGTAGAATCATGAGGTTATTAGCCATCTCGGTAGGGATCTTTATCTTCTGCGCTCTCAGCTCTGTGTACATACTGAACAAGACATCATGGGCATTCCTGTAGTTACCTGCAAAGACAAATGACAACAACGTTAACTGCTTGTGCACACAATGGCAGAGCAAGAAGAAAAGACAGATTATGTTAGGTCACTGAACAAGCTTTCATTTTTGTTGAAATAAAGCGAGTAGCATGTGTCATCGGGGCAACTGGCACATCACCTGGGACCTGTTTCACAAAGCCTTTTTTAAATGATAAATGACAAAAATCAATGACAAATCTGTTGATAACCAATAAGAAGCAAGGATTTCAGTAGCTTATAACAACAACTTTCATTTGATTTGTCACTGATGAAAAGTTTTGTGAAACGCCCCCCCCCCCCACCCCTGTACTAATACCATGATAATATGCTTACCAGCAATCTGTTCCTCCCTAGCGATGATGGTAGCTGTCCTAGCAGCCTCTCTGTATTGCTTGAGAGCCATGTACAATCTAAAGAGATACTAATACCATGATAACATGCTTACCAGCAATCTGTTCCTCTCTAGCGATGATGGTAGCTGTCCTAGCAGCCTCTCTGCATTGCTTGAGAGCCATGTACAATCTAAAGAGATACTAATACCATGATAACATGCTTACCAGCAATCTGTTCCTCTCTAGCGATGATGGTAGCTGTCCTAGCAGCCTCTCTATATTGCTTGAGAACCATGTACAATCTAAAGAGATACTAATACCATGATAACATGCTTACCAGCAATCTGTTCTTCCCTAGCGATGATGGTAGCTGTCCTAGCAGCCTCTCTGTATTGCTTGAGAGCCATGTACAATCTAAAGAGATACTAATACCATGATAATATGCTTACCAGCAATCTGTTCCTCCCTAGCGATGATGGTAGCTGTCCTAGCAGCCTCTCTGTATTGCTTGAGAGCCATGTATAATCTAAAGAGATACTAATACCATGATAATATGCTTACCAGCAATCTGTTCCTCCCTAGCGATGATGGTAGCTGTCCTAGCAGCCTCTCTGTATTGCTTGAGAGCCATGTATAATCTAAAGAGATACTAATACCATGATAATATGCTTACCAGCAATCTGTTCCTCCCTAGCGATGATGGTAGCTGTCCTAGCAGCCTCTCTGTATTGCTTGAGAGCCATGTATAATCTAAAGAGATACTAATACCATGATAATATGCTTACCAGCAATCTGTTCCTCCCTAGCGATGATGGTAGCTGTCCTAGCAGCCTCTCTGTATTGCTTGAGAGCCATGTATAATCTAAAGAGATACTAATACCATGATAATATGCTTACCAGCAATCTGTTCCTCCCTAGCGATGATCGTAGCTGTCCTAGCAGCCTCTCTGTATTGCTTGAGAGCCATGTATAATCTAAAGAGATACTAATACCATGATAATATGCTTACCAGCAATCTGTTCTTCCCTAGCGATGATGGTAGCTGTCCTAGCAGCCTCTCTGTATTGCTTGAGAGCCATGTACAATCTAAAGAGATACTAATACCATGATAATATGCTTACCAGCAATCTGTTCCTCCCTAGCGATGATGGTAGCTGTCCTAGCAGCCTCTCTGTATTGCTTGAGAGCCATGTATAATCTAAAGAGATACTAATACCATGATAATATGCTTACCAGCAATCTGTTCCTCCCTAGCGATGATGGTAGCTGTCCTAGCAGCCTCTCTGTATTGCTTGAGAGCCATGTATAATCTAAAGAGATACTAATACCATGATAATATGCTTACCAGCAATCTGTTCCTCCCTAGCGATGATGGTAGCTGTCCTAGCAGCCTCTCTGTATTGCTTGAGAGCCATGTATAATCTAAAGAGATACTAATACCATGATAATATGCTTACCAGCAATCTGTTCCTCCCTAGCGATGATGGTAGCTGTCCTAGCAGCCTCTCTGTATTGCTTGAGAGCCATGTATAATCTAAAGAGATACTTAGCATCCTTAGGTATACCGTCTGTCTCTCCCATCAGATAATCTATCAGTTGATGGGCCAGCTGGTCATCTCTACACTTTCCAACCTGTACAGGGATAAAAAAAGAGATGCAACTTTGACTTATCACCACGAACAGCCCCATTTTTATAATCATCATTATTCGTTTCAAGAGGAATTGGTAGGAATTTGTTCCTTGAAATGCTAAAGCGCCGTATGGCAGCCGTGCTAAAGCCAGGGTAATAATCGGGAGTGCCAGGAGGGTCAAATCTCACTGACATGAGCGCTATACAAGAACCCATTATTATTATTGTTATTAAGAGCTAGTTTGTCATCTTCACACCTGTTCAATAGTAAAAATGAGATCAAACTTAGACTATAGGTTTTTTTTACCAAAATCATCATTGCTATTGTCATCGTCACCACCATCATCATTATCATTAGCACCATCATTCAATGGGCTTTACACCTTCCAATGTGTACAAGAACCAGAGAGAGATACTAAATTACAGGGATGTTATTATCATTGCCATCAATATAATCATGATCATCACCATCTTCATCCTCCTCCCCATCACTTTCATCCTTATCCTCATCCTCCTCTTACTCATCCTCATTCTCATCATCGTTACTATTATCATCATCACTGTCATCATTGTCACTATCATTATCATTATCATTGTCACTGCCATCATTGTAATCGTCACTGTCATCATCATCATCGTCATCATCTTCACTGTCATCATCATCATCATCATCATCATCACTGTCATCATCATCATCCTCATCATCATCACTGTCATCATCATCATCATCATTACTGTCACAATGATCAATATCATCATAACTGACATGATTCTGCAATTTCCTGAAAAAAATTGGAGGATCATCTAAACCACACACAGGAGAAACTTACCGTTTCGATGGCCATCTCAATGGCTTGGCTGTCGTCCCTTGTATTGGGGCAACGCAGGAAGTGTTTGAGCGCCCTCTGGTACTGTTCACAGAGAAGGAAGAACTTGCCGGCTAGCAGGTGGTTCTTCTCTCCTTCAAAGTACAGAGCGATACTCTGGTAGTCCTCGTGGCTTGCATCTTCACCTGTAAGATAGGATTCAAACAAAATATAATATTGTTGAAATCAGGCTTAATTTCCAGATAAAAAATGTTAAAGTCGATTCTTATTAATAGACTTCATACGATTAGAAATTCAATTTGTCAAAGATTCCGCTTGTTTAAGCAACCTTATTTTCTTGTAAATTAGCAAAATCATTTCTATGAAATGATTTCACTACAAAGGTCTACATGTAAACTTCAGTCTTAAATTCCTAAGGTTTCAAATAAATCTGATAGTTGTCTTATACTTGAAAGCAAACAATTTTTTCTGAACTAAAATCATTTTCATCTATTTATTTGGCTAAACAAGAAAGAAAAAATGGGCAAAGGCCTTGTAATTTGAGGGCTGCATTGATCTTACCAATGATGTCCGCATAGACTTCCATCTGGTTATGGGTTTGTGCCAGCTGAAAGGCATCATTGTTACATTGTGACATCACCAAGAACTGGATTGCAGATGAGTAGTCATTCAGCTTCTGGAAAAATCTAGAAGGAGAACAAATAATTATGAAGATAAATACACATTATAGGCATGGCAGCTACCCAGCAAAATTATTTCAGGTAAATGGTTAAATCATTGGAATACATAATAAAGGAACGATATGCACAGGAATCTTCAAAACTTTAAAAATTGTAAACTTTCCAGTTCTTTAGAATTGTGTGTGTTTTGCCATTTTTTCGACATTGATTATAGAAATCAGACAAATGAGATTTGATGGCTTATCAAAAAATGTTCACTGGATTTCATGTATAAATTTATTAAATATAAGATTGCAACTAAAGAAGAAAAAAAAACCTAGAATTATCATTATTTTATCACAATCTATTCATCTCTTACTTGGCAACCATCTTAGCTCCCTCAACTGATCCTGATTCTTTCACCACACGCACAGCCTCTTCTGGGTTTTTCAGATAGTCTAGCTGGATTCTGTGAAAAAAAAGCACCGAAAGGAAGGTATTAAAACATATACATGTACAATCATCCTTTCAGCTACAAAGCACAGTAAAGCAGTATCACAAAGTAACGCTAGTTGATAGTATTACCCTGCTCTTAGCTTAACAGACGTTTAAAATAAAAATACAATTTCATGAAATGATCATTCCCCCCCCCCCCCCTGGTACCCTCTCATTGCACCTGGGTAGTGAGAGTCAATTGTAGAAAAAATGCATTGTTCGAAGTCATCATGATCACACAGGTTGATTTAGAATTATATGTACAGGGATGCCAGTTAGAATTGATCAGAGGGCCTGAAAATCACCTAGAATGAGCTATTTTTGTACACAAAAAAAGCCTAAACTATGGTCTGAAAATAACTTGCCAGGGCCTGAATTCAGGCTATTGCCTGAAAACTAGCATCCCTGCGTGTAAAGGGAACAAAGACTTCCCAAAATGGTATAAAATGTATAAATCTTATAAAGTAATATTCTCTTTCCTATCTTTAGCATAATTGTATATGCTGTATTACATGGCTGTGCTTCTTACTGAATAAAAGTCTTCTCAATAGAATATAAACATTGTAACTACTTTGAAATATTTAAACCTTCTCATTGTCCTCACTGCTAGCATCAGAATCATAACACATTTCTATAACCATTATTGTTGTCATCCCCATCAATACCTGTCCTTAATTCTGTGATACAGCACAGGGCAAATATTGCAAATCCTGTTCATTTCTCTATGTTTGTACCTGATGACATTATCCCAGTCCTTGGCATTCTGGTAGGCCAGCGCAGCATCCTTATACTTCCCATCAGCCTCCTTAGCCTTGGCGTACTGGGTATGGATCTTGGGAGATGTGATCTGGGGTAGCAGTTCTCCTACCTTGGCCCTGGAAGGTTTAACAAAAATAATACAGCAGTGAGATATGAAGCACTTTCCATTTTCTGTTTTAAATAGGTATCACTGCCATTATTTCATGGTTGTCACCATCATCAACATTATCCTAATCTCCAAATGCAATATGAACACTTTAATTCATGATAATCATCACCATAGCCATACTCATCATTATTATATTCCTAAAAATAATCCATCTTATAATTATTATTTATTATTACCAACTATTGTCTTGATCAATATCAGAATATCCTCACAATTAACATTATTATCAATGTTTCTAATCACCATCACACTCTTTGGAATAGTTCTCATTACCACCACCAACGTCATCATCATAATTGTCATGATAATCACAGCATCTGCATCAGATAGAATTCATGTTTACCTTCTAAATCAATATCACCATTATAACCACATTTATTTATCATCATACTCATCATGAAAATGGTCCAAACAATTGTACGCATCAACATTAACAACAAAAAACCAAAAAAGCATCAGGGAGATCCACTAATCTAACATACATGCATGAGACTACTAGGTCACTCCCAACTCACCAATTCTTGCATCTGATATAGACAGACGCTGCTTTGTCCGGGTAGCCTCCCCTCTCGTAAAGCTGAGCTGATTCTGAGTACTGCTTCATGCTCTCTAGGATAGATGCACAATCCCTCTTCACAGCTCGGTTGTTCATCTTCATCGCCATGGAGACACCACGCCTGATATCACCGATACGGATTGACATGCGAGCCACGCCCGTAGCGCATGTCTCATCGTGGTCACGCTCCTGTGATGGGAAGAGATCATTCATAAAATACATGTAATCAACATCCAAATGAGAAGAGATCATTCATAACATACATGTAATCAACATCCAAAGGAGATGTCTTTACTGAGAAAGTCATCTCTCTATTTGAAAATGACGTTAAACATTGAATTTAGCCAATGCCCACTGGCAGTGGTGGTTCATTTATTAAGCCTATGAAAATGAGACGATTCAGTCGTCAACAAATTAAAGAGCATTCAAACCAGACAACCTTTTTATTTTAAAACATAATTAATGATGAATTGAAAACTGAAGCCTGGGAAAGATCAAAATATGAAATCACATATGGTATGCAAAGCACTGATACAGATCAAATTTTAAGGACTACAGCATCGGTAGTTCTTAAAAAAAGTACTTTCCTCTTACTAATTGATCAAACATTCTAGAAGTATTCATAACTATTTATATAATGTTCTTCTAAGCAAATGGTTGATAATATATTATCCTAAAACAAGTCCTATTTATTAAACTTATAAATGCTGTATGATATTTACCTGTTCTTTGCTGGTGATACCTTTCTCGTAATGGGTTAGAGCATTGGGATAGTCACCACTGTATACAAAGAAAACACAACAACCACATGAATTGGCTTCCTTCAAAATTATGATTTAGGCATGCATTTACTTGTAATAGTCATGTAATGAAGTTATCAAGCACTTATCTACTTTATATTATAAGGGGACAACATGTATCTTGACAAGACCGCCTTGGTCTTCTTTAGTATCTTTGATTCCATGTATAATTATTTGCATCTGATCTGTTTTTCTGATTTGTATGTGTATTGGAATTACATAAACTTGAACCAAATATTGGAAAGCTACAGCAAGACATTCCCGACACTCAAAGTATTGAATGTAAATTTGATGTAGAGGAATAGCAAAGATAATCCAGAGCGTGATCCTTGGATATGGGCAATTCAACATAAACATCTATAATGTAATGATATATCTGTAAAGCGCTTAGAGACATCGTCAATGTATTAAGCGCTATATAAAAGTGGAATATTATTATTATTATGAAGAAATCAATTATGACTTCTAAAAGAAAACAAGAAGTGAATTAATACTGCAGTTCTAGGTGTTATAAATATTTCCTAAACCTGACCATCATCAGACTTGAGCAAAAAGGAACAACAAAACATTCCTGCTCTCTATAGTTGGTAGTATCTCTCTATTTCTCAACCTCGCTCATGGATCTCTGATGTGGAATGGGAGGAGGGTTTACCAATTCTGTTTCTGCTTTTTAGACCCCCCCCCCTCTCCACCATACAAAAAAATGTTTTGTGTCATCATACCAGCATAAAATTAACAATGAATAAATGGATATGTCTTACGACGGAACCCCCTCACACATCACCAGATATAAAGAGAGGGAAATGTTACTTACGTAAACTCAAGCTGCTGGGCATATTCCTTTGAGATGTATGGGATCTGTCCTGGGGCTAGGGTCTTGGCCAGCTTGAGGGCCTGGTCCCAATGCAGCAGGTCTCTCCTCATCTCTAGGGCTGTGATGGGTCTACTAGAGGCTAGGAACAGGTCCTGGGCTAGATTGAAGTCTTCTTGGTACATAGCCAGGTGACCAGACAGCAAGTTACGATCATCGATGCCCTACGTTAGCAAAAGGAAGTCATTTATAAGAAATTACTAGCTGGGAAACAACATTGGTCTTATCATCTGTCAAAGTAGGGTTTTATAACTCCTGTAAAGTGTTGGGAGCCCCGAATTCGCCAAAAAAAATTGATGACAAATTTCACTTAATTGTATCATAATGTGAAAGAGGATGTCATTTAAGACACACTTCTGCAAAAATTCCCCAAAGATCTGTTTATAGACAAATATTGATAAAAGAATACATAATTTGGGTTTTCTGTTGTACACAGAAAACCAAAATTTTGTATTCTTTCATCAATATTCGACTTCAAACACATTTGTTTTGAAAATACTTGCAGAAATAAGTCTTAAAAAACATCCTCTTTCATATTATGATACAATTTAAGTGAAATTTTGTCATCAAATTTTTGGGGCTCCCAACACTTTAGAGGGGCTTTAATGTGAACCACAATGTTGAGTAAGGTTATGGATTTTATGGTGGAGATCTGATTTATTGGTGCATTTTGGAGGAGTATTTTTCTTGGTGCATCTATACTCTCTCAGATCACAATGGCACTTACTTTGTAGACAAAATATCCAGAGCATAATCTTTACATTGAATTTTAATGACCGACTTGAATCATATCATATCAGAAATCTGAATGGTCTGATATGGACTATTGGGTGTTATTTTATTCCACATACTTGGATGCTTAATTGCATGTAGTTTGATGAGAGTTACTTCATTCTCAGTAAGACCAATACACGGCAGATGCATTCATTCTTACCGTGATCTTCTGTAGGGAAAGTACCATACCAGCCTCTCCTATATGTCTATACACTCTCAGAGCTGCAAGAAACAGAGATAGAAAAGAAAATTAATATTAGCACGGTAGTCAATCAGTATAACAGGAAATGTGATTCCTACTAACGATAGTGTTTCATAAGACTAGTCCAATGTGGGAAAAGACATGTCACAATCTGAGAGAGAGAGAGAGAGAGAGAGAGAGAGAGAGAGAGAGAGAGAGAGAGAAACAGAGTGAAATGCAGAGATAGGGGGAGAGAGGTAATAGTATAGGAGAGAGAGGTAATAGGATATGAGAGATAGGTATAATAGGGGAGAGAGGTAATAGGGGCAGAGATATAAGGGGGAGAGAGACAGATAGAGAATATGAAGACATAATAATTAAGAAAGTAACTAGATGCCTCCGTCATAGAGCAAGTTTACAAACGAAAACAGAAGAAATTTTTCAAATTCGAGTTTCATTGTAATCCATTAACAGGTTCTCAGAATATCGTGATTACAAGCGATTTCTCATATACATATACTGTATTTGCCGGCGTAAAGGCCGCACCGCCGCATAGGCCGCATCCCCCAACTTTGACATTTCGTAGAGAAAAAAAAAAAAAACGGACCAAAGAAAATAATTGTAATTTTCCCGTAGAACTCTATTTTTCCTACAAACTGATACCAAAATTATCAATCATTTTATAAATAAACAGGAAGTTTACCTAAAAAATTATCGTAATTTAGCAAATCTTCATTCATGGGACACTAGAGGGCGCCTCGCATCCATACAGAAACCTGAATGGCCAACCTATCGCAGGGTGGAAGCATGGTGGAAGGATGTATCTTTTTTATAATGTTATCCGGTCTTACCCCTATCGTACCGTCAAATGTAGAAAATAAACAAGCTTTTGTATTGTTATTAGAGATCTACCGAGGTTAGTTTGTCGCTTTAATTAATTAGATAGTCTCAATTATAATTCAGAATTATCTTACTGAAAAGTTAAGAACACCGATGATTGCACGCTGTGAATCTCCGAAGGTGCGTTGGATTTGTTAGCAACTCCAGCCCCGTAGCTCCCCACCAGAGTGTGTGAGTAAGGTACCAAAATCATACCTTACTCACACACTCTGTGGTGGGGAGCTACGGGGCTGGAGTTGCTTACAAATCCAACGCACCTTCGGAGATTCACAGCGCGCAATCCATCAGTGTTCTTAAGGACATTTTTACAACTTTACAAGTACGAGTTTCTGGTCAGTTTTCTTCTTATTTCTTTCGTTGCACAACGATTAAAAAGATAACTTCTTCAAATTTGCTGCTGACGTGGTTCAGACTAGATCTTGTCCGATGTGTTTTCAAGTCAATTTTGTTAATATATTTTATTGTATGAAGTTTTGACTTGCGATTTTTACTCTTTCGGCGTAAAGGCCGCACCTCGACTTTTTAATATTTTCTCTTCCAAAAATACTGCGGCCTTTACGCCGGCAAATACGGTATGACCCTTTGATCTTTGACCTCATGACCCTAAAATCTACTCAGTTCATTGGCTCTGCAAGATGTCCTGAGTTAAATAGTAATCCATCTGTCAGTTCTAATGAGAATGCGTTCACAAGCTATTTTTGCATACATAATGAGCCCATGACATTTGACCTTTGACCTCATGACCTAAGAATCTACTCAGTTCATTGACTCTGCAAGATACATATATGATCTAAGTTTGGCAGGAATCCATCAATCTGTTCTAATGAAAATGCGATCACAAGCTATTTTGCATAAATAATGAGCCGCATGACCTTTGACCTTGACCTCATAGCCCAAAAATCTAATCAGTTCATCGGCTCTGCAAGTAACATACATGACCTAAGTTTGGCAGGAATCCATCAATCGGCTCTTGAGATAACGCGATCACGAGCTGTTTTTGCATATATAATGAGCCCTGTGACCTTTGACCTTTGACCTCGTGACCCCAAAATCTTATCAGTTCATCGGCTCTGCAAGATACATACATGATTAAAGTTTGGCAGGAATCCATCAATCGGTTCTTCAGATAACGTGATCACGAGAACGGGACGTACGGACGGACGGACAGACAACCCGAAAAACATAATGCCTCCGGCTACTTCGTAACGGAGGCATAACAAAAACAGATATACACCTGCGAACCGTAACATAAAGTTCAGCAATTGATTGTATGTGTGATTGCTCAATCGTTCAATCAACTGATTGTACATCAAGGTCAATTGCAAAGTTATCTTTGTGTTATGGGGCCCAGCACATTAGAGTCACAGAGAGAGAGAGAGTGAAGCACATTAAGAGAGAGGAAGAGAGAACTACAGATAGTAAAAGAGAAAGAAGGAAAGAGAGAGAAGGAAAGAGAGAGAAGGAAAGAGAGAGAAGGAAAGAGAGAGAGAGAGAGAGAAAGAGAGAGAAGGAAAGAGAGAGAAGGCAAGAGAGAGAAGGAAAGAGAGAGAAGGAAAGAGAGAGAAGGAAAGAGAGATAGAGACACAGATAGTAAAAGAGAGAGAAAGTACAAGGGAAGGAAACATATGGAGGAAGAGAAATGGAAAGAGATGGGAAAGGAACATACTGGTTTGGAGAATTCGGTAAGAAAGACGAAGCCAGACAGATATTATCTTACCAAACTCGATATCAGCATGAGTGATAGCATCCTTAGCCAGGTCTAACCATGCCTCTTTGCTGTTAAGAAGTTGACACAGCATCCAAGCCTCCTTGTACTGGTGAAGCAAAATGCTTTTCTGCAGAGCCGACCGAACCTGAACAAAAAAAATTCAAGTGGAGTATTCATGTAAAACAATAATAATAATATATGAGATTTATAAGGCGCCAACTCCACATGAAATCAAATGCTCAAGGTGCTATTTTGAAACAAAAGTGCAAAAAAGAGATCACATAATAGTATGATAATATTGAGCCCCCCATGTCAAGTTGTTACATCTGTCGTCACTATAGACATACAGAATATGTTGAGTCCTACCTCACATCTTATGAAAGCCTTGTGAACAGGGGTGTCAGCGGGAGGGTGCGACAGTGACTCCCACCTTCAACATTTTGAATTTTTTCAAGCCTAGATAGCAAATTAGAAATAATGATGAGCATACTGGGAAGGGCTTGTTTGGGAAAAAATAATGGAACACCTACCACTAAACATTGGTAAGAGTAACATGAACACAACCCTATCCAGAAACTTCCTGTTCTAGCTTCTAGCCTAAAAAAATAGTCTAGCAGTGCCACTACACCTGAAGCAAATCATGAGTGATGGAGACAGGAAGTTTGAGCCTAAGCTTATCAAAACTCCCTACACATAACAGAATACATGAATGCTAGCCTTTACTTAGCTTGAGTCACCCTGGGCAGCAGTCAACATGTCAACCAAGCAAAGGACAGTACTCACCTCTGGGTGTGGTAAGTCCTGAGGGCACTCTAGGAAGTTATAGGTGCTGAGATGAACACTGGTGGTCTTACCACTCTGGGTCTGACACACCAGCTCACCATGTCAACCAAGCCAAAGGACAGTACTCACCTCTGGGTGTGGTAATTCCTGAGGGCGCTCTAGGAAGTTATAGGTGCTGAGATGAACACTGGTGGTCTTACCACTCTGGGTCTGACACACCAGCTCAACATGTCAACCAACCGAAGGACAGTACTCACCTCTGGGTGTGGTAAGTCCTGAGGGCGCTCTAGGAAGTTGTAGGTGCTGAGATGAACACTGGTGGTCTTACCACTCTGGGTCTGACATACCAGCTCACCGTTGTGCAGCATCAAGGGCTGCTGGGCGTAAGGCAGCTTGGTGGTACCAACTAAAATCACTGCAGGACCTGTGGAGGAGTCAACAATCAAAAGAAATATGTTGCTTCTTTGATTTCTTCATATACCAATTATCAATCGACACATGGTTAAAAGGACAGAAAATAAATATTAAATAGAAAGCACTTTCAGAGTTTCAATGCTGTTGTAATCTAATATTCATAAATTTACCCCTTTAAATAGAATATACAAAAGATCAAGATAAATGAACCCAACTCATTACAAGTATAACAGACAATATTGTGTGTATCTTTTTTTCTGTCTGTCTGTATATATATCTGTCTGTCTGCCTGTCTGTCTATCTCTGTTCATATGCACCAGCACATCGGTAATGCTTAGATCCATGGCAGGCATTGATCCTAATGCATATATACCAATGCCACTTTCTCTCCTTGGAGCCAATTGGATTTACCAAACATGTTTTAGGTGCTCCTTCAGTGGTCAAATCCCCCCTCTTTAATGCTTTTCTTCTTCTTAATATCTCATATCTTTTCAATCAAACGTCATTTTCCTTAATTTGTTCATCTTATCTTGTCACCTAATAGTCAAGCATATTGGGCATATTGAAAGAGAAATAAAAACCATAGGGTTAGACTTATTGTAAATCAGGAGCTGAAAAAGCCAGACAAAAGGTTGCCCGAGAAATTGTTAAAAGCACTTTACATGAAAAGTAGCAAACTATTGTACAGTCGTATTTGTTTTCACAACTTTATTTTGATGTTTAAATGTAAATAAACACAGCATTTGATGCACACAAAAATAAATACTGGGTGATGTTATTACATCTGACAAGTTTTGTAAAAGCTTACCATTGACAGTCTCCCTGGAGTAGAGATAAGAGTAGACCTTCTCATCATCATAGGCAACAAAGATTCCCTTGTAGTTATAGCCATTCTCCCATAAAACATTCTTGATGGTTGGCGAGAAGTTAGGGATCTCCAGAGTCTGGTCATTGACCTGTCAAGCACAAACAAAATGAGATGGAAAGAGGATGACCGCCTTAACCTCAAACTCAGCACCTTATGTCAATGGCCGCTCAAGACACATCACCAGTGTAAAAACTTATCAGGTGTCTTTCGAAGGGTACCAACCATGTAACAAGTAAGGGAGGACATTCATAATTATTTAAATATATAATATAGTCCTACATTAATTTAAAAAAAATGGTGTTTGCTTTAGTTCAGATGAGCTCAATTCTTGTCTTTTTTTGGAAGCACCACATAAAGCAGTCTCTCTAGCAAATTGGCTACAGTATCACTACAGATGAAACAGAAGGCAAAAATTGATAACAAAGATGTATATTGGAAAGAATATAGACAATTAAAAAACAAAGTTATATTTGAAAATAGAAAACTTAAAAGGAAATACTTTATCGAAAAATTAACTGAAACTATAGACAGAAATCAAACATGGCCAACTCTTAAATCTCTCCTACCCAACAAGAGCTCTAAATCACCTATTCCTGTGTCACATGATATTTTTGAAACTGCAAATTATTTTAATAATCATTTTGCCAATGTTGCCAATGTCTTACATGCATGTAATGGTGTTAATGTCTCGCATGTACGTAACGAGGCAGGTCTGGATAATGATATGCAAACCCCACTATTTCAGCTTTCTTTAGTTTCTGAAGCAGATGTGTTAAAAGAAATATACAGCCTAAAGAATAAGAAATCGGTTGGTTTGGATGAGATCAGTTCTTACATATTAAAAACTTGTGCAACAGAAATCTTTAGAATTATAGCATACCTTATTAATAAGTCAATAACTGATGGGGTAGTTCCTCGCCAGTGGAAGATTGCAAAAATTATACCATTGCACAAAAAAGGTGACAAATGTCAGCCAGATAATTACAGGCCAATATTATTACTGCCCTGTGTTTCGAAACTTTTGGAGAGGGTTGTTCAAAAACAATTACTTAATTACTTGAATGACAATGATGTATTAGTGAAGGAGCAATCGGGCTTTAGATCGAAACATTCCACAACTACTGCACTTATTAAAGTAACTGATGAATGGCTTGAAGCAATTGATCAAGGGAAATATACTGGATGTGTCTTTGTCGATTTACATAAGGCATTCGATACTGTCAATCACCAAATTCTAATTAAAAAACTTTCTGATATTGGAGTACAAGGTACCTCATTAAGATGGTTTCAGGATTATCTAATGAAAAGACGTATTAGAACTTCCATAGGACAAACATTGTCAGAGGAATTATCCCTTGATTACGGCGTACCTCAGGGCTCAATACTGGGGCCACTGCTATTTTTAATTTTTATAAACGATCTGCCTAGGTCTTTCACGAAATGCAATTTGCACTTTTATGCCGACGACACGGTTATGTATTATTCCCACAAAGATGTAGATGTGATTCAATCAGTTTTAAACGAAGAGCTAGGACATCTACAATCTTGGATGAATGCAAATAGACTCTCTGTGAACTCCAGTAAAACAGTATGCATGCTTTTAGGGACAAAGTTTATGCTTTCTAAGCATGATATTCTCAATTTAGAGATAAATGCCACTAAGCTAATTCAAGTAAAATGTTTCAAATATCTTGGAGTAAATGTAGATTGTGAACTTAAGTGGAATATTCATATAGAGCAATTGAACAAAAAAATTGGGAAAATGATTGGTTTCTTGAGGAGATTGAGGTATTTTATTAATGAGTCAAATCTGAAACTAATTTATTTATCTGTAATTATGCCTCACTTTGACTATGCAGATACTGTTTGGCAAACTGCAAATAATAATCATTTTGATCAACTTCAGAAACTTCAGAATCGAGCAGGAAGAATTATTCTTCAGGTTAAACCTGGTGAACATATATCTATTCAGCAGATTCACGATACCTTGGATTGGGAAACCCTAAAATCTCGACGTCGGAGACATATGTGTTCGTTACTGTTTAAAACATTTCATGAGCTAGCACCTAAATATATGACTGATAAATTTGTATTTAACGAAAAGTGTTACGGGCTAAGATATAATGACAATTTAATGCTTCCGAAACCAAGAACCAATCAGTGTAAACGTACATTCTTATATCGGGGATCCGTGTTATACAATGAACTACCTATTAAGCTCCGTCAGTTAGGCACACTAAATTTGTTTAATAAACATGTTCAAAAATACTTCAATTATTTTGATATTTAAATTTCGCAATCCCATTGGCTTTTGCCATAAACATAACCAATTTAATAACAGACTAAATTAGATAATGTGTAGAATATTTTAAAACTAATTAAGTTAATTGTTAGCAGGGTGGGCGATAAGGGTGGGGTCGTATTTTGTTACATTAGGGATGGTAGGGGATTTTTGAATAGATTTTAATGCTTTTTGTTAGTGTTTTTTGTTTAATTTAATTTAATTTGATTTAGTTAAGTTAAGTACAAGTACAATATTTTTTTTATTTTTTTTAATATTTTTAATTACAACTTATTATTTTGTTATATCATTGCTTATTATAGTATCATTATATATATATTGGACTCCATGGAAGAACAGAGCCATTAGGTTAATGGCTCTGAAATGGACTATCCAACCGTTTTATCATTCTATCATTGTTATATAAGTCTTTGATTTTGTTATATTGTGTTATTGTTTTTTATGATGATTTTCGGAAATAAAACAAACAAACAATGTACGTATGTTTAGATATCAATAAGGCTCCAGCGCTTTTCAACTTTATGAGTTTAAAGTTCAGCTTGCAAAGTATTCCAGCTTAAAATTACAACAAGGCTGCCATTTATTAAAAGAAATATTCATTTGATCCGATCTATAGTACTGTTGCTCAATTTTGACTTGATTTGATGTTTATTTATTTCCATATAAATCATCATGGGTAAACATCTAACATGTAAGATCACTTGACATTATACATGGAAAAGGGGTTGTCGTAAGCATGGCTCAAATTATTATCCTCATTGCAAACAAAATGTTCATAAAGCAAAATTAGTGTGCAATGATAAAAGATGGAAAGCAGCAGACCAACCGACAAGAGGAAAGTCAGAAAGAAAGAAAGAGGGCGAGAGAAAGAGAGAGAGGGAGAGAAAGAGAAAGAGACAGAGAGACAGAGATATAAAGAGAGAGAGACAGAGATATAAAGAGAGAGAGACAGACAGACAGACAGAGAGAAAGGAGAGAGTTGAAAATAGTAGCATTTTTCTTGAATTTGAATCTATGGTAGACTCACAGGATTGTAGACGAATCCATCACTCTTATCATCAATGAAGACGAGCCTGGTTCCGCTGGGGTCAGAGAAGATTCTCCTGATGCCGACCACATGACGGAACTCATTCACAAACTGCCAGTCCTCGATGAAGAAGTACATCAGCTCACCGTTCTATACGGGTTGGTTAGGGAGAAGAGTGGATGATTAATAACTTCTTTCTGCAGATACAGCAACTCTTCAATGAGATTCATGGCACACACAGTGTCCTTTTATTAATACTTCAGCTCTAACCACATGAAGACAGTTTGAAGTTTGATTCCATTGATAATATTTTTCATCCAAAATTTAGATGAAACTGGGAATTAGATCTCAACCTCAACACTCTTTGTAAGGTTAATTGCTCTGTTAAAAAAAAAAAAAAGGTAAAAACCAAATTTTAACTTTTCACCCTTTTGTTGTAAAACCACACATGAATATTCCCATTGTTGCATTTTTTCCACTGTAAATTTGATCCTTTCAAATTAATAACATTTCGACCGACAGGTACAGCGCAGCATCAAATTAGCCAAATGAAAATGTTCCCATATGAATTGTACAAAATGCAGAATTGTCAATTTGCAAATACGTGAAAAGTGACTATTTGTCAATTAGCAATAAGTAAAAAACTATGTGAGATATAAATATGAAACTTCATGGGCTTATCCTTTATGAGATACTCTATTCATTCGCCAACTTTCCTAATTTGTTGGCACTTCATGGGTGAGATCTCGGGGGTGAGGCTGAGAGGGCACCAAATAACTTTTCTAGGGTTAAGAGCAATTTTCTGTTTCTATATGGCCATTCTGACCCCCTGGATTCTCCTATTCAGTCTGGTATCTACCCGACCTCGTGAATTCATTTGACTGCTGACTGACTTACATGGGTACCATAGATGAGAAAGTCTGCAGTGAGTGTGTGACATGTTATCTTGCCATTGCTTTCCTTGTCCGGGAATAATCTGGTCTCTCTCTCCTCATTATCACCAACTCCTTCTGTCTCAATCTGAAAAAAATGTGACAAAATATATGCAATGAAAATCTCTTCAAAAATTAGAATTAAATTGTCACAAAACTGTTGATATATATTTATAGGTACAAGTATATAGTAAGTTTTTTATATGCCATGGGTATTATCATGTGTAATCAGAAGATTGTAGCACATTGTTATTCATATATTTATGATGCAGACTTGACAGATTTTTTTACTGTTTGTACATTATTTTTTACTATTGTTATCTATCTGAATGTATTCTAAATTGTATTTGTAAAGAAAGAAATAAAGAATAAATGAATGTATAAATTCAACAGAGAATGTGTAATAAACAAATATATTATAAAAAAAGCCAACTATTTGCTGAATTCAAATCATGGAGTCGGACCAATCATTTCTAGGTCACCAATAATACTTGGTCACAAACATATCATAGTGTTTTTATTTGTATGCTTCTTTCAGCCAGATTTCTTATTTATGTCTATATTTTGCTGGCCCAAACCTTTCCATTGCATAACAGGAGATGTTCAGAAGATTTTAATCATTTTTGAAGCAAAAAACTTAACAAAAACAAAAACCAAAGTGCAACTTATGCCTGTATTAACTTTCTAGTTTTACAGCTTCAATATCAACCTTTCAAAATGCATTTCAGTATAGCAGTACTTATTATTACTTTATTGCTTTAAATAATCATGTATATGCATGCACTAAACTAAAGGGAGGCCTTAATTGCATGCATTTTGCAGCTACTCTAATTGCACATCTATGCACAAATCACAGGTACAGCACAGGATACATGGAAGTTTTATGCTATTGAAATTATTACATGACTCATCTAAGCTTTTTCTTTTTTTATATATACATGTATCTAAAGCTATAGTATTTAACTTTTAACAAAAAAAAAGGTAAAAAAGAGCATGCAATATGAAATACTGATGATGGGAAGCAAATTATACGAGTACCGTAGTGCAGATGGTATGAAATTTCTTTGAAATTCCTTCTCTATTTCCAGTTAAATCTGTGAGTTAGGTTAATTTGTATCGTGGTTCGAAGTAAAATTTGATTGATTTTCAGTAAATTTGCTGCAAAAAAGAAGATAATTCACTTGGGGGGGGGGGGGGGCAGACGAGAAAATAGCTAAAATACTTGATATATTTCTCTCCATGTATATTCCTATCAACTTGATTCTACAAGAAACCAACTGTCTACAAGAAAAGTGCAACAAATCATTCATTCTATAAGCTGCTATTCCTAACAGACAGACAAAAAATATTCACACAAAACTGTTTGTTATGTTTACCTGAATCTGAGGAAGACAATGAATGGCAAACAGATATCAATTCATTAATTATTACTGATCATTCTCCTAAAATGCAATTATCTCTCACTCACTGGCATACGAAAATCAAATAAATTACTCAGCAAAAATGTTTGAAAGGCAGTGATATTGATTCAAATTCTGAATATTACTACCGGAGTGATAAAAATAACAAACATTGGATATTTTTATAGTGCACATTTGCACCACGCAAGATACTCAAGGTGCTCCAATATTATTTCAGCTCTGCTAGGCTACCGTTTTTGGAGCTTACAGCATTCAAGGAAATCCTTTAAACATTCAGGTAGCCATTTGAGCACCTGGGTGGAGAGTGGCAAGTGCAGATTGATGTCCAGTAGACTGCAACACCTCTCCATAAACCATCCTACACCAAGTTTGATGCAAATGGGAAAACAGATAGCATGCTCAGTATGATCTATCAATATTCCTCTGACATACTCAAAAGAATATTTTTACAATTTGGACTCAAAATTGTCTAATTTGCCTTGAGATGTTCGTCTCGTGCATAAATGGGAGAAAAATATCCAGATACCTTTGAATGACAATGTCATAATTTAGGAGGTCAAGTTGAACCCTGTTAAAATACTATTTTGTGACACAGTGATTGCTGAAAACTAGGACAGTGTTCACTGAACATTAAAGAACATGAGTCCTTTCGGTACGAGGAAAAATCAATAACTTTAGGCTTTATTTTAAATATAGACAACGTGACTTAATCAATAACTTTATACAATCACATCTGTGTTTCTGCCTAGTATTAGTGGTATGATAGCAAACAATATAAGTTATTACACTGGAATTGCAAGCAATATGTCAACAAACGTAAATATTCTTTCCAATCAAATTGTAAAAATATTAAAAAATTAGGGTTGAAATATGAATTGTTAATACATGAAACCATGCTCTATGCATTACAATGCAAGCAGAGTTAATCTGTGGGATCACTCAGCTTGTCCACTGGGATAAAATCAAAAGTACCGTTTTGCGACGATTTCTCTTCGATTTCTTTCTCCTATATTTCAGGATCTGTGCACCATGAAAGACGACGAGTAATAAGCAGTCAACAAAAAAGGTATGTGCAGCTAACATTTTAACAAATTTATGGATTTCAAGAAAACGTATTCCATAGTTTTTAACCTTTCTATGACCTCGTCTACAAAACTTACTTCATTCAGCAAATGTGAAGTACTGACTTCATTGGAGGAGCCGGCGACTTTAAATATTTTCTTTTAAACAGAAAAAGGGCGCCATACAAATGCTGTAAATCATCATCATCTACATGATAAACTTCAGTCCGTATATTGTCCTTATCTTCAACTGTAATACAATTACCTCTGATTAGCAATCAAAATTAAACAATTAAGAAATTTTCAGGCCCTGCTGCTCGTCCCACAGTAAGTGCTGTAAAATACCTGAGCCTAAATGTATCACCACAAAAATGAGAGCATAACCTGGTGTAGTTCTTACCAGATGTAGTTGGACCTTATTCTCAAAGGACACAGCGGCATAGTCAGCATTAAGGCACATGCTGTTGATCGTACCTAGGTACTCACGATCCTTTAACTTCTCAGGCCCTATAGGACGAACAAGAAGATGAAATAGCATTAGAGACTACTTGCTATACCTTGCAGTGTTGTATCTTTATAGTTTAGTAAATACCCATTTTGTAAATGATCAAAGCATTTTATGAGGATACCTGGGGGGGGGGGTGTTTCACAAAGATCTCAAATTGAACTTATCTCTAAGTTGGACTTAACAATTAAAACATTTTTGAAAATATTTTTGAAAAGTTATTTTTTAACTGATAAAATGTTGGTTCAAATCATTCATATTTTCTATTATCAAGGAGATTTCATGTTCTTGATGAGGAATTTATAAAAAGTCTAAACACTTGAAATTTCACTTTAGAATATATTCTATTTTAAGGCTACAAATGGCTCTCCATAATATTTAAGTCCAACTTAGAGTTAAGTTCGACTTGAAATCTTTGTGAAACACTCAGGTGGTTTCACCCAATGAGTAAGAGACTCTGACATGATAGTTCCCACGTGTGTTGTACAATATAATGGAGCCTGAAATGCAGATGATATGATATGGCCCGAATAACTGGCATCCCTATTTTATGGCTAATATTAGTCTTTAATCCTTACCGATACTCTATAATTTTCAAGATGTCACATAATATTCCCTAGTATGTTATCTTCCAATTATTTTGTATAATGACTGGGCCCCATCGCATAAAACTTGGCCATTTATGGTAACTTTGCCATCAATATTAACTACCATGGCAACATCACACAACAGCCAATCAAATCAATGTTTCCATGGCAGTTATTATTAACAGCAAAGTTACCATCAATGGTAAGTTTTATGCAACATGGCACCATTCAGAGCCAGAAGGGCATTAACTCATATCATTTAACTCAGGGTTAACGCTCTTCTGCCGATTCACAAAACACATCATTTTGATATCGGAATACCCCTAAAGAGTCGAATTCACAACATGATATTTTTACAGTCTGGTCACAGTATGGAATATATGTATATGTAGTTTCTTTAAGTGAAGTTTTAAAGGAGTTGAAAGGTGAATGAATATTAGGCTGTAAAGATACTAAAATCTAAATATAATTGCCTCTAAGAAAAAAAATCAATATGCTCCTCATAATTATGGATTAATTTAGATTGATATCCTTGAATATGTTCTACAGTTAATATAGAATTAACAATTCTGCAATTATTCCTCTCTTGGGCAATTATAGTTACAAAATTAATTATAATCCCAAAATTCTCTTCATAACAACTTTGGCAACCGAGTGCCATCATATCGTCCTTGTTTTCACGAAGTGACGGTAGCGAGGAAAATCGTAACGCAAAGTGAATGCAATTTTTTTTCACTACCGTCACTTCGTGAAAACAGCGACGATATAAGTAAAGAAAAATGTTGCCCATGTCTGATAAAATGGTTCACATGCATGTGTGTAGGAATGGCAAGAATGAATTGTCTGTTCTGTTATATGGAATAAACATGAACCGGACAATGCGAATGGTATCAAGTTACCAGAAATATACTAGCTGTAATGACATGATTGTATGACACATGCTCTGCTGTTCAATTTCCTGCTCAAAATGAACTCCTAGCTTCAACCCTGGATCAATCATCTTTCCTATGACCATCCCTAACCCTAAACCTGACCTAATACTAACCGCAACTATACTGTATAAACCTTGCCTGATACTTTTGACAGAATAAAGCCTGGAACTATTGTCACTGGAGCAAACTTCTACGTAGAAGTTTGTGAAGCACGAAAGGGTGGATTTTGACCTTTTTTTTTTAAAGTGAAGAGCACTTTTTTGGCTATACTGTGCATCCTCTTTGCTTATGAGCAATTACAATGATATAATATATACAAGGACAGGTACGTGTGTTTGTTGAGTACAGCAAGTGAAGAAGTCATTTACAAATATGTCACAAACCTCTACAAAGTCACCCTTCAAGATCTGAAGACACAGAACATAATGTACTCAAAAATGTAACCCCATCACACAAAAGTGTACAGTTCATCCATCCCAATTTCAAATCCAATGTTTACACAAAATCCAAAATCACCCCTTGGTCTCTCCTGCAAATGCAATGAACAGAAAGACCCCCACACCCTCCCCCCCCCAAAAAAAAAAAACAGACAGTTCTACATCAACTCAACAAACTACACTGAGGAACCCTCAAACATGGTTCCTAATTGCTCCAATAAAATTGGGGGGGGGGGGGGTTACATTCTCTTCCCCCTCCCCTACATCAACAAATTCTACACATATACTCAACCACTTGTGATATGTAAAAACAATTAACATAGACATACATGAACTCAACAAAGTTTTTTACCCCCCCCCCCAAACACACACACTGAAAACAATTAACATAGACATATATGAACTCAACAAAGTTTTTCACCCCCCCCCCCACACACACACTGAAAAAAATGAAAATAGACATACCTGAACTCAACAAAGTTTATCGTAGCAGTTCAAACCTAACCCCCACCCTATACAAAAAACACCTCCCCATCAAATTGAAAAAAACACAGAAATGTCAAATTGAACCTTCTTCCCCTCCTAAAGTGAACACTCAACAAATTCCACATACCAACACACAATGCACCCCTGTGCCCCTTCCAATCTGAAACTCAAATTTCCTGAAAGCAATCACACCCCTTCCCTAGACTTCCTATAACTGTTCACACAATTTGTTTTTGATACAGCTTTCATCCAACATGATCCAAAACAAAGACACTCCTATGTGGTAGCCCCCTCCCCCATTGGATAACTGATCAACATTATTAATCAATAAGTATTATAGGGACTACACTAAAAACCAATATGGACTTGGCTTTTGTATTTAAAAAATAAAATACATTGCACATACTGTGTAGTCTTCATTTGTTTGAGTTTTTAAAGATTTCTAGGGGCCATTTGCGCCTGTCTTCGTTTACCCCCCCCCCCCCCCCCTCCACACACATACACCCATTTTTGATAGATGCTGGTATATTATTTGGTTTAAAGTGTAATTACGTAAGTGAATATTTTTTAAACCAATATCTAGGAACCAGAAGTATATTTTTCTAATTAACACCCTTCTATTTATGAATTAAGTTGTAGTAATAATGATGATAATGACAAAATGGACTTACATTAATTTCACCAGGGCAGGTTAGAAATATTACTTTACATAAATGGAATTGCATGTGTATGAAGATAAACATAAATTGGACAATTAACATGACTTGGGGAAGGGGGTGGTTTGTGTGAATGCTTTATAGTGTACATGGGGAATGTACATGGAAGTGTGAATAGAATAATTCTCTGATTTGTGTAACTTACACCATCCTGCCTGCATGGTCTGTATGCTGTAATAATCTAAAACATGCCAGAGTTCTTTCATTAATAAGTATGCATTGGATTAAAACTGTTTTAAAGACCGAGGCTAGCTTCTTGAATACTGGTTAAAGCTTTTTTGGACATCTGCTGAGAGCCAGAGGGATGTCAATGCCTTAAAAAAGTAAACAATTTAAATGCTTAACGCAAACTAGCAGATGATAAATAGATAATTTTGGCTATTAATATTAAGCTACCGTTAATTAAATGCATATATACTACATCATATTCTATCCAGCTGAGAGAAACCACTTATTAAGTAGTAGAATATCAATAGCCTTTCTTAGGGTTACACATGTACATAATGCTATAATAATTAGCATAAAATATATAACTCTTAAGATAAAGGAAATTACAAATTATGTGTTTCAAGAGTGGAAAACAGAACCAAATAATCATGCACTGTACACTAGACTATGTTCAGTACGTTGTAAATGATGGTCAGGAAAATCGCCAAGCATATTCTCAGAAATATAACATGTTTTCATTCTAAATTACAGCGGATTCGTTTAAGAGCTTAATATTAGAACTTACCTTTGTCACTGAGAATATAGAACCAGGCTCTGTTGTTCATCCCCGCAGCCAAATGGTACGGTCCAAGGGCAACGAATGTGGGCTCTACCTCAATAGCTATGGGAACAGCAGGCTCCTGTGAAAATAACAGAAAAAGTTTAATAGCACAGATCATATTATTACGTTAAACTCCTTTACCGACACAGATTACGATTCGAACAAATGATGAAAGCCTTTTTTTTTTCATTTGCATTGCCAGTGTAGTAATTCTCATGATTGCCGCTACTATACTGACCCATATGACTATCCCTAAAATTATTTGGTTCAATTTAGCACTAATAAAAAAGACAAATGCAATACAAAAATTGCTATATACATGTAAATGAAATCGGATTTCACTTATAGAAAAACTATTTTCAAAACCTACAATTAATATATTGACAACCAATGTCTCTTTATTCATGACTGGTATAGCATGATACTTTTTAAAAATCTACTACATGTAAGGCCTCTGGATGTAGACTAAATAATATGTGTGTTGGATTCTGAACATGTAGATTTGGCCAGGTTTATTCTATTTCATGATCGCAATCTCTCACATCCCCGTCGTATGTATTCATGGATCAAGCCATCTTCGGCTTGTAGTACAAGCCGAAGATGGCTTGATCCATGAATACATACGACGGGCTGTAATAATTTGGGGATCCAGCCATCCCTGGCTTGGAGCAAGTAGGTGGTGATTGCGCTGGAGATTTTTAATAATGAAATCGGCCATATTCGGGACTACTAGGAAATTCGCTATTACTGGCATTTGATTTCCACAGGCAAATCAATGCTTGATGGATTCCCTCTAAATCTATTCACAAAGAATATCATCCATTCAAGAAAAGTGAACAGATGACAATGACAAATTTAGGAGTAAAAAAAAAGAATCGCAAAGGCACCAAAATGACAAATAAAAGAAGGATCATGTAAGAAACCTAAACCGATGACCACAAAACTGAGAGAAAAGTCAGAACGTCCAGGGCCATGCTGTTAGAAAATGTTAAGAAAGACATTTAAAAGAAATGAAGGCTAAAGAAGAAATTGGAGATGCATGAAGATGACATATAAACAGTTTGTATATCAATATTAAACATCAAGCTGAAAGAGAAGAAAGAAAAGGATTAAAATATACAACCAAATATCTATCAAACAATGTTGATATTAATGTTTGTAGCTGCTCTTTCTTCTTCATACTGCTCACCATATCATCATTATTGTAATTTCTTGAACAATTTTTCTTTTCTTTAATCCTACTTATTATACCAAAATCCATAACTCTTTTTTTATCATTTTCCCTCAAAATTACTACTGAATATATCAAATAACTATTTTAGGTAGACTTATGCCCTAACGACCACCTCCCGATCTTAAATTGGAAATATAGATCTAGGAGTGATATTACATGTATCATTCAAAAACATGCCACATTTAAACAAGCTCAGAACCATAGATCAGCCTTAAAAAGAGTGATAAATGTAAATAACTAGAACATTCACGAGCTATAAAACAAAGTAGAACGATAAAATAAAATCAATGTATTGTCGCATGATGCAAAGTTGATTCAATTAATAAAAGCATAGTCCATAGCATGCATCATGCATAGATTACGTTTCTTGAAATATTTATTACAAGTGACATTTAAATTTGCAATGCAGAAAAAAACTTCTACGACATGCTATAGGAAGAAACTTCAAGATTTTGAATAGAAAGAGAAAATTTGAGACTTATTTATTTATTTATTTAAAAAAATATAATAATAATAATGGGTGGTATTCTCATAAGTTAAGCCGGGACTAAGTCCAGACTAAACAAGAATTTTAGTTCACACTTCTATGGAATGCTAGGTTTCATCTTCCTCCTTCAATATTCATGACAAGGATAATCTACCAAAGACTTTGTTGAAATTCAGTTCATACTCATATTATCTTTTTCTTCCCATTTCATTGCAAAATTAATTTTTTGGACACTTTTAATTGAAGGATTAAAATAATCTGTTCAGGGTAAATTAGTTCACAACAGGCACTCCATAAAAGTGTGAACTAACTAAGCACGCGCTAACTTAGTACGCGCTACCGGAATACCACCCAATAATTTTAATAATCAAATAAAAAGAAGTGTAAGAGAAAAAGTCATTACACTATACAGTTTAACTACACAAAATATCATTTCGCTTTCTGCAGAACAATCAAAATTATAATTTAATTCTAAGACGTTAAGGTTTAGGAGTTATAAATATCCACAATGCCTTTCCCTGACTTTGCTTTTATATGGAGCAACGTTTCCTTTTTGGACAAATTCAAATGATTGAAGGACAAATTTCCCAATTCCAAAAGAGTTCAGATTCTGTACATGAGAAACAGAAGCTACTGCTAATCTAACGAATGAAAAAGGTTTGGGGAAAAGAGGTTTAACAAAATGGAGAGCAGATAAGGTACTTGCCTTCATGCGGCCCACTCGTCTCTGGTACGTTAAATAAGAGTTCCACAAAATAAATCAATGTTAGTGAGTGTGAACGTGAGGGGGTTATAATGACAGGTGTGAATGTGACTTACATGTACAGGTGCAATAACAGACAGGTATACAGATCTTCACCCCCTTTGCGTGTTCACACACACATACATGTACATTCGGACATCGTTTGAAATGGGCTACAGTCTGCACGACTGCGGCTCATATGACACAAGCATGTAAGTCTCATGGCAATTGAGATATTTTTTCTGAGAGTTCCTGAGACCAACATTGTCAATTCCCATAGGCTGCTGGTATACTTCGATGTCACTGACAGCACATTAGTACTGTTTTTAAATTCTCCATAATTCCATGCATGTGAAGAATGATAACTCTACATATCCAACTTAAATTTGTGGGCTACAAGGTGGTTCCACTTGTGAAGACATATTCAACAAATTGTGCTTTGTACTTTCCACAAAGACTAATTGATAAACATTCAGTGTCTATATGTGGCATGCAGATGACCATCTAGCATATCCATTTTAATCTCAAATAATTAAAATTGTTAACAATACCATGGTATCTTCAGTGATGCACAGTGCTCTTAACCGTCTAAATTTACTTCTACAATGAACTGTGAAATGTGCCTCCCATATTACAACAAACAAATGCTGTTCTTTTAATTGCCAACAATAATATTGTTATCATAATGCTTCATTTTTCTAATACAATGTTATGTTTTAGAAAACAATATCCAAGGGTAAAGCTTTTTTTTCAGAAAGTTGAACAATTGAAAAAAGATGGTTTTGAGCCTCTCAATGTGTTGCCAAATTGAGGATTGTAAAGATTGTTTTCCTTTTTTTAAATTCCGGGCATCAAACGCGATGTGGTCATGCAAAAAAACAAACACTGTGTGTGCAGAAGTTTGTGCACTTTCTAATCATGCATCTGGTATATATGTCAGGACTCTGAATCAATAGTTTATTGAGCTACACCACAAAAAATGGCATGACCATCTACAGTCCAAAGGGATAGACTTATTATTTCACATATATATATCGACACATAAATGTAGGTTGCTACTTTTTCTACAGGTCCCTTTCAAGACAAACTTGTGCACCATATTTGAATCACTCATAACTTCTGATTGAATTTGATATGGATTAGTTACTGAATCAAACACACTGAGAGAGTGTGCGATAATGATGGAGACTATCAAACATTTCCACCAATATCCATATCATTGTATACTTTATTATGTAACGCACCTATTTTCACTACAGATTTTTCAAATAAAAAAACAAATTACTCACCCAAAACTATCCACAGATATAAATTGGTGATAGTGTTATAAGATTGAGGTAGTGAATACGATCATGATAATTGTTTGAATGATATTCGAGTGAAGGTTAATGTTAGAAAATGAGAAATGTATATGGGGGGAGGGATGTTTGAATATGATAGGCAAATCACACAACCTGGTGCCCATACAGGCTCATTTTAAAAAAAGAGAGAGACTGCCACAGAAACCTCAAATAACAATGAAAACTTTGTGCACTTCACAGTTCTGAATCTTATCACTTACAGACCAGTAAGAACACATGTATGGGCCATTGTTACACACAGATATGTTTCATACCCCTCCCCAAATATTTCCTCTAGCCATTCAGTTACACATACAGTTTTGTCGCAGCAGTTGTTAGGCGGTTTACCATGTCAAGTCTAAATGGGGCTTAGGATACATTGATGCGCTTTGATGAATGGGGTATCTCACCTGTTCTATGGGATTGACCACCGTGACCTCAAGCAGAGAGGTCAGATAGGCCAGCCGCGTGCCATGGGAGTCCCCTAGGATAGGCAGTTTGGTCAGATAGACATGCATGAAGCCTCTCTGGGTTCCTATGGCCAGGAGTTGACCGTCCTCCGTCCATTCGATACCGGTCAATCCCTTGGTCTCCTCCTCCAGGTTGACGATGGCATAGAGCTCCTTCAGGTCGGACAGGTCGTGGATTTTGATGCTGGAGTTTGGAAAGTTCAAAGTTCAGAATTTGTCTATATTCTCGTTGTAAAATATCAATAGACTTCTGTTCAACACATACCAGTCTCTCTAAAGCTTCAGCAAGTGCTGAGTACTTCTAGGTTATTTGACTTTGATTAGGGAAGACTAAATTGTAAAGTGTGGAAAGATATCTCCACAAGGATTTTAAAATAAAAACTCCCTTCTTTAAAATGGGCTGCTGTGATATGTAATAACAATGGCGAGCTTTTTGTTTCAAGTTAACCTTTCATTCCGGTAATGGGCTTGCATTCTGGGAGAAACTGGCTTCTAATTTTCTTTCCTTCATGCAGTAGATTGGTTTGGACCAGTAGATGATAGACAAAATAAGTAGTACACTTTGGTACACATTTTAACTGAGATGTGTTTTAAAGGTATGGCCCATTCGGTTTGCTTTGGATGGGGCACTCCCCCCCGCCCCCGCCACGCGACAAGAAAAAAAGAGTGTGTGCAGAAATTTTTGCCCTTTCTCATCATGCTCTGGATCAAAAGTTATTGAGCCAAGCCCAAAAATGTGGAATAACTGTCTCTGAAAGGGTCAAGTTTGCTCCTACCTATTGTCCCCGCATGATGCTGCCTTGTTGAGTGAGAGTGAGATGGCGATGCCGGTCAGCGAGTCCTTATGGTCCCTGGCCTGGAATAACTCCTGACCGATCTCCTTCATGTGAGTTGAGATGACGATGAAATAACCATTGGAGAAGCCGAGCATGATGTAACCATCTCCATACCTGTGCAAATTAACACACAACATAAAACATGTGATGACTAATGATGTGGTAACTCATACTATGCTAGTTGATTACAAAATACTTCATTTTTTCATTTCTTCATTGAAATTTTCCCTCTTAACGGCCCTGTCAGAAGTGAAAATAAAATAGAAATAGATGATTTGTATCACCGGACATGCCGTTTGCAAATATTTGTAAAAAAACTGCTTTATAATGTAAATAGCACTCAAATGGACGTAAATTGCCGTTAACATACACACGTACATAGTTTGCCATAGATTATGAAAATATCAATTACATGCTACTTTAGTGTCTTTCAGAAGAGCAACAGCGCTCTGAAAACTCAAAATCTAAAGCTTTGAAATTCAAAAGTCGTTGACTCCCAAAACTAGCTATCCCTCACTTGCCCTGTCTTCTTCCTTCTCACAATCTTTCTCTCCTTCAGTTGAGGGCCCTATTAACTCACCATGTGTATGCTACCACTGAACCATATCTCTGCTGGAAGGCAAGCTCAATAGGATTGTCTCTATCGTCCAGGTTGTACAGGAATAAGGTTTTCTTTCCAACAATCACACTTATCTGAAGGAACACAAAAACAAACAAATGATGTAGCATCAAAAACAAAGTGCTAACTAGTTCATGTTCAATACTATTTTGATACAAACATCTTTGAATTGTAGAATATTGAGTTAAGGGAAGAGTGTGATTTACCTCCTGTAATACTTCTCAGGAAAGCTAAGTACCGGTAATAGAGATATATCTAGAAATGATATTGTATTTATTTCCTTTGAAGTCTGACATCTAATTGCTGATCATAAACATCAGGGAAAAATAAATAAAATTGTTCAATAAAAAATTAATTTAGAGAACAACAGCAGGAAATGACCCTGGAGTTCATAGGTCAAGGAAGGACAACCTACCGTAGACTCTCCTGATGATGTTCTCTCATCAACCTTCATCTCTGAGAACTGAATGTCAGATGGATCTAACCGCACTCCAGTCTGGATGAGGAGGAGAGAGGGAAGCAGGAAACAAATATTTTAGGATAAATAAATAAAACTTGATCATGAACCAAAATAGTAAGCTTAAAGTTAGGTGATAAATCAATTTTGCCAAAGATGATGTCCAAGGTACAAAATTATAAACTAGTGAGGTTCATATAATAACTGACCATTTAGGGATGAATTCATGAGATGTAACTGTCTCTCTTAACAAGCTATGATCACATAATGAACAGTGTGAAATGAAGTTTATGATTACCTTACACATGTTGTACATCGGTCAACCCACTTCATGATTTCTTATCAACACATTATCAAATAAAAAAAGAAAAAATATTAATAGCTATATTTATATTATGCACATATCCATCCTGGAGAATGATCAAGGCACCTACAAAGTATGATTATTACCTTGGGTTTAGTCAAGCTAAACTAAAATGCTATAGGAATAAATCCCTACCAGGTACCAATTTACTACACCTGGGTGGAGAGTAGCAAGCATAGATTAATGGCTTGCTAAAGGAAATCAGTGCTGCCGCGGGACTTGAACCGCAAACCATGCGACTGACAGTCCTGTGGCGTATCAACTAGACCACAACACTTCTACAAAATATTCAAACAATATTGAGAAGGAATGGATATCTTACCGTTGCTATGGTATCCCCATCTTGGTTGCTGACTGTGATTGTTCTGTCCTCGCTTCCTAGAGCAAGTAGGTTCTGAGCGCTCCATGCCCCACAGATTATCTTCTTGGTGTGCTTACCAAGGATGGGCAATTTCCTGAAATGTTCAACAAAGGAAATGAAAATACATTCAAAATGATTAGCTAGCAAAGCTAGCAAACGCATAATACCAGAAATAAAAATTTTAGTAAATAAGACAACCCCAATATTGTCATAGCGAGAGCAATATATTCTTGTATCACATGAAAACAAAGCCATATAATATTATTATTATTATCTATATCAGGCTGACTAGCGAATTATCAAAATTTGACTTACTTTCGTAAATATGGCTTTTTTGTGTGTGATAGCAATATCAATATTGATAGAAATTCCTGGACGTATGAGCAATATGTAAAAACAATATTGGTCAGTCATTTGGGTACTGCGCTAAAGACTATTGAATACACTGATTCATTGTACCACTTGGAAGCCTTATATAGATAATAATAATGAATATTCAAATTATGTTGAAATAAGCATGAAATATAAAAATATGTGTAAAGGTTATTGTTCTGCACCAATCTTATCCCAATTATGCTGCCTCTTGCCATTCAATTATATGTTAAGTTTTTTGAAATTTATTTCAGGGCAGTTTACCACATCAATTCTCAGTCAGTCTTATAGATTCAAACCTATACAACACAAACGTGATTAAATACCTTGAAGTCTGATGGTTGTAGATAAGAAGATTGCCCTTGACCGTTCCGATGGCTAGCTGAGGTCCAGACTTTGACCAGAGCAGGTAGGTCAATGTGTCCTTGAAACCACTGTCCACCTGAGACTTGCGATGGCTATTGGCATCCCAGAGGAACACCACACTGCTCTTGTCGCAGATCAGGGCCAAGGTGTCGCCATCTTTATCCCAGCCGATGCCAGTGCAGGATCTGTTGAGTGATGAAATTGATAGCATATCGGTTAATCTATGTGCCATTCAAAATTTGGTGTAGCATCATTATACAGACACAAAGCAAAACATAGATGACATACAGTACTTAAACTCAGTGACAAAAAAAAACAACATAATCTGTAGCTGCTTCTAAACCTGAACATTTTTGATATTTAAAAAAAAAAACAATCCTTACAGAAACTTATCTTTTTAGAGTTCCGTGCACCCCCCCCCCCTTTGAAATACTGATAAACCATTTGTGACAAAAATTTGCCTCAAAGTGAATAGTTAGCGATGGACAGCAACTTATCTTTACCAGAAAGTCAGCTTCCAATTCTCATGTAAGGGAGATATACATAGTAATATCTGGCTTTTTACTATTGTATTTGATTAAAAAAACATTCCAGTCCTTCTCAAGCCTAAGGTATAAACTATCCAACAACATAATAAATTTTAAATAAACATAATATATCTATTATTGGTATCAGAAAGAGTCTGATTGGAGTTAAAGCCTTCTCTTACTCACCCTGGTAAGTTGATTTCATCTCTACGCTCACCATGACGATCATAGATGTGAACGTTGTTATCGGAGCCATAGGTGGCCAGATAATTTCCAAGAGTTGTTTGCCAGCAAAACCTGAGAGGGCCTGGACCATGGGTCTTGTCTGTCAGCTGAAATACTTTCTGGAACATGAATAAAAAGAGTAAAAGTTTGAAACTTTGATCATGATGGAGGGATTCAAAAGCAACAGAATATATAACTTTTTTTTCAACTTAGGGATTTCTTTCCTTGTGAAAGACACTCTCAAAGACCAGCAACCCTACATGTACATTCTAAAAACAGAATCATGAGGAATCATTATTAATCAAAACATTGATTTGAATTTAGACTAATTAGAGATGTGTGTACTGAGGATTTGGGAGACTCTCTAGTTTTCAGACCCAAATCAATTTCAAGATAAATTCTATCTCCAAATGTGTAAACTCAATAGTTTAAACCATGTGTTTTAACATTTAGATTTTTAGAATTTTTAAATATTTTGTTGAAGCCTAAAATTGTTCTGTATTCTATACATATTTTTACAAATAAAAATATAACTAGATCTATAAGGGTGTATGTTTGTTATAAACTATCAAATGGAAATATCCATGGGGTGCCCATCTACAAAATTGAATCACCTGTATTCACCTGTATTCACCTGTATTCACCTGTATTGAAATAAAATATTCATAATTGTATTTCACCAATAATTCTATGGCATAATCTACACTATTTCTAAAGTATATTGCATCTCTTATCCATTGCTAAGTAATAGTAATATAGATTTACTAATAATAAGTAATAATAATATACCATTTTCAATCTTTTTTCTTTCCTAATCATTGCAACTTTCTTAATACTGGTATGTCTCGGCTCTTCTTCTCGCGCTGATCGTACAATATCATGAGATGTCTAGCTGGTAAGCTTTACATAAACGGTACAGGAAGATCAAATAAAGTTATAGACTGAAAATTTATGTCTCTTTTGTTTGTTAGCCTCTTTATATTTGGGTAGGGTCGGCTCCTCTAAGAATTTTACTGGCACGGGCACGCTCATGCCAGTAAACAATGCGCTAAAATTTCATTTTAGCACATTCATATCTGATGATGCATTTATACTAGAAAAGGAACAACTGCAGAATACTCTCACGCTGTGACTGGAGTTCCGGACCCTAGCTTGGCTGATAAATATGTTTTACGTCATTAACAGCTTTGTAAGAGGTCACAAACAATTAGACTTTGATTATTTATTGCTTTGCCTCACTATTTAAGAGGGCAAAAAACAGAACTGAATAAATACTGAGATTCGAACCCACAACTCCAAGGTTGTAATTTTATTACGCTGTCCTTAGCTTACCGATTGAGCCAACGATGGGTTGGTGAAAGGTGGGTTAGCATGATTATTATAACCTTATCACTAACCCTAATGCCATGTGCGCATGTGCAGGTTAAGCTGGCCAGCGCCAGCTAGACTCTTCTGATTGGAGGCTGAAATGTGCAGGGTATTCTGCAGTTAATTTAAGCCGAAATGGAAGCGCATTCTTTACTGATACTGGCACGATTGTGATTGTGCCAGTAGGCCTAAACTTCTTACAAAGTTACAGAAGACGTGAGACCATGTATGGCCAGCTTCTGTCTCTAATTGAGCTGACCCTACGCCAAAGTAGGCCTGAGTCATCACGGGTTTTGCCGAACCCGGGTTTGACTTGAAAATTTCGGGCGGGGACCGGGTACCCGAAATTTTCACCACTGCACTGACACTAAAAATCGTGTGCATGCAGCGGCGGGAGTTAGACTAAGTTGCTGTTCTAATAATGCGACGGAAAAGACAGTTACTGCTTTCAAAACAATAGTATAATCAATTGAATTAAATTAAGATGCTTTAAAAAATAAATGGATATTGTTTCAGTTGACGGTAGGTGTTTTTATCGCTCTAAAATTGAGGCGGCAAGAAAGGAATCACGCTACGTGGTACCGATCGAGTGCGTTCAGAAACGGAAGTGGAAATAGATCTATGACCCACTGAAGACAGAGCAAGAAAGTGCCACTCAAGAAGACTAAAATGTTGATCAGACTATTGCAATAAATCGTAATACTAAAGGCATTAATTTAATTGTCAAAATATATCCACAACATAATGGTTTACCCTTGTTAGTTTGATGAAGGAAAATGAATTAAAGCAAATAACATCGAAGTGCCTTTCGTTCGTTCTAAAAATGCGTGTATATAACGGCAAGCAGAAGTTACGAGTCAAGCTTGATATGCATGTTTACATCCCTACACCGTCATCCGACCTGACCAATTAAAAAACATCATGTAAGATTTTAAGGGACTCCAATTCAACAAAATTACCGTAAAATAATTATTTGCTTTGACAAATAATACTATAGATATTCATAATATCTTACAGAAATAATGATATTTCATAAGCTATGTACTCGATATCGAGTTCAGCTAGCCATCATTTTGAAATGAGACGTAGTTTTCACGCAGTAGACTGTAGAGGGCAGTATGCAGCAGAGAGAGGAAAAAAGCGCGGGCCTGAGATCACGTGATGTTCACGTGCCTATTGCGTGAATTTTTTCCCTCTCTGCGAGCTGCCACATTCTGTGTATAGCCTACAGTCTACTGCATGACAACTACGTCTCATTTCAAAATGATGGTTAGCTGAACTCGATATCGAGTACGTAGCTCATGAAATATCATTATTTCTGTAAGATATTATGAATATCTATAGTATTATTTGTCAAAGCAAATAATTATTTTACGGTAATTTTGTTGAATTGGAGTCCCTTAAAGTCTTACGTGATGTTTTTTAATTGGTTCCGATCAGGTCGGATGACGGTGTAGGGATGTAAACATGCATATCAAGCTTGACTCGTAACTTCTGCTTGCCGTTTTACACGCATTTTTAGAACGAACGTAAGGCACTTCGATGTTATTTCAAGAGCTTTAATTTATTTTCCTTCATCAAACTAACAAGGGTAAACCATTATGTTGTGGATATATTTTGACAATTAAATTAATGCCTTTAGTATTACGATTTAATTGCAATAGTCTGATCAACATTTTAGTCTTCTTGTGTGTGGCACTTTCTTGCTCTGTCTTCAGTACTTCATAAATCTATTTCCACTTCCGTTTTAGAACGCACTCGATCGGTACCACGAAGCGTGATTCCTTCCTTGCAGTCTCAATTTTAGAGCGATAAAAACACCTACCGTCAACTGAAACAATACCCATTTATTTCTAAAGCATATTTATTTGATTACATTGAAATATAAGTTTGTGAATTGCATATTTGTAGTTCTATATATCAAAATATCAGTGTGAAATTTAATTTTCAAAAACCCGAAACCCGAAAACCAAAAACCGGGTTTCAGCTCGACGGTCGGGGCCCGGGCGGGGACCCGTTTCGACTCAGGCCTACGCCAAAGAGAGTCAAACGAACGAAAGAGACAGCAATTTTCGGTCTAATAAAGTCACGACCGTCTTGTCATGACGTTGGTGTCGAGAAACGGGCCCCTGCTACTTGCCCGTGATAATGTACCGGTGTCCAACGGACCCGAAGCCATAAGGTCACGGGAACCAACGGGTTGTTTACCGTTGCTACCCGCCGTCGATAAAGGCAAGCCCTGCGATAATCTCACGAACATTCTAAAATTGTCTACAGTGATTTTAAATCAGTTTAAAACGTATAGAACATTATTTCACAAATCATGTCTACATCATACCTTCATTTCAGATGTGTCGAGCCTCCAGCTTGTCTACAAAAAGTGTATTTTCCAGTCGATCTACTTTTCAATTCATTTCTCGAAATGACTCCCGTAAATATTTCATCCCAGAATGCTTTGCATAAGTGCCTGTCAGGCCCTCTGTAGCTAAAAACATTATAATATCCTTTTTTTCTCAGCGGGCGGACGAAGAAAGTATCTATATTCATTATTATTTTAAAAATTAATTTATTCATTAATTCATTAATTTATTTCTACTTTTAAGACGAGGATTTTGTTACCGAATTAACATTAAGGGTGACATTTCGTCAAGGATGGGGTTCTCTGAAGGTTGCCGTTTCTGATCTTCTCACATAATTGTATATGAACAAAGCTGTGAACAAAGCTTTATAAATTAATGGAACTTTATTTCGTTTACATGCAGCACACAGATAAATATACAGAAGTGGATAAAGCAATACTTGGAAATTTATCAAACAATAACGAATATGGACAACAAGAATAAGGAGACCTTTCAAATGATATTATGCAGTGCGATTCGATACAAATTTTCAAAAGGAGACTTAAGAAAAGCTTTCTTCTGAATAGTGACTAGTAGTAGAGTCAAAGTGTGTAGACCCCGCTGATATTTTTCGGGGACAAAGGTTTTTAAGTGTTTTTGAGTTGTTTGGAGGTCAATGATTAAAATTAGCTTGGGTAGTCCCCTCCTAACTCCCGGCAACTCTCGTAGGGGTCAAAATAAGGTCAAAATGGGGTCAATAGGGGGTCAATTTTTTTAAATGCCCTGATTATGTTAAAAGACATGTCAAATTGTTTGTCTCGTCATACTGAACAAAAAAGTGTACATGATCATATACCCCTGACCTCCCGTTAAGAAGTTATGGCCGGAAAAGTCAAAAGGTCAACAAACTTTCATTTGAGGGCAAAATACACTAAAAGTGTTAGGATCGATAAATTTTCATGTTTTTTGTGTCTATTTATATGTATTTTTATTTAGAAATTTGAATGAGACAATTTCTACTTGAGAAAACCGTTTTCAGTAGATATAAGGGGTCAAAATAAGGTTTATGCTTGGGGTATAAGTGATGAACAGTTACTACACAATGTTGCTTCGCGCCTTAAAGACAGGCTGTCAGGAGAAAATGATATGCCCTGGCCACCCCGTGTTGTTGATCTAGAGGATATAGAAGAGCCTCATGTACTCCTGCGCAAGTTTCTGACTTGGCTTAAGGACCCAGGTGTTCGAAACTTTACTGAAGCATGTGATGACCCGGACATTGTTGCACTGTCATCCCTACTGTTCTCACTAATTACTGGTAACCGCACAACATTTCAAACATGTTTGTCAGTCACGTTGCATGGCTTAACCCGAAGTCGTGAAATCTCTGACATTCTCAAGAAATTCGGTTTGGGAATTAGCTACAGTGATACTCTACGTCTATACGATTCATGGGCCATGCATGCAGTAAAGGAAGACTCAACCTGCCCAGATGCAATAGCAGAAGGTTTTCCAGGTACTGGCATCTTGGACAATGATGACTTTAAGGATGACACACTTACTGGGGCAGATACATCTCATCGAACTAATGTTATGTTTGTCCAGCCTGATCACTTCACAGCCACAGGAGACGAATGCTCCCCTCTTCAGTTGGTCAAGTCCGATGACCTAAAACAAGTAACTTCTGAACAGCTCAAAGTACATCCATACAAAACAGTGAAACGTGATCAGCCAGAAGTGCGTACTGAAGTTGATACATCTCTTCCGACGAGTTGTGGGCAAAGAAAGAGGAGTGCAGTGCATTCATTGGCTCGGACTAATAATGCAGGACATAACATCCAAGTTCCTGATCAAAAGGTTGGAGGTTTCACTGGCTTCCAGGCGAAAATCCAGGGAAATGTTACAAAGAGTTCTGCTCACTATTTCCTGACATTTCCAAAGCCACCTCAGAAATCAGTAGTTCATGAGGTCATGTGTAGGATGGTTTCTGCAGCTGTAGCCAAGTCAATGCCATTTATTCAGCTTGTTGGTGACCAACCTGTGTATCCATTGATGGTACAACTAAAGAATGAGAATCAAGCCAAATTTGAGCTTATCCTCCCTGTCCTTGGTCCATTCCACACTCAATTGTCATTCATATCAGCAATCAACAAGCGCTTTCAAGGCTCGGGATTATCTGACATTCTTGTCGCAGCAGACATCATCGCAGAAGGTTCGGTTGACCAGGCACTTCGTGGGAAGCACTACAACAGGAGCATAAGATGTCTCACTCTCATGTATGAGGTACTCATGCGCAGAGTCATTCGACATGAACTTTCCAGTGGGGTAGATCTGTCACCTGAACTTAAAGTCAGCCTTGAGATTCTCAAAAATCCATCTACATGTTCACAAGCGCAGTTGCAAGCAGCAGCTGCAGATCTCCTGGAAAATGAAGAATTCACATATTTTGTGACAAAGGCATTTGAAAGCGTTGAAGCATCTGATTCTCCAATGGCTAGGTTCTGGCTAAGCTTCATGGACATGGTGGAAATACTGCTCATGAACATACATGCTCTGCGGACACAAGACTGGGATTCGTTCAAAGCTTCTCTCAGGATGATGTTTCCATGGTTGCGCATCTACGATAATGACAAATACAGCAAGTGGCTGGTTGAGTTTTGGCTCGAGATCTCAAGTCTACCAGAAGAGAAGGAAACCTACTTGAAAGAGGGGTTGTTCTCCCAATCAATGACCGGGAAACCATATTCCTGTTTACCCCTAGATCTATGGATAGAGATGACCATGAACAAGGGTTCAAAGATGAAAGCAGGATGGAAACATATCTTGAAGAACGAAAAGATGTTACTTGCACACACAAAAACCACAAATGCTTGCAACAAAGTGAGAAACTCCTTGCATGTACTGGCAAACCTCAAAGACTCTTCCAAGGATCACAGAGAAAATTGCAAGAAGAGACTGCAGAGAGATGAGAAAGGGGTTCAAGATCTGGACAAATGCCTGGGTGAGTTTGACTGTGACCCGTTTGATGAGACCAAGCCAACATTGAGGTCTCTGCAGTCTGGTATGATGGCATCCGATCAGCTGGTCGTTGACTTTGAGAATGCGCACAAAGATGGTGAAGTGCTTGTTCAATCATTTTTCAAAGAGAGGATGTTTTCCGATGAGAAGAACTTTGATGACACGATGCACAGGAATTCACGCTGCAGTTTCACCAAGCCACCAATTGTTAAAGGAACATCTCGGGTTACAAAGACTGATGCAATGGAGAACAAGGCCATGACAGAGGTAATCTCTCTTGCTCAGAAATGTGAGGACACATTTCGACTGAGCGATGTACTGCAATATCGTGTTACAGATGAATGTCTACCTATCTTTAACGTGAACGGAACACTGAGAAAGGTGATGAAATCAAAATTGGTTGACAAGCTCAATCTTGAGGAGATAAACTCGCTTAACAACTACATTGCACTCGTCGACATGGGATTCATTTGGAGACTTAGTACTCCATCAGTAGAGGATAGAGAGAAGCAGGATGGTACAGATTACACGTGGGGCGATTATGCAAACAAGATTTACAACATAGTTGCAGGTCGTCACAGAAAGGCGACCACAATTTTCTTTAATTGTGAATGATCCCTATGACCTAGATGAGAGTATCAAGGATAGTGAACATCAGAGGCGTACAGGCGTTACTTATGTAGGAGGTAGCCGAAATGTATTTATGAGAAGAGATGATCCACTGCCAACATCCAGGCTGTTCAATGATATGTTAAAAAATCCAGGCAACAAAGTTCGGCTCCAACAGTTTCTGAATGCAGAGTTCAAGATCATGTCATTAGAACACCCAGAGACGACTTATATATACTCAGTGAGAGATCGTTGCTCAGATCTGCAGAAGGGCACAGAATTAGAAAAATTCACATGCCAATTAACACACAGAAGCGGACACCATCCTTCTCTATGTGTATTAATTACCAACTAAGACAGTCAGGTGTGGAAGACACTGTTGTTATCGATGCAGAAGACACAGATGTTATGGTTCTAGCAGCATACGCAGCCCATCAGATTGAAGGACCATTAGGCATCAAGAGGAAGGGCTTCGTCTATGACTGTAAGAAGCTTTGCAGTCCTGAAGTGGCAGATGTCATTGTCCCCTTTCATGTTCATACTGGTATTTGTCACATCTATCCGTCCTTAAAGGTATGTTGCAACAAATTAAGACATTTACCATACCTAGTAAGAGAGCGCAGGGTTGTGTATGTAACTGATGGGCAGATAAAAACAATCAAGCTAATTTGACATTGTGGCCACCAGTTAAATTACATGTAAACTGCATTGTGACACTTAAAAAAAATGAACATGGCTTTGTTGTCACTCCTATCGTATTTTAACCCTAGAATGAAATTGCTTTTTCTCATTCAGTGTGAGAGTGCATTACAGCACAATTTAGGTCAATTAAACATTTTTGACCCCAAATGACCCCATTTTGGCCTTATAATGACTCCTTACATCAATTGAATATGGTTTTCTAAATTTTAAAAAAATAAAATAAATTCATTCACCATTATTCATCAATTTACACATAATTTGACACAAATAAGTCCTAAGTCTGTTAGTGTATGTTGATCCCAAAGGAGCTCATTTGACCCCAAATGACCTTATTTTGACCCCTTATATCTTTTGAATACGGTCTTCTTAAGTAGAAATTGTCTCATTCAAATTTCTAAATCAAAATACATATAAATAGACACAAAAAACATGAAAATTGATCGATCCTAACACTTTTAGTGTATTTTGCCCTCAAATGAAAGTTTGTTGACCTTTTGACTTTTCCGGCCATAACTTCTTAACGGGAGGTCAGGGGTATATGATCATGTACACTTTTTTGTTCAGTATGACGAGACAAACAATTTGACATGTCTTTTAACATAATCAGGGCATTTAAAAAAATTGACCCCCTATTGACCCCCATTTTGACCTTATTTTGACCCCTACAAGAGTTGCCGGGGGTTAGGAGGGGACTACCCAAGCTAATTTTAATCATTGACCTCCAAACAACTCAAAAACACTTAAAAACCTTTGTCCCCGAAAAATATCAGCGGGGTCTACACACTTTGACTCTACTATAGGCTATTGCATTCCATTTTGTTGTGTGACTTTATGCAACTTTGATGTTTGTGTAACTTTGATTGTTTCTTGTAATGTATGCAATTCTCATTGTTTTGCGTTTAAAAAAGATTTTTGTATTATACTGAATCAGTTATCGTATATTGTTTATGTTTTTTTCCTCATAAAATAATAATTTATGATAACTAGGCAGGGGACGTAGGCCTACATCTTACAAGCTCTGCTTTTGAGTCGACCCTCCTTCCCTTTCAATTGTATGTTTTTTAATGTATTGTATTTTGCAAAAAATGAGAGGAAAAATAAATTTATTTATTTATCTAAAATTATTTATACAGGATGTACAATATCAGCCAAAGCTGTATGTCATATATGGTAAAATACAAAATTAACAATGAAACACAAAATATCAACGAAATAGGCAAAACACAAAACATATTACATGGATATTAAAAAAATATAACAGTTTATAAAATAACCAGCGACTAGAGACATGGATTTACATAGATTTACCCCAGAAACACAAAATGAATGATTTAAAACAAATTAAGAAACAAACAAGAGATACCAATAAATGAATTGAATGGAATTGAATCTATAATTGAATTGAATCTAATTGAGTTGAATTGAATAGGTAAAATACCATCGATGATATTCAATTTCTTCACATTTTATTTTAATTAATCAACTTATGTTTCAAACTGTAGTATATAAGTACGAAATCGAGATCAAAATCTGTTTAAACTAAATGCTCCCGTAATCACCGGGAGCAATTTAAACAAATCTGTATTCAGTGAAGACAGAATTCCTAAGACTAAGAGAGCTATAGGCTATATCTAACCTATGAATATAGTCAGCAGCTAGAATACGTTGCGTAACACGCTTTCATTTTTTAAGTTGTAATTCGTTAATAATGGAAACGTGACGAAGAAAAAAACCTTGCTATATATTAAAGGTATACAGGTCCAAATGTAGCTCAAAAATTATGAGTTCGCTTCTCATTTAAAATTCCCGCAAGACATTAATTGTTCTGCTCTTTTTTGCATATTTTTTTCTCCAAGCCAGGGGCAGATCTAGGGGGGGGGGGGGGGTGAGGCGGTTTACCCCCCCCCCCCCTTGGGCAGCCAAGTGAAAAGAAGGGGGACTGAAAAACTCGGGGGGAGAAGAAAAAAAAGAGGAAAGAGGCGCGATTTTTGGAAAATCTTGGATCCGCCACTTGGTCAACCCCCCCCCTCCCCCCTTGGCAAAAAAGCTAGATCCGCCCCTGCTAGCTAGAATATCAAATTGAGTTATCCAAAACTATAGTGATACCAAAAATGAATTTGATGTTAATGTACCACCGGTGCACCTTCTATAAAGGGACACTATTCACAAGAAAGGTCTAGCGCCAGCTACTGTTGAAGATGTGCGTTGTCCAGAACAACCGGTACACAAAAGTGTCAGCTGTGTGAAAAGTAAACGCAGTGTTCAACTTCATGTTTTAGTTTTAAATCGTTATAAAGGTAAATTTCAATTAAAGAATACATTGGAAACTATCGCACAGTAAGTACAGATATATTTTTGCATCAATTTTTCGAATATTAAGTTACAAAACTGTGTGCAAATGTTGAACTAGAGGAGAACAGTGATCAGCTGTCCCACACGTTCATATTTATGTCTTTTGTATGTGTTATAAAAAAAAGGGTTGGAAGAATGAAAGCGACGGAAGTGAAAATAAGAAAAAGAAAGTGTTTCATACATTTGACCGGACTAATGTTAGATCAAAATTTGTTAAATAGATCTGGACTATTTTTTGGTGTCTTCTTAAGTTACTCTTGACTTGTCATGACTTGTTGATTTTTTTTAAATACAGCGTTTCACCGTTTGTCTTTCAATTTGTAATATTTACGCTTAGGTCTAATTTGTTCTAGATTAGGTCTAGTTACAACATGGAAAGTACTTTGGATAATGGATATTTAATTATTTTGAATCTTCATTGAAATAATTAGCTTATTTGTGCATATAGATCTATGACATTCATGCCAAGCTGTCACTCTTTGTTCGATGTACGTGTAACCTACCCCAAATTCTCTTTGAATTCAACTTAAGGTTTGTAAGGGATTTTCAAATTTGTTATTTTGTGTTTTGTTGTTGTTGCAATACTTTAAAAAGGCAAATGTTTTGTATGTCTATTAAAATACAAGGATATATTAATTTTGTCAATTCTTTTATATATATTTCAATCATAAAATAACAAACCTACATGTAGGTCTACTCACATACATCACATGTAGTTCTAGAATGTATTTATTATGATACTTTGATGAATGATAATTCATATCTCTTTCCAGCTTTCCATATTATTTAATGTCCTGCTGATACCTGTCATCACCGCCATGACTACCATGACAAGTACAATGAAGTCTCCCCGTGATACCTCAGCTGCCATAGATGCTACCAATGAGTACGGCCCACCAGTAGATTATTCCTTTAAAAGGCTCACATCATTTCTTGGTAAGTTTGAAGTAGTTCAGTGTTGATGTCATTTTTTTAAACAAAGTGGTACACCAATTTATTCAACAGTGCCAAAGGTGGTTCAATGTACTCAATTTAAATTTTAAGATATTCAAATTTCCTGATCCCTTAATTAATGTATTCAAATCCAAACTTAAAAGGTAGCTTTTACATAATCATCAATACCTTCGCTCATTCATTTAACTCAAGTTAATTATTATTTATAAATTTGTTTTTATATGTAATAGTTTGCAATGTAAATTAAACATCTATTTATTACAAGCATGGGTTTTTGCTATAAGTTCATGACTTTTTATAATCCTGCATATTAACATGCATTTGTTTGTAGTCTAATTTTATTCTGTATTTCTGCTACTGTTCTTGTTGATTTTCTTCTTCTAATGTTTATTATGTGATTAATGTATTGAATAATTACCATGTATATCGTGTACATTGTTTAGTTATATTTTCTATAAAAATGCTTCTTCTTAAAATTCTAAACCGGTTTTTCAATTGTAAATTTTGATTTAAAGGAACACTGTTCGTGTCAAGATAACTTAGACTTAATTGTGTGCCCAATTAAAAACTATAAATGAATATAAAAAAATATAAAAAACAGGAATTTTTTTTTTTTTTAAAGGAAAATGTAAAAATAAAAGAGAATATAAGTGTTGTCAATTTGAAGAAAAAATTAGCCTTTTAGAAAACTCCTGTTATGGATATTTATTGTTTGATTTTATGGTTTATTTTACCTGACTGCTAAGAAGGCATGTGTATGCTTTTAATTAAGAATACCTCGAGAGGAATAGCTTTAAGTCCTCTCTTGAGGGAATAGGTAACGGGCCTAACCAAAGGGCACTGGCAAATCCACTAGCCATCTCAACCTTTGTCCTTTTGTGCAGATGTTCCGGATGAAGTACCGAGGAAAGGACAGAAAAAGAAGGATTGCAAGAACCAAAATGGAAAGTACAACAGCACCACACTTAAGTTTAGCAACAACACTATCACAGACTTTGAGGGATTTGAGAGTGCCGTTGAAATGCTGCTGGAGAATCCTTCTGAACTGTCTTACCTCGATCTCTCCATCAATTACATAATGAAGCTGGATGAGGTAAGTGTTGACATCACTGTTCAGATTTGTTTGGGGGTGTTACATTGAAGGGTGTATGCTGTCTTTCTTTACAGTGTGAATTAGTAGAAAGGAACACCTACAGAATACCCCATTACACAAGTAAGACCCTGACCTAAGGGCCTAACCCTAAACCTAACGCTCATCCCCAACCCAATCCTAACCAATAATTTAACTTTAATCTTTGAACTCCAACTCTGATATGCCTGGTGGGATATTCTGCGGTTAAGCCATCAAATAGATGAATTGATCTTTACATAAAACATACAATATGTACATGGTAGGCTATAACTCCATCTGATTAGACACTACTCCAGTACTTCTTTATGAACGATCAACTTCTTGGGGTCTGCTAAGCTGATGGGGAAACTAGATATTTGCACTGTAAGTTTATATACTTGCATTATATTAGATTGACCCATATATATATGCTTCTTTTGTTCCTGTCCCTGTTTTCTTGAAAATGAGATCTTGATATTGTCTTTGGGTGCCCTTTCTTTTTTCTCTTTCAAGGCTATTCTGAAATATCCCAATATCAAGATGCTCTATCTCCATGGGAACAGGATAGATAAATTGGAAGAGATTGACAAGCTAGGTGCCTTCCCAAACCTGATCAGCCTGACGGTTCACGGGAATCCGATCGAAGACCAGGCGGGGTTCCGTTCATACATCCTCTCCCATCTACCAAAACTCAAGAATTTGAACTTTAGTGGAGTCACCAAAGCAGACCTGAAGAATGCAACGACGTGGAAAACCATGTACGGAAACAAGAAGAAGAAGAGGAGACGAAAGGAGGAGGATTAGAGGCACCAGGATTGCAGAGATTTTTTAAATATTGACCTTGTAGCACCATGTGAAGAACTGTTTATAGACAATCTCAAATGGACGACTTCTACCTGTAAAATAACGTATCTGCATTGAAAATCATTCACAGAAACAAAGAGGAAAGGAAAGGATGATGAATTACAGCATTTGAATTTTTATTTCTTCTTTTGTTTTTAAATTCATCATGTAGCCCTTAATGAAGAAAGGGTTAACGACAGTCCTGACTGAAACATCTTGTAAGATTATAGTGTATGAGACGATGCATGGTCCTATTATAGCTTGGATGAGACAAAAGATTATTGAGGAAACTTAATCTTTCAATGGCAGTCATGTTTCTTATTCCATGGTGCTTAGGCAATGAATGAAACACAAAATGGCCAATTAATTTTGACTCGCCCTTGTAAATCATACGTAATTGTTACATGAGTAACATATAAGAATCAATTTGAGAGTCTGAATACCTGAAAAGACCTGAAAGGAACCAAATTCCTGTACATACATTCACAGGTTTTCAAAGATTGAATGTACATCCAAAAGATCTTTAATTTGCTTTATGAAATATATACATGTATAGTGTGTACTTAATAATTTCTCTTCAATATATCTAGTATAAAGGGTCAACTAAAGCAATACTGTTTTGTACATTATTATGAGTGTTTTGAAAGTATACATACAAGGTACGGGGAATTTACATGTATATGCAACCTTTGTATATGTCAGTTCTTTATGCATTTGGAATTGTACCACCGTGGAAGGATTATTCCGTCCTAGCAACTTGGCTGACGTGCCTATAAATAAGAACTTATTTTTTATACAGCAATAGCAACAAAGTGATGAATATGAATTAATTGTTAGTTTACCGGTATATCAATTCCACTTAGTGTATAGAGCATGTTACAAATGAACCAGTTTTTGTTCGCACTCTGGAACTGAAAATTTGTATAGCTCTGGCAGCCATTATCAGATCCCAGTTCATTGCACAGAATATATTCTACGCAGGTATCCATCTTCTACACCTGGGTAGCGAGTGATAACTGTAGATGAAGTGCCTTGTCTGAGGATACAGCAATAAACCAGTATTCAAATTATCAGCCTCTTGGTCGAAAGTTAAAAAAAGATAACACCATACAGGAAAACTATATGTGGGGTTTAAATTTTCAACCATTTGCAGATCAACAGAATCCACTGGTTTCTTTAATAATTTGGTTTCAAGCATGCACTATATGTAAAGCATACATTGAACATCATCCCATTTTAACACTGTAACACAATTCCATGATTTGGTGTATTTTCAATTTGTTTTCTAGAGTTTTGATATATACAGGTATCATGTATGAATTAATCTTGTTTCTGTTTTCGTTTTGCACATTATGTTTTGCATATTTTGTATACGCACGCCAATGTAACTTGTCAGTTTGTATAATTTTATCAACTGTCCCGTTTTTGTTTTGATTAAATGCACTCGAGTTTGCATTGTTGAAATTATAGGAGCATATTCAAGTTTTATCACAAATATATCATAGATACTTGTGCATATCACATCCGATATCAAATTCATATCAGAAGAAAAATAATCAAGCGCAGTTTACTTCACTATATACCATAACTAGTTGCTCAAGACATTTATACTTGCATGATTCTTTTTGTATTCTTTGCTTAAAGCTATCTAAAGTTCAATTTATTATCAGTTGAACACTATATTCATTATTGCCAGTTATGTAGTTTTCATATAGCCTGAAATTCCATATCTTGCTGTCATTAAACAATTCCCTTCAGTCACTGAAAAATGTCCGACTAACAACATCGTTTGACATGCATACCAATTATATATTTTGTTTACCATTTACTTGTAGTGCCATGTTTTATTTTTACATGTTGTATGATTATGTTATTGAACACATAAAGCGTGTCCACTTATTGATTTTTTGTTTTTGCAGAAAGTATATTTCACAATGAGGGTACTGAAGGCATGACACATTTTTAGATTATTTTTTTTTTGAGGGGGGGGGGGGGGGGTACGAGGAGGGGCTGGGAAGTTACAGTCTACTCCAAAATGATCGAACACACTTGAGAATATTATTTCAATTTTGACCTGTGAATTATATCAATCCTGTGGTTTCCCATTAAACAGGTAAACACAAAACTTACATTATCCTCAAATTCCATTGTAACTTATCGTAAAGCCTGTATATTCTGTAAAGATAATCTAGAGTTCTGGTAATTGAGGAAATAGATATTAAAAACTTACACAAGAAAGTCACTCACAAGAGTAAATGTTGTTTTCTCAATGGTTTAACCAGTGCATGACCTGTATTTCACAATACCAAAATTACAGTCAAGTTTGTCAGTTAATGAAATTTCAAGCAAGTTTTCATTACTTGGTTTTTATTTGACTGATAATGTTTAATAAAAATATTTTAAAAAATCATAATTTATTTCAGAGTTAGTTTCTCTTCAAACGAAACCCACTACCAAAACTCAAGATTAGCTTGAACAGGCATGATTCACACATTGTACTCAATTATGACCAAGACCGATTGTTGCATTTATAATAAATGTATTTATTACAGTACAAATAGCATTCAACATTTCATGACTTTCTTTCTTTCAGAAAAAAAAGGAAAACAAAAATGTCATGATTATCAATTGTATACATTTCTTCACATTACAATATTTCATTTTTTTCTTCACTGGGCACTGGATGATATATACGCCTGATATAAAAGAGGGGCTGAATCTTTTTTCCATAAACATTCAATTTTCCATTCATTTTATGAAGACCAGCATGCAACCTCTGAACACTGAGAAAGCAGGAACATTCTTTTGAAAAACAAATATTTTTTGTTGCTATATAAACTTTACATTCTGAACAGTTACATTACAAGTATATTTACTTGTCTCCACAACAATTTGTTTATTTTGTTTTCAACATATTGTACATGTTTCCAGATCACACTGGAATGTTAAGTAACCCTCGGCCAAACTGTTACTTTGAAAAGGCAATCAAACTAATAGTGCAATACACAAGGCAAAATAACTGCAATGCAAAATAGATCTTGGTAACAACATATACATATTGCTTTAATTGAAAATAAAATACATTGACATTGTCTCAAAAATACTATCCTTTACCCTCATCATTCCTTCCATCGGGGGGAGGGGGGGTTAAAGTTTCCTTCAGGCCTCCAGAATAAACAGCTAGTGGCATACTCTGCTATTTTGTACAAAACACAATACACATTGAACAAAAATTCAAATAATTACTCTTTCTTTCCAGAATATTTCATCTAAAAAAAAAAATTCATCTAAACAAAATTACTACATAAATCACATTAAACCTTCAGAGCTCTGATGAAAGGCAGGCCACCATTGAAAATTTGCCACCCGAAAAATGAAAGAGATGCGTACAGCATGTTGTACATGTTTATCCATTAGAAATTGAGGAGAATGCATCGGTACCTGCGCATGAAACTATTTTTGTAGCCTGCAGCATTGCCCCTTTGTGACTCTTTCACACATACAGTTGTAGGTTTGTTATTTGGTTGCTATGATACGTTTCCAGGTTGTTATCAAACTCTTGTCTGAACAGGGCTACATAGAACAAACTACAAAGATGGTTTTAATGTTGTTGCCAGTTCCTTGAAATAATCAAAGTAGATCCAAGCATTACAACAACAACCCCCAAAACACAAAACAAAACAAAAGGATAAAACAACAAAGAAATAAACACAAAACCAATGCCAAACAAAATTGTTTTAAGAAAACTGAGAAAAGCATTCTAAAAAGGAGTAATATTAAGATCAAAGCATATATCATACCGAGGGGTAGTTTTGCCATACAGAGCTCTTGTACAAGCCTAGAAATAGCAAAAATCCAATGATGGAAGTGGAAGTAAATTCCAAGGACTGACATTTTTTTCTCTCGTCTAGACAGAAATTACAATGTCTTTATTGCAAATGCGCAGAAGGGAGAAAAGATACCATAAAGTAATACAAGTAAAATAAATGGACAACAAAGTATAACAACAATCTCCAATATTAGATATATAATTCTTTATTCTTGGAACTCCTTTAGAATAGTCCCTAAGAATGACAGCTAATTTCTATCAAATATGGGTACAGTTTGAAATAAAGATTAAACATAAAATGTAAGATATGCCAGTAAACTTGAAGTTAAATCTTAATACTACTATACTATTTATATATCCAACTTAGTTGGTGAGAGAGAGAAAAAAAAAAGGAAATGGTTACATGCAATATAACAATTATGAGGAAGCAAGTCAATTGAACTTATGCTTGGCAAGGAACTATAGTAAATATGTACGTATTGTGACTAATTTAGAATTGATATGACCAAAGAGTAATACCTGCCACAAGCAAGGTTGATCTCCGTCCTGTCTCGCCTAATAGAGTACCGAAGTGCTAACGTCATATTCGCTCATTGTCCAGGTTACTGGTTCTAAACGATAGAGCCTGCACATGAGGTTCACCGCAAATGTATTTAAAGATAAACTTGAGTTTGGGTTAATATAGAAAATAAATTCTCACAGAATAAAATGAAATTTACACTGAATGTTCAAGATTACAAATGACATGTGCCAACCAATTTTTGTAGAAAATGTATAGATGCTGAGTAATGAGCATAGAAAGATAAGGAAACCCGGGTAAGTAGGCCCGACACCATGTGCTTAACACAGGTCACTATGTGCATATGGGAGTTGAGGTTTTTATCAAAAATGATGCCCAGTAAGTTTTTGTGCGTTTTTTTTATTTCACTGGTTCAAACAACCGATTTCCTGCAGGATAAACAATCCAGAATTAATCATAGCAATTTTCTCCAAAAATATTTTTTTCCATACCAGAGCTCAAGATTAGCTTTAAGCAATTGAGTGCTTGGCACTGGTGTGATCATCACGCCATTGTTTAGCACAAAATTGTTTGGAACCAGCAACCTTGACAACTTGGTCAGTGCGACCTCACACTTCAGTCTGTTGTCTGGAGTTAGGTGTGTGACCCCTAAAACAAGTCAATTTGATTCCATCTGAGGGAGTGTAATCATTATCTATAGTATGCACAGAAAATGACCGAAACCAAGAATGTTATGTGGTGGTTATTTTACCCGACTGCTAAGAAAGCATGAATGCTTGTTAGTAAGCAACCAGACGGCCTACGGCTTTAGGTCCTCTCCGAGGGACCTGGTAATGAGGATTAATGCCTTACCAAAGGGCACTAGCGCATTGACTTAGTTTCGAACCCGGGTCACCGGATTATGAAACAGGGCTCAACACTAGCTTTCTCTGTCCGGAACTTAAGTTTTAGAGTCCATTACAAACACCATTTTATAAATAGAAATAAATTTTCTTTACAGAAGGATTAGTTGAATTCTTGGCGTTTTCAGATTACACAATAAATTGTGACATCTATGACAAGGCTACCACATTCAAACCTGCTTCAGTGACTACCTGTATAGAAAGAACATACATTTTGTTTCTTTTGTGAAGTGTTACAGGAAAATGTGTCTATAAAGACCACTTGCCTATAAAGACACTTTAGTTTCCATTGAAGGGTCTTTATCATAGGATTCATAATTCATCTCTCTATATATGCTTTCTGAGATTTATAAATATTTTTTACTGTAATCAGAATCGATGCATTTGACAATTTCATTGCCGTGATAATTTTTTAACAAACAAGTCACAGTTTTTGCTTGGCGAGACAAAAGCAGTGTCGGTTGTTTACAACAGGTTATCTAGGGACTCTGTAGGGAGATAATAAATTTGGTTCTATCTTACCCCCACACATAGCCTCTTCTTGCTGATCGCCATTCAATTCAACAGAAAATTTCTGCTGCTTTGTCCCAGGGTAAATATAGCTGGGGAATTATCTGACCCATGGGTATCTGATTTTGGAGTTCCTCAAGGGTCAGTTCTCGGACCGATCCTTTTTAGTTTATATATCACCCCAATATCTGATATTATTAATAAATATGGTTTACAGTATATTTGCTATGCTGATGATATTCAGTTATTTACTTCTTTTGACCCACGCTCTTTGGAAAACATTAACGAAACACTCCATCAAATCTCACTGTGCATTGCAGAGATCAGCACTTGGATGTCGTCGAACTATCTCCAACTTAATAATAACAAAACTGAATTCATGGCCTTCTGTTCTTCTGCTCACCATCTGCAATATATATCAGATGTACAGCTTAAAGTAAATAATCAATTCATTCCTCTCTCTCCTAAAATTACGGATCTTGGTGTATGTATCGATAATATGTTCAAATTGACCTCTCATGTAAACCAAGGGTAACCCGACACATGCTCCGCCGACGATTGCTCCGCCGACATTTACTCCGCAAAACGCGACAATTGCTCCGCGACATTTGCTCCGCGACATTTGCTCCGACGTCAAATGCTCCGCCGACAGTTGCTCCGCCGACAGTTGCTCCGCCGACAGTTGCTCCGCCGACAATTGCTCCACCGACAGATGCTCCGCCGACAATTGCTCCGCCGACAATTGCTCCGCCGACAATTGCTCCGCCGTCAATTGCTCCGCAAAACGCGACAATCGCTCCGCCGACATTTGCTCTGCCGACATTTGCTCCGCCTGAAGCGACACTTGCTCCGCCGACATTTGCTCCGCCGACAATTGCTCCGCCTTAAGCGACAATTGCTCCGCCGACATTTGCTCCGCCTGAAGCGACAATTGCTCCGCCGACATTTGCTCCGCCGACAATTGCTCCGCCTGAAGCGACAATTGCTCCGCCGACATTTGCTCCGCCGACATTTGCTCCACCGACATTTGCTCCGCCGACAATTGCTCCGCCGACAATTGCTCCGCCTGAAGCGACAATTGCTCCGCGACATTTGCTCCGACGTCAAATGCTCCGCCGACAGTTGCTCCGCCGACAGTTGCTCCGCCGACAGTTGCTCCGCCGACAATTGCTCCACCGACAGATGCTCCGCCGACAATTGCTCCGCCGACAATTGCTCCGCCGACAATTGCTCCGCCGTCAATTGCTCCGCAAAACGCGACAATCGCTCCGCCGACATTTGCTCTGCCGACATTTGCTCCGCCTGAAGCGACACTTGCTCCGCCGACATTTGCTCCGCCGACAATTGCTCCGCCTTAAGCGACAATTGCTCCGCCGACATTTGCTCCGCCGACAATTGCTCCGCCTGAAGCGACAATTGCTCCGCCGACATTTGCTCCGCCGACAATTGCTCCGCCTGAAGCGACAATTGCTCCGCCGACATTTGCTCCGCCGACATTTGCTCCGCCGACGTTTGCTCCGACGACATTTGCTCCGCCCAAAAAGTGTCCCATAAACTACAAATGCTACTAGTAATACGACAAATGCTTCGCCGACAATATTTTCTTTACACCTCTTTTTTTCGTTTCTTTTTTTCTTCTTCATTTTCTGAATGCATTTCTTGAAATAATGTAGATGAAATGAAATGAATGAATGTTGATGAAGTGGGAGGAAAAAGGAGTTACCTAAAAGTCATTTCGAATATACTGAAATAACTTTCCATCTATCACTGTACGTCCCATATAATGTATACTAAACACTCATTACATGTCGTGGGAAGTTTTTTTTAAAAAGTAGAGCAGCAAGCCACATTCCCCAATACGCGCATACCTCCTAGTTAATTTCAAGTAGCTCATCAATATGTAATACCTGAAATTACCTCGATCAATGCATCTTACTAGGTAAAGCATTATACAATGTAATAGGTCATCATGGAAGTTTAGAAAATAAGTAAGGGGGATTTACCAAGTGTTGATCTTTTTAAGAGTTTTATAAAGAAACAAAAAGATATTGAATATTTCTCAGCGAAAAAAAGGAACAAGCTTGTTTCGCATTTTAAGAAATGGCGATTTGACTTATGATACTCATGTTGATTTAACTTTTATTCCTGTGCCCCCTCACTCCCCTTTATGCACTGGAGTTCAAACTATGATTTATATGTGTACAGTGTATTTTTTTTTACTATAATGTTTTTTTTTTATAACTTTCTTGTCCTTTCATTATTGTTAGTTGTTCTTATAGATATTGTTTTTTGTTTTTGTCTAATTATTACCAATGACTTGTAAATATGTAATTTTTATATGATTGAAAATTTAATAAACACACAAATATAAAAAAAAAGTTTAGAAAATAAGGGCACTTATATACGTAAGGAAGAGAACCCATTCAGACGGGAAAATGAGATGGCAGCCTTTCTGCTTATTCACATTTATACAAATCATTTTGTTGCAGTTTGATGTTAGTTCTTCATGATAAGCCAATTGCTCTTCTTCCGGTGGCTTCGTGAGTCCCTTAAATTATTTAGTGAAAACAAAGTACTCGAATGAAACGGAGTGTTTTGCACACTAACATATATATATTAAAGCTACATACACTTAACCAAAGGAAAGAAACCTTTAGAAAATGGACTGGATATTATTGAAAATATTATTCTAAACAAGAATGTACTACATGATTGTATTACTTTACGTTTCAATTTCACGAGAGAAATAGAACTCGAGAGGGGGAGCAGAGAAGAAGTGATGGAAATGAAAGAAGACTAATAGCATGAGAGGAAAGAAAAGAGCAAAGAAGACAAGAAAACGGTGTAAACAGGAAAAGGAGGAGCATGGGAGAGAGAGAAAGAGAGAGAGAGAGATAGCCTTGAGCTTTGGATCAGCTAATGAGTAATACATGAAACAGATTTTGAGCGGAGTAATTATCTTTCGCCGGAGAACTTGCGTAAGGAGCTATAATTATATTTTTTATTTTTTTAAATCAAACATTATGGGGAATAGCAAAAAACGGTTGTCTTTTTTGCTCTTTTCTTTCCTCTCATGTTATTAGTCTTCTTTCATTGAGGTAATTTCAGGTCTTACATATTGATGAGCTGTTTGAAATTAACTAGGAGGTATGCGCGTATTGGGGAATGTGGCTTGCTGCTCTACTTTAAAAAAAAAAAAAAACTTCCCATGACATGTAATGAGTGTTTAGTGTACATTATGTGGGACGTACAGTGATAGATGGAAAGTTATTTCAGTATATTCGAAATGACTTTTAGGCAACTGCTTTTTCCTCCCACATTATCAACATTCATTCATTTCATTTCATTTACATAATGTCATGAAATGCATTCAAAAAATGAAGAAAAAAAGAAAGAAACAAAAACAACCCGTGAAAAAAAAATATTGTCGGCGAAGCATTTGTCGTAGTACTAGTAGCATTTGTATTTAATGGGACACTTTTTGGGCGGAGCAAATGTCGTCGGAGCAAATGTCACCGGAGCAAGTGTCGCTTCATGCGGAGCAAATGTCGTCGGAGCAATTGTCGGCGGAGCAAATGTCACCGGAGCAATTGTCGCTTCAGGCGGAGCAATTGTCGGCGGAGCAATTGTCGGCGGAGCAAATGTCGTCGGAGCAATTGTCGGCGGAGCATATGTCACCGGAGCAATTGTCGCTTCAGGCGGAGCAATTGTCGGCGGAGCAATTGACGGCGGAGCAAATGTCGGCGGAGCAAATGTCGGCGGAGCAAATGTCGGCGGAGCAAGTGTCGCTTCAGGCGGAGCAAATGTCGGCGGAGCAAATGTCGGCGGAGCAATTGTCGCGTTTTGCGGAGCAATTGACGGCGGAGCAATTGTCGGCGGAGCAATTGTCGGAGGAGCAATTGTCGGCGGAGCATCTGTCGGCGGAGCAATTGTCGGCGGAGCAACTGTCGGCGGAGCAACTGTCGGCGGAGCACCTGTCGGCGGAGCATTTGACGTCGGAGCAAATGTCGCGGAGCAAATGTCGCGGAGCAATTGTCGCGTTTTGCGGAGTAAATGTCGGCGGAGCAATCGTCGGCGGAGCATGTGTCATGGAACCAAACCAAGTAGTCCGTAATAGTAATTTTCATCTCCGCAATTTATGGAGGATTCGCAGATTTATTGATTTAAAGACATGTCACCATGCTGTCCGAGCTCTTATTATTTCTAGATTGGATTACTGCAATAGTCTTTATACTGTTTTATCTGCTAAAGATAGAAGGAAACTTGAAACTGTCCAGAATCGTGCCGCTAGATTAATTTTTGGCCTTGGGTCAAGAACTCATACTTCACCTTTACTTAAGGAGCTCCACTGGTTACCTCTTCACCAACGTGTTCTGTTTAAATTTTGTTTGTATGCTTTTAAAATACTCAATCATCTGGCACCTGAATATCTTAATGACACCCTCCAAATATATACACCAACTCGTAATCTTCGTTCAGCAACCGACACATGTAAACTTAACATTCCCAAATCTAGACTCTCAGTAGCTGAAAAACGCTTTGCAGTAGCTGCATCAAAGACATGGAACAGCATCCCTCTTTCCATAAGGAAAATTACCTGTCTTGCCACCTTCAAAAGATCACTCAAAACTCACCTTTTCCCCCAATGATCTATGTGATATACTTCCTGTACTGTACTTTCTTGTCCTCTTTACATATATTTGTATTTGTAAGCGCTATGGTACTTATTGTTTTTAGCGTTCCTAAATATTCGATATTATTATTATTATTATTATTATTATTATTAAAATGACCACCCGCTTCACATCAGTCTTCAATCAGCCCAAGAACTCTCTAAATGAGTGCAATCTTTCCTACATAATATGTACTTGAAAAGTTTGGTTTTCAGATTTATATAGTAAGCTTTAATCAATGCTAAGTTGTTTTTATGAGTTTAATAATTAAACCTATGCCTAGATGAAACTTGATCCCTCTGGTTATGTGACATGGTCGGACATGATAAACATGACGAGCGCCCTCTACATATAGGAACATATAGGAACATATAGGAAACCTTTGCAATAAAGATGGCCAAAATGAATCAGGCGGCTTTCTGCCTACATAGAGGTCGGATACACGAAACATAGGTAACCTTTGTAATAAAGATGGCTATATTTAATCAGTTGATTTTCTGCCTACATAGAAGTAGGCTGGCAACAGAAGTTAAGACATGTACACGTGTCTGATATGATTACGCACACTGACAGCATCGTATCCATCTCAATTTCCTGCTCAACAGTGACTTTCTTTCATAACAGGTAAGTAAAACTGCATCACTAGAAGTCTTCTCTCCTTAGTTTCCATGGTTACTCCACTTGATTTAATACACACTTTTTCTCTTTTCAAGAGTCTTTTTTTTTTAATCCTGCGCACTCAGGCACAATCCACCTCAGTTCTGTGGCATTCCAAACTGGACGACCAGATTCTCTTTATGCGTGACTTGGATGTCCTGCGAAGCCTTCCATGCGTCAGCTGCGGTCTGTGTGATCTGAGAAACAGAGAAAGACAAAAAATCTATATTGGAAAAGTTTCAAGTCTGATGTGATCAGAAGAAAGAGCTTGTTTGCCATTAATGACAGTATGACAGCATATCTGATGGTTTTATACATATTGTATATATGCCATTCATTCTTTCATATAAAGATCCATCTTTTCTTGAAATAATAACACATTCCTTATTTTTCTTATCTTTTCATGTTCCTCCTCCCCCTACTTCATTTCTATCCTCTCCTACTTATTATTCTTTATCTTCTTCTTTTCTTCTTCTCTTCTCCCTCTTCTCCTTCTTGTTCATCTGTCTGTCTGTCTATCTTAATGCTATTTCCCGTTCATGCATGTACCCAGTCTGTCACTGTTTGTCATATGTAAATTGATTTGATTCTAAAACAAGAAATATTAATCTTGACACCCTATTTAGAATATGGAGTAATAATTAGGACATCTAAAGCAAGAAATACAAACTGGTGAAATAAAAACCCTTATTATACAAAGCTGGAGTCGAACAGTTAATATTTGCACAAAAATGGACTTCTACATCAAATTTGAATATTTTCATAATTCCCTGCCGATTATTAAAAAAGGAGCTGCATCCCCTCACCAGATTGATGTCGTCAACTGAGACAGGTTCCTCCGAAAGCACTGAGTATGGCATGGAGACCCCCTTGGGAAGTCTTAAGAAGCTTGAGAGGGGCTTCTTAGGACCCGTCACCACCACGGCAACTCTTGAGCTAAGGGGTACACAGAATGTGATAGGGTTAAAAAGATGAGGGGAAAAGGGAGTCATATGAGAAAAAGATGATTGTGTTAAACATACATAGGGCAGTACAAGATATGGAAGTATAGCAATCAAAGAGAAAGAGATAGAGAGAGAAAGAGGGAGAGAAAGAGAAAGAGAGAGAAAAAAAGAGAAAGAGAAAGAGAAAGAGAGAGAGAGAGAGAGAGAGAGAGAAAGAGACAGAGAGAAAGAGAAAGAGAAAGAGAAAGAGAAAGAGAAAGAGAAAGAGAGAGAGAATAATACAGAGGGAGAGAGAGAGAGAGAAATAAGAAAAGAAACACAAAGAGAGAAAGTTCAGTGAATTTTTATGTATGATAGGAGATTTTGTCCTTTTCAAAAGAGAGAAATACAGAGAGGGGGAAAGAGAGAGAGAGAGGGAAAGAGAGAGAGAGAGGGGGGAAAGAGAGAGAGAGGGAAAGAGAGAGAGAGAGAGGGAAAGAAAGAGAGAGAGAGAGATAGAGAGAGATAGAGAGAGAGATAGATAGAGAGAGAGAGAGAGAGAGAGAGGGAGAGGATGGCTGCAGGAAGTGAAACAAGAAGCACTTAATCATTTTTTCTTAGAACATTCAATCTGGGTATAAAATCAAACTCAGTATCATAGTATTATCATTGTGGTATTATTGCCATAATACTCTTCTTCCTTGGTATATTTGATTTTCTTCTTTGCATCTATAAGGAAATGGTTTAAAAAAATGATCTTAAAAGCGTAGGTTAGGATAAGAATCTGGGAAGTTGACTTGCTAAATATACATACATGTACATAGATTGTAATTACAGAGTAATAATTCTACCAATAATAATATTATTACATTGTGGGTTCTTGTATAGCGCTCATATCTGTCAGACTTGACATTCCTGACACTCCACACTAATAGTACCCCAGCTTTAGCAGGGCTACCATTATATCGCTCTAGCATATTAAGGAATTCATTCCTGCCAGGCGCCCATTTGCATGTACCTCACCTGGGTCGAATGTGCCATATGTAGGATAATGCCTTGCCTACAGACATTAGTGCTGTGGCAGGGTTTAGAACCCTGTAGCCTGTGGTTCACAGTCCGGTGACTTATCCACAAGACCACAAAACCTCTACATAAGTAAGCTTTTCATATCATAAATAAAATTCAATAAGGCATACCTGTATGTTCTTGCCCTATCCATGTATTCATGTTGCTCTAATGCTTGAGAGTCTATGGCAGATACATCTATTACATTTCTGCAAAGAGAAGAGAAAGAACAATAATACAGTGATGCTTCCATACAGTACACATTGAGTTGAACTCAAACTACATCTTATAACATGCAGTTTCAGTACAGTATACAGAATTTCTGTTGTAATGCTTGATGACAGTTCTGAAAATACTACCAAGTTATGAAACTGACATATGGGTTGACTGGCGTGGTTTATTTCCTTGTTTCAGCCAACATCATATAGTATCCTCTAACAGTCAATACATAATCGTTTTGAAAATCAGTATGGTGTTCTTAAGATAGCAGTAAAGTATCTAGCTGTGCTACATCCATTTTTACTAGAGCCCTTTTGCAAACACGATGGGAGAATTACGGCGATACAGCTCTTGCATCACCAGCAGCACCAGCTACATAACAAAAATCTCATATACCTTGCAGTTCAGCATAAAAAACTTTACATGTTCATAATCTTTTTACTTTAAAATGTGAAGAAAAAACAGGCTACATGTATTTCTCAACAATTATTTTGCCTTTAGCATGTCACCTCACACTCACCGACTAGGCGACTACTGATTTACATTTATGAAAAGAATTGTGGTTACATGTAGTAAAGAGGCCCGGCCCCCCCCCCCCCCCTCAGTGTTATTTAGAGTACGCGTATGCATGTTCCCTCCTTTTGAAAACACCCCCTAAGTCCGGTGTGTAAAGTCAATACGGGCCGGATTTTTGTGTACTACGAGCCAGACTTTGTTGCGTGAAAAGTATCCCTTTACCGGACATTTTGGGAACACGCATGCTGTCCCTCCGACCCCGGAGTGGGGGGGGGGGGGCTGGGTATAGAGGGAAGAAATGTTTATACTTACGTAACGGCTCTCTGTAGCACCTTATTGAGCTCTGACTGTTGGTCCCCTATCTGTACCCCATTAGGGCTCTGAGAAAACTGATCGCTGCAAAGGGTGTAAGAGAAAATACATTACGGTCGGGTGGTTTCATGAATGCCAAAGTTTCTGATTTTCATTACAAGTATTCTGACATTTAGAGAAATTCCAAAGGCTTTGAAGGTCAATGGTTTTTGAAAGATTGAGAAAGAAGTGCTGCATGAGGATCTCACATCCACCATATCGACTGAATCAGAACAATTTGCTTCTCTTTTTTTATACAAAATATACGAAATCAACAAAATACACATTATTTCCATTTTTTCTAAAACTGCTCTCACATATAGATTTATATTAAAGTTCCCTGCAACTACACTTTTATGATTTAAATGACCTACAGGTAACAAGATTGTTATAGAGTTACAATATCATTCTCTATGAACATCTACCAATGTTTCATTCTTCATGAATGAGGTTCTTATTAAATTATTTACAGGAAAACTTTTAAACCACAATTAAAAAGATTTTGCATCTTCAGATGATGCAATTTGAAGGTGCTGTCATGCTGTGGGCTTTATTTACACAAAGACGTACCCAGCCATTTACACTTCAAAGGTAACAAGACAAGTGCAAGGCTAATTTTACAATATATTTTATATATTATCAACAAAATGGGAAAAAACCTGAATCTCACAAAAAAGAAGGGTATCAACCACCAAGGAAGTAAATGAAAACTACAATAACTAACAAAATACATACAATATAAGTTACTAATCCACAAACATGATACTCTGACAAACATTGCATGGTATTGAATTTCACAAGACACAAGACATAAATAATATGATTTCTTCAGATATCGAGTAGATTCCTCCTAAAGTGTATGCAGGTGTATTCAAGTTGTGCAGGTGTACATGTATATTCGAGAGAGGTTACAATGCTTGTATGCTTCTCGTTATAACACACATATTAGGGATACTACGTGCAGGGCTTTGTCCCACATACGGTAGTTCTATATTTTACCCTCACAAAATTGCATCTCATTTACAAGAAAAGATTTGCTATGTACAGTTGATTTTTGAGGAGTTATCCAAGTTATATCTGAAAAAAACCCTAATACATCCAGTTAATAGAAAGCCAGTATGTACCCCATCATGCCTTGTAATACAAATGCATACATACAGGTACATGTATAGCTTGTACATCATACATTGCAGGCAGTCTAATCTAGAAAGTGACATGCAATGACCTTTAACACCGAGACAAAACAAGCATGCAAGAAAAACAAATAAATAAATCAAATATCCAGACTTCATGAGATACCCACATACAATTGAGATTTGAGAAGCCCTTACACTTTACAATACATAACTTTTATCACTATTATTCTTGTGCTGGTGTTTCGCTTAGCATCTAACCATGGAAACTTAGATTAGATTGTCATACAGGTTACAGGTCTGCATAACCATTTTATACATAAAGTTATTGCTAAAATCATCTTTGGTGAATTATGTATCATCATTTCAATCATAAACAAATAAACAAGTACGGACCAAAAGTTGGAGGGCAACTTTTGATCTGTACTTGTTTTTTTTTGGCAACTTTTTTATTCAAATTTCAAATAGTCTTAAAGTGACTGGGGACATTGCCTTAGATTCTGAAACAAAATCCTGGATTTAGCTCATGCTGATATCATAATTATAAACCTTTAGGTCAGTCAGGAATCCCATGACTTTTACAAGCCAATTGCCTGTCTGATTATCAAGATATTTATGATTGGAAATCAAAATTTCAAATTTTTTGTTTTCCTAACGTTTTTATATAACACTACAGTCTATTGGGCAAATGATAAAAACCGGTCACTCAATTTTTTAAAACTTTTTTGAGGCACTTCATGATCATTTTGAAGCACAATTTGTTTAGGGCGTCAATATTACACCATATCACAGACACTGATAACACGTAGGGCCATGCATCTCAGATTTAACATTGTTAAACGATGCCTTAACTATGATGTCATTGCTGAATAGATTGTGCAGTAATTGCAAAAATAATAATAACAAAAAATTCTTTAAAAAAAAGGTCTATTTTTCCCTATAATTGATGAAAATGAGTAATGGTTCTTTGGGATCAAGAGTCATACTGTATATAGATGGTTCATGGCATATTTTTCTGTTCATGGATTATCCGCTACAGACATCTGAAATACTGTTGAAATGGCCTGGATGAGCTACTCCTGACATAGCAATAATCATGCAACAATCCATTTGATATCAAGAAAAGACGCTAGAACACAATTTGTTTCATTTACGTAAGCCAAGAAACTCAAGCCAGGCACCGAATCTAGACTATACCCAATACCTCATCACTCACTCACTTACCTCCCCCTGATTGGTCGATATCCTGCGTCTCTCTCCTCTATTAGAGGCGCATTAGAATCAGTGTCCTGCGTGAGGGAGGATATTATCAAAAACATGTTATATAACTATAAAAGGAAACTTGGGACTAACCTGTTCACAGGTCTGCTAGGCGTATTCCTCGCTGGATCTAATAAACGAGTTGTTTCACTCGGACCGTTTTCCTGAAAATGAAAAAAAAAATTGTAGTTTATGATGATATTCAATAAATCCATAAAGAGGCAATAAATCCAATCATTATTGGGTTTATAGAGCCTTTTGCTAGGAGATATAAAGCAATTTAACATGTGTGCTATGAAGAGTGATATACTGTACATGGTCCTCCTACTCAAACATCAAATTAATTCTTTGTACCAGATACATACAGTGTTTACATAAAGCAATTTTACATGTGTGCTATAGCTAGTGCTATACATGGTCCTCCTACTCAAACATCAAACATTTTTCAAACTGTTTCTTTATACCAGTAAACATACACTTAACTTACCTCACATGGGTCAAGAGAGACAGTGAAGATAAAATGCCTTTTTAAAATAAAGGCACAAATTCATGATCTATTGTAAAACTACAGTCCTCAAGTTTGACAAGCAAGATGGAAAGCCACTTTTTGACAATGCCCAACTATTATGAAAAATGGAAACTCAGTACTGGTACCTTTTTAGGAGCCCCTGGAAGCGGCCACACATTGATCTTTAGACATGATGGTAAGACTAATTTCCAACTCCTTATCTGATCAAAAGACAGCATTCTCTTAAAATCTCAAGCACTTTTCGCCTTAGCAATGACTTCAAGAAGAATATGACACATTTTAAACTGCACAAGAACTTAAGCATACCTCTGTTATCAGAAACAGCACAGGGTAAACTGTGCCTTATATGGTTGCAATATGAGACAAAACTTCACCTTACCAAACAACAATGGGTAAATCCTTTGACTTTGAGGTTGACTTCCGTTAAAGGTGAAAAAAATAAAATGATGAGCTTTCTCATTCTTATCATTCCTCTGTGGAAGCATAGTAGTAATGTCACTTAAAGCCCCACTGTACTACTTATAGCTACATGCGCCCTCTACATAGCAAACAATGCCTAATCGGTGGCCATTGGTCCCCATGATCCCCTTTTTCTTATGTTAACTGAGAGCTGAGCTGATTTGATGAGATAACCACCTGTCAATGACCATGCAGGGAGGTCAAATCCCCCCCTGGCCAAACTAGTGGAGATAGGCTTTAACTGGATCAGTCTTTTAAGTGCTTTTATATTTCAAATATGATTATTAAATAGCTTTAGACTATGGATCAAATTTTGATGTCATATGTCAGTCAGTGTAGTCCCATAGACCCATATACCTATCTACATGTACACTGTACAGTGTATGTGCAGTGCTTTTTACTAGATATAGAATTATTTAAGCCAGACTGAGTCTATTTTTTGTGTGGTCATTTTGACAATTCCAAAACCTCAAGAAACACTAGTTTAATACATAATAACCACTCTTTATTTACTACATAATCAACCATCCAGAACAGCTTCTACAGTTTCCTTTGCTTACAATTCTTTTACATCACCAGTGCTTCACTTTATCTTTAAGTACATGTACATGAAGGACATATGAACTGGTACTGTCTTCCTGTAAAACTAAATCAAATCCCTGTAAGAGTAGGAGATAAAATGGAAGGAAGTCTGAAAGGGAACAGGAGGGCTTGGACTTCGACACCATTAAAACTCCTGCTACAATGATAGCCCTATACGTGAGTCATTCTTCTATTGTTGGCAGCATGTGGTCGGCAGCAATTGGTCATATGGTACTATTGCTCTCTAACATATCGAAGCAAATCAATTTTTAGGAAAGAATTGTGCAGGTACCAAATCACATCAACGTTTGTTGCTTTTGGAATGGTGGGTGGTTGAAGCATAGTGTCTGTCATAAGTTGAAAGATACTCTCACCACGTTTAAAATCCCTCCTAAACTTTATATTGTCTCTTACAATTTTCATAATGAGAGCCTCACGTTTTACAATACCTACATGTAGAGTGTACCAAATATAACAAACACTTGGAAAAATTCCTTTACAAAATAAAATATTCCAATATCTGGCTAATTCTCTCCATGGAACATATTTTTGATGATGTCACATTTAGCACCAACAGGCAGGTAGAGTCAACACCCATAATTTTATATTGCAGCTGGACATCCAACAGATTTCAATGATGATATCAAATTATCACCTTGAGTAAAGAGAAATGGACCATGTGGATGGGGCCTGTGTGGGATTGGCCAAGAAATCGGGTTTTGTTTATCAGAAACATGAATGGGTGGGGGCATGTTGATCAACAAAGACATTTTGCCCAAGCTGGAGACAAACTCTGAAGATAGCAACTAGGTCTATTCAGGCACCTAGTCACTTATGATGGGTGCAAGATGATCCTCCAGCTCACCATCTTTCTCATTATTTGTGAAAGATTGATAGACAGAACTATGCATTCCATGGACATACAGTGTACATGTAGCTCTAAATCCTGAGGTGGAATATCCTCATTGGTCACCCGAATTTACCTCTGCCCAGTGATTGCTTCCTCTGCGGATACTTAAAAAACAAGGTGTTTACTAGGGCTGCGACGAGTAGTCGAATACTAGAGTACTCGCACTGTTGACAACTACTGCTCTATTCGAGTACGATTTCTCATACTCGGATATTCGGCCGCAAAAAAAAAAAAAAAAAATCCCGATCACCTGGCACTGTCCAGGCCGACGCTTACCCGTGTCAGAGAGAGCGCCGGCCGGCGGCATGGTACCGTCGGTAAAAATGTTTCTCAGCTCAATCACTGTCAAACTCATCACTCAGAAACTGGGACCAAATGTCCGGATCTCTGTTTGGACTCAGAGAAAAATGGATTATTCTGCCATCTTTGGTTTTTAAAACAGCATTGTTTACTGATATTATTATTATTAAATCGGCGCCTTCAACTGCAACTTGAAGTAAAATTGCGTAGTATGGTGGTGGCAAAAACAAAAAACAAAATTTAAAAAATTTAAAAATTTAAAAAAAACCCATGGCGTCCGAATATTTGAGTATTCACTTGTAAGCCTGGGAGTGTACTCGGGTACCTCATCATACGGTTGTGCACAGCCTTAGTGTTAAAATCCACACAACATAATCTGAATGATTTCAGGCTTGCATTAGACATGAGATGAATGATCTGTATTTCTTCCAGAAGCTTTGGTATTCAAGGTATAACAATCCTGTCATGGTGAGAAGAGCGCTTCAGGACATGCAATTTCGTTGTCAGCTTTGTTTTGAGAGGGTAGGTACTACAGTTTGTAGGTAGACATGCCGAAGGTACTGGTGCTTATAACCTAAGGACAATTATCACTCATTCGGGGATATTGAAGAAAAAAAGGAATCCTTTTTAAAATTGATTCTCCCAATCTTTTTAAAAAAATTAAACATTTTGAAAAAGTGTATTTTGCATCTACCGGTATAACCTCCAAGAGCACCAAACTACTGTAGGTCATGCATGATATTGATGATGCAAAGAAGATGTTCAAGGAAAGCAGAAAAGTTGTTCTGTTCATTATCTAAGATATAAAATTGTGTAGCTTTAAAAGACTTGACCTATGAACTTCATATACCTTTTCTAGGAACACCTTGTAGAAAAAAATGGAAAACCTGCCAAGAACTTTGAACTTAAACAATGGATGAGTAGGGGGCAAAGCACACAGGATGAGTAGGGGGCAAAGCACACAGGATGAGAATCATGAGAGAGTGTCTGAAAGGACTGTTTGGAGATCCAGTGATGTCTAATCACATCAAGGTCACTAGACCTAACTCTTTATGGGGACATCTTAACTCAGAGTTTTCAAGATCCCATCAGCACATATGAATGAGTGAGACTTATCAACTTATACCTCAGTCTTGGTGACACGGCCAGACCTAATCCAAACTGACCAATTTTTGGCCATTAGTGTATTTTTCTGTTTGTTTGTAGTCGGTCTGTTGTATGGTTGGTGTGAAAATACAAGGCTGATTCTCTCCGGAATAGCCGCCAGCCACAAGACCAAACTAAATCATTTTTGTGTGTGTGAAAACATGCCAAATGATAAGTTTTCACATTTTCAAATCCTACCAATCTAGATGATTGAGATTGACACGCTAAGACAAGACGGGGTTGCTTCCCTCTTGGACAGCCACCAGTCAACAGAACTAACACCAATAGCCTCTATCTTGGGTACGTGCCAAACAGTATTCCCATATTCAAGGGTAGGTCACACAAGAGCCTTGCATAACCCAGTGATGGCGTCACTAATCCTTGTTGTAGAGGAAGGTACGTTTGTTTAAGGACTGGAAGGACAAAGCTGGCTTTGAATTTGATAGTAATATTTAATAATAAAAACGTTTCTTAATATATTATAAAGCGCTTACCACTGAAGTCTCTCAGCGCTATAACAAACAAATTAGACTGATAATCAATTACGTAAACAAAACAAAAAAATGCAAATAAACCTACTGTATTGAGACGTAGTTCAGATATATAAGACACGCGCATGCGTGGACTTTATTAAGTCATTCAATCCCGTAGGATACATACATGTATATCATAACATCCCCTTTTTTTTCAAATTAAAATGTTAACTATTGAATGTACACTTATAGCCTTTTGCTAGATAAAAAACTTTCCTTTCTAATATGAAAATCTTAGAAAAACTCTTAAATGATTTTCTTTAAATAAAACTCAAATATTTGTTATTGTTGTAAAACTTATTAATTTCATACGATTTTGGAATGTGAGGTCAGGTTGATCATTTGCTGATCTTGTATAATATTGTTATCCAATTATTTGTACTGTCTGATACAACTTTGAGTAAATACGTGCACTTATTCAACTCAAAATTACACTCAAGTATAATCAGTTACTACTGTTTTCCTAAGCAATAATAATAAATTTCCACATTGTTTGTATAAAACACTTGTTACGTGTCTCTGACAAATGTTACGGTAATTTGAACTTATTGATTTATTTCAATGTCTAAATATGTAACAGACAATTAACAAATTGTCGCCTCGTTACTCGTATTCTGCTTAATTACGAATCAATGTCATTTCACTTTCATCTGCTATGATTACTATGAACTTGTATTTTACCATAATAAATGATGAGTACAGCTC